AGTCTACACTTCCATATAATCCAGTTAAAAGTAGATAATCTGGATTTTACATATAAGACATTGTAGATGGGACCTTAGATCTTTCCATGATTTTTTTCCCATTGGGTTGCCATTCAATGGAAAAAAATTGAAGGCACAGTTCAACAAGAACAGCAATGGTAGGATTCACATACCTAAGGTTAGGGATAGGGATAGAATCATAGAATCATAGAGTTGGAAGAGACCTGGTGGGCCATCCAGTCCAACCCTCTGCCAAGAAATAGTAAAATTGCATTCAAAGCACCCTCGACAGATGGCCATCCAGCCTCTGTTTAAAAGCTTCCAAGAAAAGAGCCTGGAAGGCCATGTTTTCTCCCCCTTTATTATGGGTATTTAGATATGAGACCTAAAAACCATGGTTGGAGGAAAGCAAAGCAAAACCCATGCTAGCGTTTTTTTGCAGTGTTTTTTGCTAGCGTTTTTTTGCCACTCTGGGGTGTCAAGAGGTAGCCTCCTTGAACTAGAACAGTGTTTCTCAACCTTCCTAATGCCGCGACCCCTCAATATAGTTCCTCATGTTGTGATGACCCCCAACAATAACATTATTTTCGTTGCTACTTCAGAACTGTCATTTTGCTCCTGTTATGAATCGTGATGTAAATATCTGATATGCAGGATGTATTTCCATTCACTGGACCAAATTTGGCACAAATACCTGATATGCCCAAATCTGAATACTGTTGGGGGAGTTGATTTTGTCATTTGGGAATTGTAGTTGCTGGGATTTATAGTTCACCTACAATCAAAGAAAATAGAAAATACCAGAAGGGTTTGATGGGCATTGACCATGAGTTTGGGAGTTGTAGTTCACCTACATCCAGAGAGCACTGTGGATTCAAACAATGGTGGATCTGGACCAAACTTGACTCAAATACTCAATGTGCCCAAATGTGAACACTGGTGGGCTTTGGGGGGAAATAGACCTTGACATTTGGGAGTTGTAGTTGATGGGATTTATAATTCACCTACAATCAAGGAGCATTCTGAACCCCATCAATGACAGAATTGAGCCAAACTTCCCACACAGAACCCCCATGACCCACAGAAAATACTGTGTTTTCTGATGGTCTTTGGTGACCCCTCTGAGACTCCCTCACAACCCCCCCCAGGGGTCCCGACCCCTGGGTTGAGAAACACTCAACTAGAGCATGAAAGACTATGACTTGCATCCTCCCCAAACTGTAGAAGCCTCATATTTCCATAGGAAGAAACCATGGCTGTTGAAATTGGTTCAAGCTGCTATAATTACTGAGTGCGGACTCACTCTTGAAAGCACATTATTGCAATTAACGCAGCTGGTTTTGCAAGTTTCTGCTGGTTTTCAAAGGCTGGCTTGTGTGAGGAGTGCTCCGTTCCTGTTTTTACGACTTTTCACTGTAGGATAAACACGTTTTTTGTCATGCAAGGTGCTTTGGGAAACTGATTTGAAAGTCAAGGGGTGCGTTTGTGTGAAACTGAACCAAGCCTATGGTTTGCAAAGAACCATATAATCATCAACACAGATGAGATCCTTTATGTGGTTCGCGATATGACATTTTAGGTCTTTCCACCATTCCTCATTGCTCCAGGCTTTATAACAAAACACTCCTTCAGTAGGTTTGTGTCAATGTTTACTATTATTAAGTGCATGTGTGTACTTCTGGCCCTCCAGTTGTGTTTGGTGTGCAATTTCCATGGGAACTTTGGGAGATGTAGTCCTGGTTTGAAAGTGTTATTTCTGTTTAATAATAATAATAATAATAATAATAATAATAAGCTGACACGATATGAGGATTTAAAGATTGAACTGCAAAGACTCTGGCACAATCCAGTCAAGGTGGTCCCAGTGGTGATCGGCACACTAAGTGCAGTGCCTAAAGACCTTGGCCTGCACTTAAACATAATCAGCGCTGACAAAATTAATATCTGCCAGCTGCAGAAGGCCACCTTACTGGGATCAGCATGCATTATTCGCCGATACATCACATAGTCCTAGACACTTGGGAAGTGTCTGACGTGTGATCCACTACAACAGCCAGCAGAGTGTTGCTGTGGACACATCTTGTTGTGTTTCAAACAACAACAACAACTTTATTCATATATCCCACCTCCACCTCCCTGAAGGGACTCGGGGCAGCTTACATGGGGGCCAAACCCAATATAAATAAAGGTTACAAAGTTAACCTTTGCAGCCCGACCTTTGCAGATCTTCCTTTCTCAAATCACATGGCATCTTAGGGCTAGGCAGACTTAGTCAGTAACTAAACCATTATTCAAAGGCACATTGGAACATCCAGAAGGCCACCTTACTGGGATCTGCACACATTATTCGCCGATACATCACACAGTCCTAGACACTTTGGAAGTGTCCGACATGTGATCCAATACAACAGCTAGCAGAGTGATCTTGTCTGCTGTGGACTCATCCTGTTGTGTTTCTAATAATAATAATAATAATAATAATAATAATAATAATAATAATAATAATCTTTATTTATATTGCACTCTATCTTCTGAGGGGTCTCAGAGTGGATTACAGAACACATATATGGCAAACATTCAATGCCGTTATACAATTAACAACATGATAGACAGTACACAAACAGAGGCAAAGGCTTCCTTTTTTTCCATCTCCGGCATCTGGAGTCTGTGCTCAACTCCGGCCATGGGAGGTTCTGTTGTACCTTTTCCATGCCGAGGAGCCTGTTGTCCATGGACGCCTTCCTGATCAAATTGCCTGTACCCAAAGCAGTACTTATTGATCTACTCATATTACTGTTTTCTAACAGTTAGGTAAGCAGAAGCTAGGGCTGACAGTGGGAGCTCACCCCCGAGCCGCAGCTTGAACTGCCAACCTTCCGTTGGCAACATTTCTTGCAGCTGGCAGTTTAACCTGCTGTGCTATCATGCCCCCTTAATTGTGCGGGCCTTACTTTGAAAGGAGCCAAGATGCTTAAAGCAGCAGCAAACTGTTATAAACTATGTAGTGTGGATACCCGGTAGGATGCCAAGCAATATGGAAATACACAATATCTGGCTTGCTGCTTCTGTAATAGAGATGGATGGGCTATTTAAACCGTCCGCATCTATTATGGGTGAAGTGAGATCTGACCCGAGGAACAGTGACTTTACGCACAGCTGCACAGATGCTGCCTGGATCCTATTCTGCCCCTGGGCTCTCCTTCTCCATCATTCAAAAAAGGAGAGAAAACTGGCTCTGAAAAACCTTTTGCTTACTAACTTTCAAGGCCACAATGTTGCTCTTGGCCAGTTACTGTTGCTGTTTCTGTTTGCTGTGCATATTTTATTACGAAATCATAGAACGAGTTGGAAGAGACCCCCCTCAAAGGTCATCCAATCCAACTCTTCTGCCATAAAGGAAGACACAATCAAAACCCTCCCGACAGATGGCCATCCAGTCTGTGTTTTTGGAAACTTCCAGAGAAGGAAAGCGATTCTACTACATAAATAGCCTCTTTGTTTATCCCTGCAGAATTAATACCATTGGAACCCATTTAAATACCACAGTTCAATGCTTTGGAATTGGCAAGTTTCTTTCCATATTAAGTTATGAATCTCCTGAGAACCAATGGAACTCAGTGCCACAAGATTGGAATTTTAAGGAAGTCATTTTGGACTGCAAAACCCCAAAACCCCCAGCCAGCATGTCTATTAGCTATTGCTGTCTGGCATTTTAGGTCTCATCTACACAGTAGAATGGATCCAGTGTGATGGCACTTTAACTGCTATGCAATCCTAGGATTTGTAGTTTGGCACTCTTTGGCAAAGGAGGCTAAAGACTTTGGGAAACTCAAGCTCCATAGTTTTATAGCTTTGAGCCATGGCAATTAAATCTGTCTCAAACTGCATTCATTCTGCAGTGTAGCTGCATCCAAAGACTCGAGGCTCTCTTGCTGCTTTTTCTTGCTGCAACAGTGGGAAACCCCTCCTTGTTTTTTGCAACTGGCACCACCTTTTTCAGCCATTTAATAATAAGAACATCTGTCATTGAGCTCCCACCTTACTGCCTTCTTGCAAGACCCCACAAGCCCAGCTTCAGAGATAAACATCGGGGCCGTTGGCGCATAATGATACTTGTAAAGTGTTTAAAAGCAAGAGATAACAAGCAGAGAGACGAGCCAAGGAGCATCAGAGCCAGCAAAACAACAAACAAACCAACCCTTCTCTGCCTCAAATGAAACCTTTCGGCACCTGATTCCAACTGCAAAGACTGGCACAAGCCAGTAAAGGCAGTGGTGATCGGCACATTGGGTGCAGTGCCAAAAGACCTTGGCCTGCACTTAAAAACAATTGGTGCTGAAAAATCACCATCTGTCGGCTCCAAAAGTCCACCCTACTCAGATCCACACACATTATTCACTGATACATCACACAGTCGTAGACACTTGGGAAGTGTCCAACGTGTGATCCGATATATAAACCAGCATAGTGATCTTGTTTGCTGTGTACTAATCTTTCTATGTATGAAATAATAATAATAATAATAATAATAATAATAATAATAATAATAATAATTCATACTCATTTCCTCAAGGCAGGGCACATCATCATCACAAAACATTACGTAAAATACATATATTAAAATATATCTCTGTACTATATATGAAATATAGTTAGATTATGGTCTGTTAAGTATCTTTTATAATAGTGTTAAATAAAGATCAATTTATATCTTAACCTAATGTAAACACTGTACTGATGTGGATAGATGATTGTAAGGTGGGATCTTATATTGGTCGCTGATAGTGAATAAAGAATGGATTAATTGATATTAGGTATATATTAAAATACACAGAATTAAGATGAAAAAATTCAGTAAACACAGACAATGAAAAGCAGCGTCTAGGTTTCTAGTGATAGATCAAACAATCTGCTGGTTTGGGTCTTCGCTTGGATGCTTGTCCCCAAGAGTCGCTTCCATCTGGCGCATTTCTCTTCATGTTTCCATGTTTCTCCTCTAGATCTCCGACATCTACATCAGTGGAACGACTGGGGACTTGACCGCCAAAGAGAAGCTGCTCCTCTGGACGCAGAAAGTGACCGCGGGATATGTGCCAGTCAAGTGCACCAATTTCTCATCCTGCTGGAATGACGGGAAGATGTTCAACGCCATCATCCACAGATACAGGTGCGCCAGGCTCCCCTCTCCCATCCTAAGTGGCCTAATAAGTCCTAGGACATCATACAACTCCCTCTGAAATGCGGTTCCAAAATTATTATGGCCTTGGATTAGTTTCAGGAATTGCTCTTGGTGTAATTGGAGTCCTGGGCCTTAGGGATTTCCATTTTGGGGATTTGGTTCTGAAGATGCTCAAGGGAACAAAAACACTTGGATTTCAATCCATCATCCCTTTAGCATGGTGCAGATAACATGTAATAATATACTATGGCCTATGTGCAGAATAATTTATTATTTATTTATTTATGACATTTATATGCCACCCTTTTCACCCCGAAGGGGACTCAGAGAGGCTTACAACATACATATATATATATATATATATACACACACACACACACACACACAATATTATATTATTAGCATAGTACAATATCAGTATTATATATTACTATATTGTACTATACTATTATATTGTAATATTAATAATATTACATGTAATATAAAATATATATATACCAATACTTGAGGCCACTGAGCATTGCACAATGCATGATGCAAGGTGCAAGGTACAGGATGTGGAATTGCAATTCACAATCACAGTGGAAAGTATAGAATGCACAACCACGATGCAAAGTGTCGGAGTGCAAAAGGATAGGATGTGTGCAAATGTGATAGTATAGGATGCACAGCCACAGTGCAAAGGATAGGATACACAACTACAATCCAAAATACAATATTCATAACTGTAACGCACAATGCGCAGCTTGCATAGAGATGGCACAGGTGGAGATACTGTTTGTGCCACACTCAGCAAAACGTATCCGTTACACATTGGAGATAATTGTTTGGTCTTGAACACATTGTATGACTTACGTGTGTTTACAAATGCTGACCATGATCCCTGAGTGTATGGCTGTTTCTTTTCACAAGATTGGGGCACACTGCACTTGCTTAGAGGTGCTCTTGCTTATCCTTTCGTTTCTGGGCTGAATGCTTTGACGGAGGGAACTGCGAGGCTGCCTTCGAGACTTCTCCTTCCTCCTGCAGCATGCATTTATCTTGCAGCTTCAACCTGCAAATACCAAACCACCTCCTTTTGTGTCTCCTTCAGGCCTGACCTGGTGGATATGCAGAGAGTGGAGATCCAGAGCAGCCGGGAGAACCTGGAGCAGGCGTTCGAGATCGCAGAGCGACTGGGCGTCACCAGGCTTCTGGATGCTGAAGGTGGGCATTGGGAAAACTGGCTGCGGGAGAGATAGGGAGGGACTCCTTTCATCTCTACGAAGGCAGAGGAGGGTGATCCTGCTTTCAGTACAAAAAGCTGCACACAGGCTACTGGAGGACTCTTCCTTCTTTCCTTCTTCCCTCCCTCCCTTTTCTCATTCTCTTTTTCTTTTATTTTCTTTTGAAACAAATAAATTCATTCGATTGAAAGCTGAAAAAACACACATGAAAATTATTGGAAAATGCTTACATCCTGATAGGCAGGGAGAAAAGATTTGCAGTTGTTATTATTTTTTGTCAAACAGTAGCATTATATTGTTGTTGTTGTTACTACTGCTGCTGCTATCATCCCCTTTATTTCTCAGGATTGATACACAAAATTGGCTATTTCCACCTTGACTTCTCTCTAAAAGCCATGCTTCCTGTGTGCAAGGAGTCTTATGTCCCTCCCTGCCCCAAATCATTAGCTGTATTGAGGAGCAAAATGGCAGCCAGCTTTTCTGTTTCCCATCCCCTCTTTTCCTGCTTGTTCTCCTCTCTGCAGATGTTGATGTGGAGTCTCCTGACGAGAAATCCGTGATCACGTATGTGTCTTCCATCTACGATGCCTTTCCCAAAGTCCCGGAAGGAGGAGACGGGATCAGCGCCACCGTGAGTCCGGCTTCCCATTCTCTTTCCCTCCTGTGGGCAACCAGCTCTCCTCGACCATTTATTCCCCTTCCTTCCCTATCGTTTCCTGCAGGAAGTGGATCGGAGGTGGGCGGAGTACCAGAGCAACGTGGAGAGTCTCCTCTCCTGGGTCAAGCAGCACACCATCATCATGTCCGACAAGTCCTTTCCCCAGAACCCGGTGGAGCTTAAGGTAAGAACCCAGCCTGCAAACTCTACTCTGGTTCTTTATATGGAGCATTGTATAATTTGGCTGGGCCCAAATAGCTCCAAAAACACCAGATCATGTTTGATCTTGGAAGCTCAGCATGGTCAGACCTGACTAGTCCTTGGATGGAAGGAATCGTCACTGCTAAAACCACCTGCGTATTGCTTACCTGTTTTACTGTGCTTTGAGTCTCGTTTTAGAGAGAAGAAGCGGGAACCTAATAATGATGATGATGATGATGATAATAATGATGATGATGATAATAATAATAATAATGTATTGGTTTCACTGTAAGCTGCTTTGAGTCTCTTTTTAGAGACACAGCAGGGTAATAATAATAATAATAATAATAATAATAATAATAATAATAATAAGGGAGGTGTTCAATTTGTGATTTTGTGATATGAAATCCAGCATATATATCTTGTTTGCTCTTTCATACTGTGTTTTGTGTCAGTAAAATAATAATAATAATAATAATAATAATAATAATAATAATAATAATGTATTGGTTTCACTGTAAGCTGCTTTGAGTCTCTATTTAGAGGCAAAAATCAGGGTAATAATAATAATAATAATAATAATAATAATAATAATAATGTATTGGTTTTACTGTAAGCTGCTTTGAGTCTCTTTTAGAGTCAATAATAATAATAATAATAATAATAATAATAATAATAATAACTGCAAAGACTCTGGCACAAGCCAGACAAGGTGGTCCCAGTGGTGATCGGCATACTGGGTGCAGTGCCTAAAGACCTTGGCCTGCACTTAAACACAATTGGCACTGACAACATTACCATCTGCCAGCTGCAGAAGGCCACCTTACTGGGATCTGCACGCATTATTCGTCGATACATCACACAGTCCTAAACACTTGGGAAGTGTCCGATGTGTGATCCAATACATCAACCAGCAGAGTATCTGCTGTGGACTCATCTTGTTGTGTTAATAATAATAGTAATAATAATAATAATAATGTATTGGTTTCACTGTAAGCTGCTTTGAGTCTCTTTTTAGAGACAAAAAGCAGTATGATAATAATGATGACAATAATAATAATAATAATAATAATAATAATAATAATACTTAAGAAAACGTTGTGAAATTCATGGCATTGCCATAAGTCAACAAGTAACTTGGGCCCCATCTGAACAGTAGATATAATGCAATTCAATGCAGTTACATTGTTTTTATATGAGTCTACACGGATCATATAATGCAGTCCCAAACTACATTAAATGGTAGTGTAGATGGAGCCTTAGAACTCCATAGGCCCACACAGATATGGAAGCAATTCCAAGTTTAGGTTACATTGGTGCTCTTGGTTGCAGCTCTGAACTGGTTTTAAATATTGCCCCCTCTCTTGACCCATCCTTCCTTTTTGCGTTCAAGAATGGGCTTGATAAATGTCTTAGAAAGGTTTTAGGACAACAAAGGGAAAGAAAAGCAGAGGGCTTTCTTCTCTCTTTACCTTCTTGCATCCGTCCCATTACGGATTCTGGACCCCTTTCCCTTCCCCTTTGTGATGACTAGCCTTTTTATGTATTTCCCCCCTCTTCTGTGGAGTAAGATTCCCGACTCTCCTTTCTTTCAGGCACTTTATAATGAGTACATTCACTTCAAAGAGACGGAGATCCCAGCAAAGCAGCAGGAAAAAAGGAGCATCGAGGAGCTGTATAAACTGCTGGAGGTGAGAGCAAAGAAGTCATTGTAAGGAAAGAGAACTGGTTTGACTTTCAAATACAGCCAGGCCTCTCCATTTGCAGATTGGACTTTTGCAGATTTGATTATTCGGTCATTCTAGGAATCTTGTCAGTCCTCTAGTGCAACTCCAGCCGACCTTGATCATGGAATCACACTGGAGGAGCTAGAGATTCCCATGAAGACCTCTGTTATTTGCATTTTCCCCCATTTTATGGGGATCCAATGCCCTTAGCCTTAGTGAATGTGGACTGTAAAAGCAAACCCAAAGGGACTTAGAAATCCAGCTTTGACATACCTTTGAAACATTAAAGCAGAATGTGGGGAAGTCTCCTTCTCAGGAACTTTTTAAGTAGAGTCTGGATGGCCATCTGTTGGGAGGGATTGCATTTTATCTTCCTGCCTGTTACGAATAACTTTTCAGTAACTTTAAAGCATAGGGTTTTTTAACTGCAATTTTCCAATAAGAGAAAGGGTATCAGAACTTTTACAGAACAATATTTACACGTATAGACATACAGATTCTATGTATCTTGTTTGTATTCTATATATCTTGTCGTATTGTTATGCTGTTGTTTTATTGAGGGCTTTGGCCTTTTGTAAGCCGCACCGAGTCCTTCGGGAGATGTTAGCGGGGTATAAATAAAGATAATAATAATAATAATAATAATAATCTACATTGGCTAACCAACAAACAAAGGTGAATTACATTTTTACTCAGCATTCACACACATATAAACATTCCTCCTCATGTATAAATCACCGTTTCACCATTCTTCCTCCGTGAAGAATGTCTTTTAGGCCAGACTGCTTCCTGGCAAATCTGCCAATGCATATTTCCAAAACTCCTTAGTTTCAAAATGCCAAAATGCATCCTTTCTCTAAGCACAATGTCAAGGATCAGATCTGTGTTTTCCCTACAGCAGAAACTGACTCCCTGCACAAAATCCAAGACTTAAAAATTGCACTCCTTCCTCTTCCCTTGAGAAAAGAAAGCATATGTCTTGAGCGCCGGGCTGAGAAAGGCAGGATATAAATACTGTAAATAACACCAACAACAACAACACGCTATCTCTGTCCTACCCATGGACCAGAGAGGTGGATGAGCAGCTCCACTGTCTGTCACACTTGAGAATTATTAGATTGATTCATTATAGGAATATTCTGCTGATGTAGTAAATAATTGTCCTGGTTGAGATTATCTTGAGTCTTTACCTCCTGACATAAATGTTTGTCTTCAGGTAACAAACCATTGTGTTCTGGGTTTGACTTGAAAGGGCATTGTCTTTGACTAATGTAAACAAAGATCATTTCCTTTAGAGTTAATCTGGTTTTTTGTCAGCAAATATTGACAGATGTAAACATTTCTCTTATCATAGTTCTTATCACAGTTTACTTTTCAGTTCTCATTAGCAAATTTTAATTACAGTTCAGCAAGCAGGTAGTAAATGATTTAGAATGGACTCAGACTTGGTTGTGTTAATGTTTTAAGGGCCAATATTTTAAATGTATTTTTATTGCTTTTTAATGTATTTTTATTGCTGTTGACCTGTTTTGTTGTGCTCTAACTGTTTCGTTGTCAGCATCTAATGACTGCCAATTGTAAGCCATCCTGAGTCCCCCTTCTGGGGTTGAGAAGGACGGGATACAAATGCTATAAATAAATAAATAAATAAATAAATAAATAAATAAATGTGACTTCAGCCAAATAAATAAATAAATGTGACTTCAGCCCAAATTATTAGCTCTCATTCGTTCATTCCTTTCATACAATTCCATTCATACCAAATCATATCCACATTTATCAAATCTGCACATCATATTGCTTGTGGCACCTTCCAACTCAGTGAGTCTATGATTCTCTAATTCCTAACGTGTTTAAAAATTGTGGGCTCTTAAAGGTACTGGAGAATTTTTGTATGAAACTTATGCCGAAAGAAGTCAATTTCTGAAGCTGAAACTCAACCAAGTGGTGGAATTTGTCTCCTAAAATGACAATTTCTACCCTTTTGGCCTCAGGATCAGCACTGTGGATCCTTTGCAATATGGGTCCTTTGGACAGAAGGGCATTTCCCATCCCATTTATGCCAAAGATGGGTCCAGGAAGGGGGAGGGCGGTTTGGATGGGTGAATGGATAGGGCCAAACAAAGGAAACAAACTATGCCCTATGTTTCCCATGCTATGAGTGATTAGGACAATGCACAAGCTTCCGTTCGGAAAGTTTAGTTTTCTAATATTGTTGAATTCCTGCTCTGAAGCACCAATTGTCTGGCAGGGTCTTCCAAATCCCCAAACCACCCTTCATCTCCCGCGGTCTTTGGCCATGTATCGTATTGACGTAGGTCTCACGCACCATCAAATCTGAGGCACACCTCCATTTTCAAAAACCTAAAAAAGTATTTGCCTGCAAATGTAATGTGCAGCAGCAAAAAGTGCCATTTTTATCATTTGGCTAAAAAATGTGCTAATTAGAGTGACTGCATGCTTGCAATTCCTTCTTTTAAAACAAAAAGTGTTAGAACACCAAATCTTTCAACGACGGAAAGGAAAATATTTGGGGTGCATCTATGACTGAATCCACATCAGCCACCTTGGTTCAATGCTATGGGCCATGGAGACTGTAGTTTGGAAATTTGAGGGCTGCCAAAGGAGGTAGATGCCTCAGCAAACTACACATCCCAGCATTGCATTGAGCCATAGTAATTAGAGGTGACGTCCCTCAAAGAGGAGTTCCTGAAGAAGCCTCCCCTTTTGCTTTGGCTCATCACTGAGGTGATTGTATGGCAGAAATCTAATGCACATTCTAATTTTGGCAAAATGGGTGAGCATTAGATTAGAGTAAATATGTTCGTTGTTCATTCGTTCAGTCGTCTCAGACTCTTTGTGACCTCATGGACCAGCCCACGCCAGAGCTCCCTGTCAGCCGTCACCACCCCCAGCTCCTTCAAGGTCAGTCCAGTCACTTCAAGGATGCCATCCATCCATCTTTCCCTTGGTCGGCCCCTCTTCCTTTTGCCTTCCACTTTCCCCAGCATAATTGTCTTCTCTAGGCTTTCCTGTCTCCTCATGATGTGGCCAAAGTACTTCAACTTTGTCTCTAGTATCCTTCCCTCCAGTGAGCAGTCGGACTTTATTTCCTGGAGGATGGACTGGTTGGATCTTCTCGCAGTCCAAGGCACTCTCAGAACTTTCCTCCAACACCACAGTTCAAAAGCATCTATCTTCCTTCGCTCAGCCTTCCCTAAGGTCCAGCTCTCACATCCGTAGGTTACTACAGGGAATAACATGGCTTTGACTAGGCGGATCTTTGTTGCCAGTCTGATGTCTCTACTCTTTACTATTTTATCGAGACTGGACATTGCTCTCCTCCCAAGAGTAAATATAGTATTTGATATTTGGATTCTCCCTTTCCTGTGGAGACTGTCTCCACGCGCTTTCAGTCCTGCCTCTGGACCAAGCCAAATGGTTGCTCTCCCCCTTTGTGTTCTACAGGTCTGGATTGAATTTGGTCGCATGAAGCTGCCCCAGGGCTTCCACCCCAATGACGTGGATGAAGAGTGGGGAAAACTCGTCATCGAGATGCTGGAACGTGAGAAGCTGCTGCGGCCGGCCGTGGAAAGGTGGGCTCTCTGACGGAGGAAAAGCACTGAGGTCCAAGCAAATACATAGGTCCAGATCCAGTTGTTGCTCTCTATTAGAGTATGCCCTAGAGCAGGGGATGCCAAACTACTTTTCATAGATTTCCACATAAGCCTTATTATGGTTGCTTTCAAAGAGCTGTTGAATCCATGGATAGAGAATCCGAGAAACAGCCCTTGTAGAACTGAGGCTGGGGAAAGATTCAAGAGTTTGGTCCTGGGCCCAGTGCTGTTCAATATATCAATGACTTGGATGAAGGTTTAAAAGGCAAGAGTGAATGTCACAATTAGCATTTAGTGGCCTTGTAGCTTCAAAGTCTGAAGGCTCACCCAGGCAGCAATCAGCCAGGCTTTAAAGCTACAAGGTCATTAAATTCTAATGAAGATGGCCAGTTGTGACATTCACACCTGCCTCAAGCAGACAAGAGTTTTTTCTCCCACCCTGGACCTTCCAGAGATATATAAATCTCACTTGTCGAGTTTCCAACAGACCTCACAACCTCTGAGGATGCCTGGCATCAATGTGGGTGAAATATCAGGAGAGAATGTTTCTGAAACATGGCCATATAGCCCAGAAAACTCACAGCTACCCAGATTCAAAGCAGTTTACAGTAAAATCAGTACAATACCATTTAAAACCCTAAAAGAGAGGGAATTGGGTGCTGAGCCCAAAATAAGTCCCACCTGCATCCTCTTAAATCTCGCACCGATTTGCAGGCAAAGTTTCAGCTGTGTTTGAATTGCACAGTTTTGGCTGTATTTGTACTTCTGAGAAGCAGGAATCTCTCCATTGTCTTTTATACAGACGTATAAATGAAAATTATCAGCTCATAATGTTTGTTTTTCCCCCTTCAAGGTTGGAGCTGCTCCTGCAGATCGCAAACAAAATTCAGAATGGGACTCTTTGCTGTGAAGAGAAGCTCACTCTGGCGAGGAACACACTACAGGCGGTAAGTTAAGCCCCTTTCCTCTTTTGACAAATCAGTAGCAGTTAAAGTGATACAAAAATGCAATCATTGTTCAGTGTGGACAGCAACCTGAGTGACATTTCCATTGGCGCTTCTCTCTTTTTAATCCCAGCACCTATTCTTCCTAGGAATTTCATTTGTTTTGCCTTTTTTTCTCCATCCATTGTCCTTTTGCATCTTCTTCCATTTCTGTTGTGCTGTTTGCTTCTTGCTGCACATATAAGACACACAGCCTGCCTTTAGCCCCTATCCCACCCCATAACCCTTCACTCTTCCAGCATAGTGTTAAGTGGACTGAAAATGGCCTTTATGAAGTTGTAATGTTTTGCACCATTTAGGTGGCACATTGGTTTTCAGCTCTGCTATCAGTTTGTTGTGACTGTTTTCATTGTTGATTTCTTATTATGGAACACATGGGTCAAACTCAAGGCCCCGCGGGCTGAATCTGGCCCTCTAGATACTAGACTACACTTCCTGTATTCCTAATCATTTGATGTCATGACTAAATCAGATGGGAGTTGTGATCCAGGAACATAAACAACAACAATTTTATTGTGGTCCATAGACCCATCAGTAAAACCAACAGTTATTATAAACATCTGGAAGGCTGCTGTTCGTTCTCTTTAGTCAGGAGAGTGAGGTTTGGATTTGGATACAAAGCTTGTGGATATAATGCCGGACTTACCTTATTTACTCAAATCTAATGCTCACCCTTTTGGGCTAAATTCCCTTGCTAAAATCAGGTTGCGCATTAGATTCACATCATACAGTAATCTTAGTGCTGGGCCCAAACAAAAGGGGAAGCTGATTTAGGAGTGACTCTTTGAGGGGCCTCATCTCCAATTTAATAGTCATGGCTAACTCCTATGGGGTCTTGAGATTTGTAGTTTGGTGAGGTATCAGCATCCTTTGGCAGAGAAGGCTCAAGGCTTTGTAAAACTACAGCCCTCAGGATTCCATAGCACTGAACCAAGGCAGTTAAAGTGCATTCATTTTACAGCAGAGATGCATCCCAAGGTTTTCCTTTCTGCTGCTGGAAGTTTTGGCATTCTAACACTTTTTGTTTTTAAAGAAGGAATTCTAAGCAGGAAGCAATTACAAAAGGGCACATGAGGTGCACATGAAATTTGATGGCGCATGAGATGAGTTAGTACAGTAATGTATCCATTTCCACAAATTCACTTACTTTCATGAGCAAATGGTCTTGTGTTGGGATCTTTAAACTTTTACGACTTGGTACAGTGTGTTTCCTGTGGGCATTGCCTTTACCTGCAGAAGGCGTTGCATCCTTTTGTAGTGACTCTGTCTCCCCTCCTTGCAGGACGAAGCACACCTGGAGTCTGCTCAGGCGGTTCAGCATGAGTCCGACGTCGTCCTGTACCTCCAGGAGTGCGAGGAGCTCCTCTACCAGCTCCAGGCGGATGTCCAAATACTCCGGGACGAGAACTACTACCAGCTAGAGGAACTGGTCGTCAAGTAAGCAGGCGCTTTTTGGGCGCAGAACAAAAGTAGAAATAATTTCTCATCTGCTCTTTGTGCTTGGTACTTGTGCTCATGCTGCAATTAGCCCAAAAACCTTCAGAGTTTTTTATTTAATCAAGCGCTGAAGGCAGGAGCGTAAGACTGTAGGTTTTATATAGCAATATTAAATGATCACTCACAAGCAGGTTTTGCTTGGAAACGAATATATTGCTTGTATCTCTGCAGCAAAGAAAGACACTACTGACTTTTTCCCACCACCACTTCCTTTTATACACCTTTCCTGCCCATCTCCTTCTCAGTTTCCTTATTAGAGCTTGTTGCTTCACAAGTTCCAATACAAGGTTTCCAGCGCCCTCTGCTGGCTTCAAAATGTCACAGAGAGAAAACGGAGGGAGCCAGGACGGTTCAGTCAGAATGTCACGGAGGGAATTTGTGATGTCTTTACGCCATCAGAAATTGACTCCTGACAAGGAGATCAGTTCAACAAGTTTAATTGATCAAATCACCTTGCTGGGTGGAGAGTGCCACACTGAATTGAGGTGTAGTTTAGTTTTTATAGCCAACACCTTTAACCATGTGCAAAGTTCCTATTTGTTACTAGGCAAAAACATTTTCAACTTTTTCCTTGTCTGAGCTCTCTGTTTTGGCTGGTATTTTTCCACTTCAAGGTCTGCTTTGTCATATCTGGTGTTTTTTTTCATCACAACCTTAGCCCTAGTTCCTTCAGTTTGGTGCTATATTTCATCCCAGGACACCTTGCAAGCCCTTTCTGCTTTCTGATTCAAGAATGATAGTTGAAGAAGGATCAAATAGTATCCATATAGAAAATCTGAGTCAACTGATAGAAATTCAGTGAGATTTAGCATCAAGTGGAATGGACAGATAGATGGGTGGGTGCCTACATTAATGCCACAAAATGGACCATGAGTGTTTTAATGTGGTGGTGGTCTCTTAAGAAGGGGACTCATAGTGGCTCATAATAAAAACCCAATACAATATAATTTAAAACCTAAAAATATACAAACATTGAAATACTATTAAAAATAAACAGTTTAAACCAATTAAAACCTATTCATATAGGTTGACCACCCCCCACCCTGATCTTAATGACTGTGTAAAAGTATAACAACAACAACTCATCTCTCCTAGTGGCTTGAGGTAGGGTATACATCAGGGTTATAAAAGAAAGATTTACCCCAATACTATTAAAATGCATATCACAAGATACAATTAAAATACAGGTTATCAACTCCCAGGATTCCATAGCATTGAGTCACAGCAACGAAAGTGGTGTCAAACTGCATTAATTCTACAGTGCAGATGCACCCTTAGGCAGTCTGTGTGCCCATGGCTGGAGGAGAGGACTGTGCAAATCCCATTGGCTTTGGGAGCATGCATTTGAGCCCCTTCCCCTGATTCTCTCTCTCTCTTAGGATGGTGCGCCTCCAAGATGAGCTGGTGACGCTGAAGCTGGAGTGCACCAATCTGTACCGGAAGGGCCACTTCACCTCCTCCTCCTCCTCTCCCTCCTCGGACATAGTCCAGCCTTCCTCCTTGCACACTGGCGGGCGCCTTAAGGCCAACCCCCTGCTGAAGGGGCTGCACACGGCCACCACTGCCTCCGCTGCTGCTGCCATTGCCATCGCTGCCTCGGCTTCCTCCTGGTTCCGGAAGCCCATGAGCCGCTCAGAGCTGGTGGCCGCTTCCTCCTCCGAAGACGAGGGCAACCTCCGGTTTGTGTATGAACTGCTGGCCTGGGTGGAAGAGATGCAGGTAGGCCTCATTATTTAGTAGTATTACACTATGTAGCACAATTTTTGTTCCTAGGTTATAACTGTCAGTTCCTAATGGGTTCTGTCATAAAAACATAGGAAAAGTTTATCCAACTGCAAAACTTATCCAACTTTTTTGCGAAAGGGACATCTTGCAGCACATTTTGCTCTAGTTTTTCAATGAATATCTCATAGAGTCTCAACCAATTCAACCTATTTTGTGGCAGCCACAAAAACCAAGTTTCCGGAGTATAACAACTACTTTCAAAGTAAGGACCACACAATTAAACAGAAAATAACCCTTTCAAATCAGGAACAGAACATTTCCCCCAGATATTTTTGGGCCTCCAACTTCCAGAACTCTTCACCACTGACTAAGGCAATTCTGGCTAGGAATAATGGGAATTGTAGTTCAAGGGCATCTAGCAGACCCCATGGTTCTCACCTCTGGCCTAAATCCTCTTGTTAATCCCAACTCCACTAAATCGGGAGAATCTGGCGAATGAACATTTAGGTAAACGCTACTGAACTAATGGATTAACTCTAGTCTGGGGATTTAGAAGAATTCACTTCAGAGTTGGCTCAGGGCTGATGTAGTTCACAGGATGGAATTGGTTGCCCAGTTTTGGGGCAACCAATATTCATATTCACTTCTTCTCTTTCACATTCACTTCTTCTCTTCTTACATATGAGAACAAAAAAGTTCCCAAAGTTTCTATTAGCAACTAGACCAGTGTTTCCCAAATTTTGGTTTACTCTGATTTACTCTGGCCAACTATAAAACCCATGATGCAGAACAGTCAAACATAACACTTGCACCTGGTAGTGTACTCTGCAGATTAAACTATTGTATTTTAAATCTACTCATCTCTAGTGTTGATTGAAATACACATACTAGGGATTTTGGGGCACCCAGCCTCAACATGGGAATTCTGTAAGGTGGAGCCCAAAGCATATGGGAAACCAAAGTTTGGGTAACACTGCACTGGACCATAGGAGTTATTGAGCACTTTTCAGTCCTGAAAATGCAGATTATATTGGAATTTTTTGTGCAACTTTTCAGATGAAGCTGGAGCGGGCCGAATGGGGGAATGACCTGCCGAGTGTCCAATCCCAGCTGGAGGTCCAGCGTAGTGTCCACAATGGTGTGGAGGACTTGGGATCCAGCGTGAAGGAGGCCCGGATGTATGAGGTAGGCAGCTTCCTCCAAACTAATGTAGGTCTGCAAAACAATGGATAATAGAGAACCCTATTGAAATCAATACCTTGGGATGCATCTACACTATATAGTTAATGCAGTTTGATCCCACTTTAACTGCCATGGCCCAATGCTATGGGATCCTGGGATTCATAGTATCATGAGGCCCCACCACTCTTTGGAAGAGAAGGTTAAAGACCTTGGAAAACTACAGCTCCCAGGATTCCATAGCCGTGGAGTCAATCTACATTAATTCTACAGTGTAGATGTGCTCATAGTCATGTTGGAGTATCTAGAAAATGCCTAGGAATGACATATTTTGTTGGATGTGGATAAATGAAACCCCAGGTCCTGCAGATGCATTTAGTTGGGTGTTTTGAAAATGTTTTATCAGCAAAGATTCCAAATCCAAATGGTGATGGAGACTAAATTCTTCCCTCTCCTGTTTATAAACAATTTTAGAAAGCAAAGGCAAGGAAAGGAGGGTTTCCAAAACAGGCTTGTTTCCAGATAACCTGCATTTTCCAACTAGGTTTGGAACATCTCTACTGTGTTTCATATCTCCTTTTCTCTCCTGTCCTTTCCAGAGTAAAATGTCCCAAAATTTTCGCACGAGTTACACGGAGACCCTTGGAAAACTGGAGGTTCAGTACTGTAAGTTGATGGTAAGTGTATCTGTGGTGTTTCTTTCTCTGACCAAAGGAATCTCACACAAATTCTCAGACCTGCCAAAGTGGACTGCGTTCCCTGAGGGTGTAATATTCCACTTGAGGTGCTTTCTCTGAAACCTGTTTGTATTTGCAGTATGTTCGTATACATTTCTCATTTATGGTTCACAGTCCACTTTACATCCTTTTTCCAGGATTGTCTTATATAAAAAGGGTTTTATTAATTGAATTTTTAAGAATATGATCATGAAGGAAAGAAGTGGAATTAGAAAGAGAATAGAAGGGAAAGGAAGTGCATAGAAGTTACTTAGGATGTGAATTAGGGACGAATGGATGGATGGATGGAAAGATGGATCGATAGATGGAAGAATGGATGGAAAGATGGGTGGGTGGGTGGATGGAAAGATGGGTGGGTGGGTGGATGGATGGATGGATGGATAGATAGATAGATAGATAGATAGATAGATAGATAGATAGATAGATAGATAGATGAAAGAATAGATGGATGGATGGATGGAAATATGGGTGGAAATATGAATGGAAAGATGGGTGGATGGATAGGAGGCACATAGATACATGGATGGATGGAAAGATGGATAGATAGATGAAAGAATAGATAGATGGAACATCCAAGACAATGTAACGGATGAGGATTTGAATGAGAGGACATAGTTCTTTTTTTAAATTGTTTATTATGCACTGTCGTTTATGTTTAATTGCACTTAATGTTTTTGCTTTATCAATGTATGTATTTTGTTTCGGCATCGAATTGTGCCGACTGTGTATACCGCCCTGAGTCGCCTTCGGGCTGAAATGGGCGGGATAGAAATAATGTAAATAAATGTAAATAAATAAATGGATGGTTGGATGGTTGAATGGATGGAAAGAAGGGTGGGTAGATAGGTGGAAAGATGGATGGAAAGATGAGTGGAAAGATGGATGGATGCATAAGAGACAGACAGATACATGAATTGATAGATAGATAGATAGATAGATAGATAGATAGATAGATAGATAGATAGGGTTGCAAGGGCCATCTAGTCCAGCCTCTTCACTGCTGATTATATCACTAAATGCTAAAATTCAACTATAGAGTGTACGGAAAAGGAGTGCTTATGAAATACTAAATAGCACAGCTGCAGCATTCCCATATTGGCAAAAAGCTGGCCTATACATTAAATGTAATTGATATGCATCTGGGAAAAGAGGGTAGCAGCTCCGAGAGCCGTCTTCCCTTGTTGATTGCATGTGAAAATGCTGCAAAATGATGTTGCCTTTCCGCAGGAGACGTCCAGTTTCCGCCTTCGCCACCTTCAGAGCTTGTACGAGTTTGTGTCCCTCGCGACGGCCGAGTTAATTTGGCTGAACGGAAAGGAGGAGGAGGAACTGGCCTACGACTGGAGTGACAACAATCCCAACATGGCAGCCAAGAGGAACTACTTCACGGTGAGTGGAAATGGCTCGAAAGGGATTGCTTCCCTGTTGTGTCATCATGGGGGGTCAACTACACCGTAGAATGAATGCAGTTTGATACCACTTCAGCTGCCACAGCTTGATTCTTAATTCATGTGCAGTCCCATTTCCTTGTACTATTTACCAAGTAGCAGTTGGTGTCAGTTTTGGACTACTTCCATGTGGTCTTAGGCTGAGTCTACACTGAGATCTGTGCCCTATGGTCAGTGTAGACCACACCTGGAATATTGTGTCCAATTCTGGGCACCACAATTCAAGAGAGATATTGACAAGCTGGAATGTGTCCAGAGGAGGGCGACTAAAATAATCAAGGGTCTGGAGAACAAGTCCTATGAGGAGCGGCTTAAGGAGCTGGGCATGTTTAGCCTGAAGAAGAGAAGGCTGAGAGGAGATATGATAGCCATGTATAAATATGTGAGAGGAAGCCACAGGGAGGAGGGAGCAAGCTTGTTTTCTGCTTCCTTGGAGACTAGGACGCGGAACAATGGTTTCAAACTACAAGAGAGGAGATTCCATCTGAACATGAGGAAGAACTTCCTGACTGTGAGAGCCGTTCAGCAGTGGAACTCTCTGCCCCGGAGTGTGGTGGAGGCTCCTTCTTTGGAAGCTTTTAAACAGAGGCTGGATGGCCATCTGTCAGGGGTGCTTTGAATGCAATATTCCTGCTTCTTGGCAGGGGGTTGGACTGGATAGCCCATGAGGTCTCTTCCAACTCTTTGATTCTATGATTCTATCATGCAATTTAATGACTTGGGTCTATCTACAGTGATCAGTGCAGATCTAGCCATAGTGTGAGTTTCAGTGATGCTAAAACAACCTTGTGGTTAAGGTTCAGCTCCTTCAAAGTGTAGGCTAGAATCTGGACTTTAGCATCTGGAGCCCTTAGTTACGCCTGCTTTTTGGAGCAGGATCTTGTCTGCTTTTGATACCAGAAGCATAACTTGGCCTTTGCTCTGCCTCTTTTTCCAGGAGCTCACGATGGAACTAGAAGAGAAGCAGAACATTTTCCACTCCCTCCAAGACACGGCCGAATTGTTTTCCCTGGAGAATCACCCGGCCAAGCAGACTGTGGAGGTAAGGGGCATGGCTTGGCATGTGTTGGACCTCCTAGCCACAATCCAGGTGCATTGAGGAGATTTCAGTGGGTTTCTTCATGTGATGTGTGTGTTCTTGTGTGCCAGTGGCCAGTTATGGTCCCTTGCCATAGATATATGGATTCCAGATGTTCTCTGTATGAGTGTCTATATAAAAATGGTCACTATAGAACAGGCCTGTGGCCCTCCAGCTGTTTTGGACTTCAACTCCCTGGATTCAGGTCCATTGGGCAAGCTGGAAATAGGGGCTGCTGGGAGTTGGAGTCTCAAACACCTGGAGGACCTTAAACCTGCTATACAACAACAGCAACAATTTATTTCTATCCTGCTTTTATCTCCTGATTGAGACCCAAAGAACATGGGGAGGTCTTTTCTGATTCACACTGTCAGCAATGTGGGTTTTCTCGCTTCACTATTTCCCTCAGGCCTACAGAGCGGCCATGCAAACCCAGTGGCAGTGGATCCGACAGCTGTGCTTCTGTGTGGAGCAGCATGTGAAGGAGAACACAGCCTACTTCCAGGTAGGGAATTATTATTATTATTATTATTATTATTATTATTACTATCATTACTATTATTACTATTATCATTATCATTGATTATTGCGAAGACACTGAGTTTAGTAAACTACTTGCTGGAATTAATTTGTTGGGGTGGGGAAGTGTTGTTTGTAGTTCTGCTTGATATGGTGTCAAAGCAGTAACATGTGCCAACTTGTGCTAACATTTCGCACTACTCATTTCTTTTCTCTTATTTACTGTTAGCTAAAAAAACTACATTAGGACTGATAAAAGTAGTCACAAATAGTTAGGAGGAGGAGGATGACCATGATGATAATGATTTATTTGTTTCCTGCCTCTCCCTTGTAACTCGAGGTGGTAGAATACCATTAATTGTGCTTTTCCTGCCTGGCAGGAGGTGGTTAGAATCATAGAGTTGGAAGAGACCTCATGAGCCATCCAGCCCAATCCCCTGACAAGAAGCAGGAAAATCGCATTCAAAGCACCCCTGACAGATGGCCACCTAGCCTCTCTTTAAAAGCCTCCAAAGAAGGAGCCACTACCATACTCTGAGGCAGAGAGTTCCACTATTGAACAGCTCTCACAGTGAGGAAGTTCTTCCTTATGTTCAGGTGGAATCTCATTTCGTGTAGTTTGAAGCCATTGCTCCGCATCCTGGTCTTCAGGACAGCAGAAAACAAGCTTGCTCCCTCCTCCCTATGACTTCCCTTCACATAGTTATACATGGCCATCATGTCTCCTTTCAGCCTTCTCTTCTGCAGGCTAAACATGCCAAGCTCTTCAAGCTGCTCCTCATACGGCTTGTTCTCCAGACCCTTAATCATTTGAGTTGCCCTTCTCTGGATACATTCCATCTTGTCCCTTCAATTGCGGTGCCCAGAATTGGACACAGTGTGATTCCAAGTGTGGTCTGAATAGAGGGGTAGCATGACTTCATAGGATCTAGACACTAGATTCCTATTTATGCAGGCCAAAATCCCATTGGCTTTTTTTGCCGCTGCATGGCATTGTTGGCTTATATTTCACTTGTTGTCTATGAGGACTCCCAAGATCTTTTTCACGCATACTGCTGTTGAGCAAAAAAGATCTTGGAGTCCTCGAATGATCCTTAGATTCTCTTCCAATTCTACCTCTAGAAACCTAAATTTAACTAGAAATGATACTTCTAAAACTAAGGCATGAATCTAGTTGTTTCCAACTAGAGTAGACCCAATTATGGAAGAGTCAGTCAACAAGTGGGACAATCCCAATGAATCAATGGGTTTGCTCTACTTGAGATAACCAATAGGAATCAAGCTTTATAAAGGAACTTTTGCTTCCCCTTTCAGTTAAACAACAACTCTAAAATCGCTCAGCTGTACTACAATACGTGACATTTTTGGGTATGGAAATTGACTTGAAAGCTACAAAAACAGGCCTGGGTCTTCAATCAGTCCATAGGCCGCACTTTCCCTAAAATCAATTAATCAGTCACACTTAAGTTGGGGTATTGTGTGATTTCCTGGCTGTATGGCCGTGTTCTAGATCACAACCACTCAACACCCAGTGATTCCGGCCGTGAAAGCTTTCAACAATACACACTTAAGTTGCTTCTCTCCTGAATATAAATGTGTGAAAAAATGTTCCAAGAGAGATTTGGTGCCTTATTAAATGGGAGCAATGATCTCTTGGCAGTTCTTCAGCGATGCCCGTGACTCAGAGTCCTACCTGAAGAGCCTCCAAGACGCCATCAAGAGGAAGTATTCCTGTGACCGGAACACCAGCCTGACGCGCTTGGAAGACCTCCTCCAGGACTCCATGGTAGGCGCTTTCTAGCCAAGCCTTGCGGTCCTGGCACCTTTGGGAGGCGGAGCAAAGAGTGGCCAGTGGGGCTAGTAGGGTGGAGGTCAGGAGGGCAGAAGCTAAGTTCAAGGGGTCAGATGCACTTGGGCCAAATGCAGCCTCTCCTTTTGCAAGGTCTAAATACACCTTGGTCCTACATTGTTGGGGTTTCATTTTGGGTGCCCCAGTCCCAGATCTTTTAGGACTCGCTCTTCACGTTCTCTAAATTGTGCTATTGGACCTCACCTTATTTCTGTTTGGAAAAATCCCTGAGTTTGTTCACAGTTGCCTGCATCAGGGTCTTAACAGCTTTGCAGTTAACCAGAAAACAAGGCCAGTTGGATCTCTGTTGCTTCTCCTGTTTTCATTCTCCTGTGCGTTTCCTTTCCTCCTGACCCTTTTGTGAGATTCCTCCCACTCTGACCTCCCAGCATGCAATTTCTTGCCATTTTGTCCATCTTGGTTGCCGCAAAACCTTACTGACAACCCATAATGATGTCTTCTGCCGCGAATCTCCAGCAAAGAGAGCAGTGTGGCTGGTGGCCATTACCTCAGTGGGGTGAATGAACCCACTCTGGGCCATCGTCTGGGCCAAGCCCTTAAATATGTAGGTCCAGTACTTTGGATATCTCCTTTAAAGTTTGGACTATGGGTTTCTCAACCTCACTGACCTGGGAACTGAACCCACAAAGCATGCCCTGCCCTTTCAGCCCCTTTTTGCCCTACCTCCTGGTCCACCTCACCACCATTATCTCCCCAAACTGGCTTTAGTGTGTAGTGTGCATGTGCTTTGACACTGGACCATTCTGTGTGATGCATACAAGCTGTGGGTACAGTGTGGTACGAAAGACAGGAATAAGAGGGACCCAAGACCTATAGGACTGAAAATATATTGGTCCAATGGAGAAAGTCCCAGTGTGGGAGAAACAACCTTATTCATCTGTTACAGAAAACCCAAACAAGTTCTCTGGTACTTGGAAGGCTAACTAGTACAATTGTGCCTTCTACAGATTTTTCTTATTAACTCTGTGGGTCTACTTTAAGTTGAGCTCCAGCATGGTTTGAGGACCAGGACTAGAGTTTGCATCTCTGCTCAGCCATGGAAATTCACATTGTGTGCAAGCCCTACTATCTCTTATCCCATAATAATAGCAGCAACAACAACAACATCATCATATAATAATAATAATAATAATAATAATAATAATAATAATAATAATAATAATAAATTTTATTCCTAATAATAATATTACAGCAGCAACAGCAACAATATTATTTTTTGAAACACAGCAGCAGCAGCAACAGCAACATTATTATTATTATTATTATTATTATTATTATTATCTTTGTTGTTGTTGCAGCTCGAGGCAGGGTACAACAGCAGAAGGCACAGGTAGGCCTCTGAAAAAAATACTTGCTAAGTAAAGCTTGCGATAGAATCACCCTAAATCAGAAATGCCTTGAAAGCACACAATAATTCTTTAGTTTGGATTAGAAACTGGTTTTAGATCTGAGTTATTTTGATGCTCAGCACATGGCAGTGATTGCGGGGAAGGAGAAAAGCCAGAGCCTTCACAAAGGTGTCTGAACAAAAGGAGCTATTAATGATCGAATAGAAGGCTTTCCATTTGTGGCTGGTCCTGTAGATAAGTTCTTAGTCCAAGGAGAAGGATGGCTTGACCAATGCAAAAGGAGTGACTCTTCTGTGTTTAGAAGACAGGGAGGAAGGACCACTGTGGAACGGAAAGGATGAAATGAAGGAGCAAAATAGGGGTTAAGGTGGAAGAACTTTTGGAGTACTTTTTATTATTGTATTATTTTAAATCAACTTGGGAAGCCTTTCAGAAACATCCACTCTTTTTAGGTTTACCATTTTTATGGCCAAATCTGTGCCTTTTTAAGAGTCGGTGTGATGCAGGGGTTTGAGTGTTAAGCCATGAGTCCAGAGACCAAGGTTTGAATCCCCACTCAACATAAAAGACACTGGAATACATTGGAAAATTATTATTAAAGGTAAAAGTAAAAGTTTCCTCTGACACTAAGTCTAGTTGTGTCTGACTCTGGGGGGTGGTGCTCATCTCCATTTCTAAGCCAAAGAGCCGGCGTTGTCCATAGACACCTCCGAGGTCATGTGGCCAGCATGACTGCATGAAGCGTTGTTACCTTCCTGCAGAAGTGGTACATATTGATCTACTCAAATTTGCATGTTTTTGAATTGCTACGTTGACAGAAGCTGAGCTTAACAATGAGAGCTTACCCCGCTCCCCAGATTCAAACTGCTGACCTTTCGGTCAGCAAGTTCAGCAGCTCAGTGGTTTATTATTCTTATGTTTATTTATATCCCACTTTTTCTCTCCACGAGAGTTGTGCTCTCAAACCTTTGTAGAGTATGAGGCCTTGGAGTGCTTGAGCAACCTGAAGAAGGAGGACTGTCCGGGCCTTTCACTGAACTAATTCCATAAATAAGAGATTTTGCACTCTGGGAGAGACCCAAAAGATCCCTGCAGGGAGGTCATTGGAGGAAACTTAAATTGGCCAAGAGTCATTAGTACCAAAAGGGTTATGAGTCAAGGGCAGGAGGATAAGGAGAAGCTCAAAAAGCCCAGGCCAGAGATAATATCCGAGTCTCTTTCATGCATGAAAAGGAAGCAGTGGTGAGGACTTCTAGGGGAGCCAATGCAAAGTGAACTTCATCTTGTTGTGGCTTCATATGTGTGCCTTTAAGCTAGTGGTTCCAACCTTTTTTTAAAAAAACCAGGGACCACTTGAACAGGAACCACTTCACTAGGGACCACTTTGACCAGGAACCACTCCCCAACATTAGTACGAAAAGGGTTATGAATCGATTTTTGGTCAACTGTATATTTGGATTAGTTATTTGGGGTGCTGATTCAGAAAATTGCATTGGATAGATCATATAAGCTCTAGTTTCTGTTACAGAACATATGCCATCCAGTAGTCATCATATTTAAAAGCCTCAGCACTATAAGAGGGTTTCACGAGACCAGTCGCTCTTGCTGCAGCGGTGTAGTAACCGTGATTCTGCAGACCGTATTTTAGTTCTTTCGGACCACTAGTGGTCCATGGATCACAGATTCGGAACCACTGCTTTAAGCAAAGAAAGATGCCTGAGTTCAAGACGTTGCCAAACTTAAATCAGGAAAGACTTGGAGGCTTTATCATCTGAAGGCCTTGAGCGATGCTTGTTGAGCGGCTTCTGCTTTGCAACCATTCTGCAGATAGAAACAAAAGCTTTGGTGTCTGGATGCGGTTGTAGATGCCTCCTTGATCATACTGAATGAGTTAAAGTTGTATTTCTTCCAATCATGCTCCCCTGGGACAGGCACAGGTAGCTTGATTTTAAGCTTTTCTTTCTCTCTCAATCTCTCTCTCATTCTTTCTCCTCCTACCTTTCTCCTTCTTTATAAGACCGCGCTTGAATGCTGTAGTGTTTCTTTGGTAGGTTCTAAGCTGCTTAAGTCGATGCACCGTCCCTTCCCTTTGTATTTTCACATGCCCCCGATGCTGCTTTTATTGCTTTATTTTGCAAAAGGAGGGAGAGGGGGGAAAACAAGCAGATTTTGAAGGAATTCCACCTAAATGGGTTGAGGGTCATGTTGCACTATTCAGTATTGCACAGATAATCCTGAATCTTGCGCCTGGCAGGAATGCATCATTAGCTGGGCATGCGGCTTTGTTGATGAGACAGAAGGGGGTGTTGGCTGGCATCCTGCCACAGGCTTAGGTCCACCTTGCATATATATCTTTTATTATCATTGTGAAGGTTGGTATTTCCTCCTTTTCTTTGAACCCTTTCCTCCAGCTTCCCATACAATTGCTGCTGCCCGGTCGTTCCACGACTTGCAAAGAGCAATTGGGAGGATTCCCTTGTATGGCATTGTCCTGTATTAAAAAATTGGTTCATTTTGGTTTCTCTTTTTTGCTTTCAGTACCAAATAATGTTGCTCATGGGTATGTTTGTACATATAATACAGTAAGAGCCTCATATCCATTAGGGTTATTTTCCCAGCCAGGCCGTAGTTACCTCACATCTTGGATGTGATCATTGAATTAGCTTACCTCCAGTCCCAGTCTACCATTAGAAGCCCTAACAAAGTCCTAGAGCAGTGGTTCTCAACCTGTGGGTCTCCAGGTGCTTTGGCCTACAACTCCCAGAAATCCCAACCAGTTTGCTAGCTGTTGGGATTTCTGGGAGTTGAAGGCCAAAACATCTGGGGATCCACAGGTTGAGAGTCACTGTCCTAGAGAGAATACAGGCCATTCTAAGGTATGCTTCCTTTTGGGAGTTCTCATTGTGTTACATTGAAAGACCTAGCAAAAGCCTGGAGAAACCTTTTATTCCTGGGGGTGGATAGATGAAACTGTGGATATGGGTTCGGCAGTTACATGGGGTTTTCCTGTTCATACATTCATAGAATCCTAGAGTGCGAGAAGACCCCAAAGGCCATCCAACCCTTTTCTTCCATTCCTTCTCTGCCTCATACCCTTAGAATGATTTTTAATAAATAAGCCCCAGTTTGAGGGGCTTATTATTTTATATTGAATGATAAAATAATAATAATAACACAGTGTAACACAATTTTTGTTCCTGGGTTAACAGTGTTATTTTCTAATTGGTTCTATCATAACAACATGGGATAAATTTATTAAACTGCAAAAATTTTGTTCTTGCGGGAGGGTCACCCTACAGCACATTTTGCTATAGTTTTTCATTAAATATCTGATAGAATCTCAACCAATTAGTTTGTGGCACCCACAACAACAAAGTTTCTGGAGTAGAACAACTACTTTCAAAGGACCACACAATTAAATGGGAAATAACACTTTCAAACCAGGAACAGATTTTTTTTTCCAAATTTTGTTACATGGTGTAATCATCATCAATATAAATCATAACATTATTGACATTACTACTTAAAAGAAATGATAATGTAAATTATAATTAAAATATTTGTAAACACTCAAGCGTGTGCCTTTGGATGAGAGGTTTTTATACATGATTAAAGGAAAATTGTTGTGCATGAAAAACATAAGACAACCCTTGAAAATAAGCCCTATTAACTAATATAAGACTTGGTCTTACTTTAGGGGAAATACGTTACACAAAGGTGCATACACACGCAAACCTGTTCCTTTCTAGACCAACTAAAATAAACATATGTTCTATATAGGGGTCCCCTTAAGTCTGCCCTTCCTCTTTGAATGTGCTTTTCCTGCATGGCAGGGGTTGGACTAGATGGCCCATGCGGTCTCTTCCAACTCTGTGATTCTATTCTATTCTTCCTCTCCCAACCAGCCTTTGTCTTATGATTTTTGGGCAGGATGAAAAAGAGCAGCTGATCCAGGCCAAGAGTTCGGTGGCCAGCCTGGTGGGGCGCTCCAAGAGCATCGTCCAGCTGAAGCCCCGGAACCCAGACCACGTTCTGGAGGGAACCATCTCCGTGAAGGCCGTCTGTGACTACCGTCAGATTGAGGTCTGGGAAGGAAGTCCTGTTTAGATCTATGTTACAATCCAATTCCAGACCATCCCCGAGTTACAAACATTCGACTTATAAACAACTAGTGAAGAATAGGGCTGGGACAACAGGAAATGAGAGAAATCTCTCTTTGGAGGGGAAAATAATTCGTGGAAGAGTTATTATCAGGGGAAAAAGAGGTCTCCACAGAAGATTTATGCCCAATCCTTGTTCCCACAGCAAGCCAAATTCCAATTTTCACAGGGACTTCAGTAAGGTGACATCTTTTAAACAGAAACATAGACAGCACAACGGACCTCACAGAGGTGTTCACCCTTCCCTATGCAATTAAAAAAAGCTTTAAAATATTCCAGATTGAAGTGGGCACCTGGGGCGGTACCTCTGTGACCCCTTCGACTGCATGGACTTTCCAAACAAAATAAATTAAAAATAGAAAAATAGCCATATAGGGATATTTCAAGGGGAACAGTCAATTGAAAAACTGAAATCAACAAGCAGAGAGTGTGAACCTTATAGATTAGTTTTTATTGTTCTATGTGTAGGTTATTATTTATTATTCTTATTATTAATAGTTTTATTTCTTACTTCTCATGGCTTGAGGCGGGTTTCAACATAGTTAAAACACATAGTCATGGTAAACATTCTATAAAATACACATATAAAATGTATTTCTATAAAATACATATTGATATACACAGAACAAAAATTAAAACACAGGGCGTGAGTTTAAAAAGTCTCGATTAAAATTGGCTGGGCTTAGTAGTGGATTGTTTTACGATTTATTTATTTATTTTGTGTCACAAGCAGCTAAATAGTTTTTGACCAAAAACGAGCAACAGCCACTGCATTGTCTGTAGCTTTAAACAGTTCTTCCTCTGTGCATGAGGCAGGACATGGTGGACAAGCACAGTCATGCAAGGTGGAAGATTCTTCTACGTAGTGCCATTTAGCCAGGTTGTCTTTTGATCTGCCAACTCCACTTCTGAGTCTGTTAAAGGACTTCCAAGTTGCCCATTCTTGGTTTGCCCCTGGAGGAAGTCCATCCAGTTGGAATTGCCTGGTTTTGCTGCTGATAGTCTTACTGTTGCTGCAGGAACATTAAGAGGAGTGGTGGTTCTCATGAAACTTTTCCTTTGTTTAAGTCTACTGGAAAGAGGCTGATAGCCATGCAGTGGGTGGCTTTCACAGTTTTCAACCTTATTTCTCTCACAATTGGCAGCAACTTCCTGTCGCACATCAAGGGGGCAATGCCAGCTACTTGTAGAGTTTATCAACAGGTGCTATAGTCACCTGCTTTGCGTGTGCAGATTTATGGCTTCTATCAGCTGGAGTCATTTTAAAGATTGAGAAGAATGCTTCCATGAGGCTTGAGACTATACATTGTATGTCAAGGGCAATGGTGGCCTTCCAGATGTTTGTTGACTCCTAGTTCTTACAATCAGGGTTGATGTGGTATCTGGAGGGCCACCATGATCTGCACTTGTGTTACCGTGAGTCACTTTAGGGGAGAAGGCAGAACCTGAAGCCGTGGAGCCATTCTTGCACCCTTCAAATAGCCATCCCTTTGGCTTTCCCCCCACAGATCACCATCTGCAGGAATGACGAATGTGTGCTGGAGGACAACTCCCAGCGGATCCAGTGGAAGGTCATCAGCCCCACCGGGAACGAGGCCATGGTTCCATCCGTCTGCTTCCTGGTGTCTCCTCCCAACAAGGAGGCCATCGATGTGGCCAGCAGGTAAAGGACTCACACACAACTCCATTGGACCACGAGGAGGCTTCTGCGGGGACTCTCTTATTGTGGTGGTTGTTGTTACTTTGGGGCTGTGGAAGCCCTTGATTTGACAAGACTACCAGTTGGAATGAATCGGCTGCAGAGCATGTATAGGGCTATGGCATTAGTCTTAGAATAGTAGGATCTTAGATTTGGGAAGGGTCCCCAAAGTTCATCTGGTCCAGCCCATTTCTGGCATGCAGAAAGAGCACAATCAAAGCCCTCCTAACAGATGGCCATTCAAGTTCTGCAAATAATGATGATACTTATAATTATTGTTATTAGTATTATAGAATCCTAGAATTTGAAGAGATCTCAAGGGCTATCCAGTTCACACACCCAATCAAAGTAGACACAATCAAAGCACTCCCGACAGTTGACCATTCAAGCGATAATGATGATAACAATTATTATTATTATTATCATCATTATTACTATTACTATAGAATTCTAGAGTTGGAAGAGATCCCCAAAGGCCATCCAGTCCAACCTCCTCCCATGGAAGAAGATACAACCAAAGCATTCCTGACAAATGGCCATCCAAGTTTTGCTAACAACAACAACCTAATTCTAGAGTTGGACGAAACCCCCAAAGGCCATCCAGTCCAGGTTTGGATCAGAACGACTGGTGACCTTGAGCAAGTCACACTTTTATCTCAAAGGAAGGCTGTGCCAAGCCCCCTCTGAAGACATTTTGTTAAGGAGACTCTTGGTTGGGTTTCCAACAGCTGGAATCATCAAAGGTTGAGAAGACACATAATAGCCATGTTTAAATATCTGAAAAGCTATGATATTGAGGAAGGGCAGGCTGCCATTCTGCTGCCTTGGAGACTGGAACTCAATAGAGCCATGGGTTCAAATGACAGAGAAGGAGATTCCACCTGAACATTAGGAGGAACTTCCTGATCATAAGAAGAGCTGTTCAGCAGTTGAACTCTCTTCCTCAGAGACTGGTGGAAGCTCTTTTTTGGAGGCCAGATGGCAATCTGTTGGAAGGGCTTTGATTGTGCTTTTTCTGCATGACAGATGGCAGATTGGACTGGATGGCTCCTGGGATCTCTTCCAACTCTAAAGGTGGATAACCACAGCAGGAAGCTGCAATCTTTGGTGCCGCTCTGCTTGATTCTTCCTCTCTCTTCCTTCCTGTTTGCAGAGTGGAACAGCTCTACCAGAAGACAATGGCCCTCTGGCACAAACTTCACGTCAACATGAAGAGCCTGGTTTCCTGGAATTACTTGAAGAAGGACATCTCCGTGGTTCAGGGCTGGAGCATGGAGAAGGTAAGGCCCACAGAGAGATGGTCCAAGGCAGATGGAGAATGCACCTTCCACTTTCATGGGAGTTAAAGACACCGAATCCCCATGGAACTGGAAACATTGCAAGCAAAAGCCCCGCCCTTACATTTTTGTTGGGTGATTTCAAAAAAAAAGAAAAAGGCATTTTAAAAACGGCAAATCAGCAACAACCGTAAGCAGCAGCAGTTGAGCAAATCAGAAGCTTTTAGAGTTTAGCAGTAGAGCAAATGAGCTTCAACAATTGCACTATGTAACACAATTTGAAAAATGTTATGTTCCTGGTTTGAAAGTGTTATTTCCTGTTGCATTGTGTGTTCATTACTTTGAAAGTAGTTGTTATAGTAGTTGTTATACTTTTGTGTCTGCCACAAACTATGTTGAATAGGTTGAGAATCTATGAGATAGGGGCCATGCTTAGCACAATGGGTTACACTGCTAAGCTGCAGAAAATCCTGCCAATTGAAAGGTTGGCAGTTCAAGCCCAGGTCGGGGTGAGCTCTTGCTGTCAGCCCCAGCTTCTGCTCACCTAGCAGATTGAAAGCAGAAATGCCAGTAGATAATTAAATACCGCTTTAAGTGGGGAGATAATAAAGGCGCCTATAAGGACTTCAGGAGACGTCTATGGATGACAAAGCTCCTCGGCATGGAAGATAGAGCGACAGCATCCCCCCGTGTCTGGAGTCAGGCGCAGCCTTCAAATGCCGGAGATGGAAAAAGATGGGAAAGCCTGTTTATGTATTGTCTGTCCTACAACAGCATTGAATATTTTCCGTATATGTGTACTGTATTCCACCTTGAGTTCCCTCAGGGAGATAGAGTGGAATATAAATAATAATAATTAATAATAATAATAATAATAATTACTATTACTATTATTATTAATGAAGAAACTAAAGCAAAATGTGTTGCAGAATGTACCGCCAAAACTAAATTTTTGCAGTTTAATGAACTGTTCTCATGCTTTTTTAAATGATAGAACCAATTAGAAAGTGACATTTATAACTCAGGAACATAAATTGTGTTACATAGTGCAATGGGGCAGGTCAGTGGACAAAAATCATGTTACACAGTGTTACAGGAGCAGAGTCATGTTTTAAAAGTTAGAAAGAACTTCATTGAAATAACTACATTTCTAGGTAGGAAAGTAAGGGCCTAGCTATCTAATTATCTAGCTCTCTGAAGCAAACGTCCTCTCTCTCTCCATGCTTACAGAAGAAGAACAAAAATGGAGGACTCAGGGACTTGCCATGTGGCTGGATACTTTGAATAAAAAGAGATGTGTCCCTTAGAAGTGGCAGTCAAACCAGCAGGAGAAAAAGAAAAGAAAGAGAGAGAGAGAATAGGCAGACAAGTAGGACAATGGAAGAAAGGATTTCCCTCCTTGATGAGAACTATAGACTTGTGCAGGATGTGGTTGACTTCCAACATTTTTAATTTATTTATGTATTTATTTATTTTCCACATTTGTACCCGCCCTTCTCACTCCTTAGCGGAGACAACAATTCAATGCCAACACGTATCAATCTGAAAATAAACAAATACATTAACTTCCAAACAATTACAAGAGCAATGATTAAAACAACAGTTTTTCCATTTTATCTGAGAGGACACGTCTCTAAGGATCTCCCTAGGCCCTTCAAGGTGTTCAGAAAGGCAGCATATTAATGATCTTTGTGTTTTTGCGCAGCTGAGGGCCTTGCCCTCGGGAGAATGCCACCAGGCCATGAGGAACCTGCAGCTGCACTACGACGACTTCTTGGAGGACAGTCGGGATTCAGAGCTCTTCTCGGCATCCCATCGGCTGAGGCTGAAGGAGGAGGTGGAGGCTTGCAAGGAGAAGTTCCAGCAGCTGATGCAGTCCATGGAAAATGGTAAGGCACCCAAGATGGAGCTCTTGTGAGGGGAGGAAGGGCCATGGAGATGCCCAAAGGGGACGGGAGCTGGCCACTTCCAGAATGAGGATGAGGAGGTATAAGAATAAGAATGCAGGCAGTCCCCAAGTTACAAACAAGATCGGTTCTGTAGGTTTGCTCTTTGTAAGTTGGAACAGGCTCATTTTAAAAATGTAACTCCAGTGAAATAGATATATTTTAGCTCTGGATGGCATAGGGAAGGGCGAACACCCCTGTGGGGTTTCCTTTGCTGCTTGTGCTCCTGTTCAGAAGATTTCACCTCACTTCCTTTCGCTGTGATACTTGGATTTTGAAAAATTTGGCTTGTTGTGGAAACAAGGATTGATGCTAATGCCTCAGAGGAGAGACATTTCCCCCATGAAAATAATTCTTCCATGGGTGAATTTCCTTTCCTAGAAGTAGGTTTCTCTCACCGTCCCCGAGTTCCAAATATCTGACTTACAAACAACTCCTAGTTAAGAACAAGGTGTCTCCATTGAGGCTTTCTCTCTAATCCTTGTTTCCAAAACAAGCCAATTTTCTCAAAATCCAATTCTCACAGGGATAGGAAGTCAGGTGAAATCTTCCAAAGAGTTAGACAGAAAATAGACCTCGACATTTTGTAGTTGTAGTTGCTGGGATGTGTAGTTCACCTACAATCAAAGAGCATTCTGAACCCCACCAACGAGAGAATTGGGCCAAACTTCTCACACAGAACCCCCATGACCAACAGAAAATACTGTGTTTTCTGATAGTCTATGGTGATCCCTCTGACACCCCCTTGTGACCCTCCCAGTGGCCCTGACTCCCCGGTTGAGAAATGCTACTCTATAAGGTGGAAACAACCTGCTCGTCTGCCGCTCATTTTCCCCAAACTCCATTAGTGTTCACATTTGGGCAAACTCTGGTTATGGGATCAACTGTTCACAGGATAGATGGTTGTAACTGACTGTTTTTAGTTGACGACAATGGATTGAAGATGGTTTTAATGGACTGTTTGAACTGATGACTATGGATTGTTTTGGAGGATGACATTAAATGGCGTATTGTTTTAATGTATTATAACTGTTTTTAATGTAGGTTAAATGTATTTTATGTTTATTGTTTGGCACCGAATGGTGCCTGCTGGTAGCTGTCCTGAGTCCCTCTTCAGAGGTGAGAAGAACGGGATAGAAATTGTAATAATAATAATAATAATAATAATAATAATAATAATAATAGTGTATTCGTGCCAAGTTTGGTCCAGATCTATCATTTTTTGAGTCCACAGGGCTCTCTGGATGGAGGTGAACTACAACTCCAAAACTCAAGGTCAATGCCCACCAAACCCTTCCAGTATTTTCTGTTGGTCATGGGACTTCTGTGTGCCAAGTTTGGTTCACTCCATCGTTGATGGAGTTCTGAATGCTCTTTGTTTGTAGGTGAACTATAAATCCCAGAAACTGCAACTCCAAATGACAAAATCAATCCTCCCCCAACCCCACCACTATTCAGATTGGGGCGTATTAGGTATTTGTGCCAAATTTGGTCCAGTGAATGAAAATACATCCTGCATATCAGATATTTACATTACAATTCATAACAGTAGCAAAATTACAACATGAGTAATTGTATTAAAAAGTCACACATTAGGAAGGTTGAGAACCACTGTTATAAAGGGTTTCATTGTTTTGGCTTTTTTTAATGCTTGCTTCAAACAGAGGACAAAGATGAAACAGCTTCCCGAACGTACCTTTCTGAGCTGAAAAACATCCGCCTTCACCTGGATGAATGTGAGCAGCGGCTGGTGGGCACCATCCGCACGCCAAGCAGCACAAGGACGGATGGCGATGCCTTGCAGGAAAATACCTTCCGCATCGCTGAGCAGGAGGTTGGTGCTTCCAGAGAGGGAGGGTGGTAATATGTCCCAAAGTGCCTGTTGTTTTCAGAAGCTTAGCTCTAGGTAGGACTCAGGACCAGCAGTTGTCAATCCTATTTAGTGAGAGGAACTGGAGGGAAGGATTCTGTTGGGATAGGATTGTCCTCGCCTTGATTTTAAACAGACAGTGATGGGGCAGGCTTTACCTCTCATGAGAATCTCGACCCTTCCTTCCCATCCATTGTATATTTTGCAATAGTATAGGTATAGGTTTTCCCCTGACATTAAGTCCAGCCGTGTCCAACTCTGGGGTGTGGTGCTCATCTCCATTTCTAAGCTGAAGAGCCAGCATTGTCCGTAGACACATCCAAGGTCATGTGGCCAGCATGACTGCATGGAGTGCCGTTACTTTGCAATAGGAAGCAATATAAAGATGTATGAATTAGTGGTGTTCCCAGCAGTGCATGAACCTGAAGGAGGTTGTTAGGGTCTATGATAGATGGGCAGGAAAAGGATGGTTGGGAAGGAAGGAAGGAGGAGATCTATGAAGGATGTGAGGTGAGGCGAAAGGGAAGGGAAGGGAAAGGATTGTTATGAGTAACTTTTCAATAACTTTAAAATATAATAATAATAATAATAATAATAATAATAATAATAATAATAAACCTTTATTTATACCCCACTAACATCTCCCGAAGGACTCGGTGCGGCTTACAAGAGGCCGAGGCCAAATACAACAGTAAAACAATAGCATAACAAATACAACAATAAATAAACTCATAAAACAAAGCAATAAACATTAAACAATAGCAATAAAGTATAGGTTCTTTTTATTGCAATTTTCCAGTAAGAGAAAGGGTATCAGAACTTTTACAGGACTTTTAATTTTGTGTTAATTTTGCTTTATTTATTTTATGTTGCTACTGTATGTATTTTATTCTGATGTAATTTTTTGTTGTCTGCATTCTGTATTTTATTTTGCTGTATTATATTTTGGGCTTGGCTTCATGTTAGTTGCCCCGAGTCCCCTTTACGGAGATGGTGACGGGGTATAAATAAAGTTTATGATTATTTATTATTTTACACAAAGAACGACATTGGACATGCAGACATACATATTTTATGGTAACTGCATTGAATTCCCAAACAGCCTACAGATACACTGGCTAACAAACAAACAAAGGAAGGAAAATTACAGTTTTACTCAGCATTCACACACATACACTCAGCATCATACGTACATCACCATTTCTCCTTCTGTCATCTCATGGAGAAGAACACATGCACTTAGGCCAGACTCTGCTTTCCCTGCAACCTGCCAACACCCAGATCTAAAACTTCCAAAACTTCTTTCCCTAAGAACATGATTCCAAACCACACTTCTTCCTCTTCCTTTGAGAGAAGGAGCCCAAAGTATACAAAATCTTGCTTTCCCATAGCAGATCTAACACTCTCCGTACACCATCTCTGCCCTTCCCATGGAGCAGAGAGGCGGGTGAACAGCTCCGCTGTCTGTCACACTTTGAGAATTATTAGATTGAGTCTGCTGATGTCGTAAACAATTGAGCTGTTTGAAATTATCTTTAGTCTTCACCTCTTGACATAGATGTTCCTGAAAGAGAATTGTCTTTGACTAATGTAAACAGAGATCATTTCCTTTAGAGTTAATTCGGTTTCTGGTCACCAAATGTTGACAGATGCAAACAGATGTAAACATTTCTCTTATCACTGTCATAGTTCTTATCAATGTTAGCAGTTCAGCAACTTTTAATTACAGTCCAACAAGAAGGTAGTAAATGATTTAGTCATTGCATGCCTTAATATTTTAGAATGGTGTCTTCAAAATTATTAGCTCTCATTCATACACCTTTCATGCAATTCCATTCAAACCATATATCATATTTTATCATGACAGGATCTATAATGGATGGGAAGGAAAGAAGGAAGGAAAGCAGGGAAGAAAGGAGAGGGAAGGAGGAAGAAAAGAAGGAAGGAAGGGATCTATGATGTATAGGAAGGAAGGAGGAGATCTATACAGGATGGGAAGGAAGGAAGAGATCTATGATGGATGGTCATGAAGGGATGGAAGGAGGGAAGGAAAGATGGGATCTATGATGGATGGGGAGGGAGGAAGATTATGATGATGATACATTTATTGCCCTCCTCTGCCTGCAGCTCGAATTTGACTCCTTCCTTCCTATCTGTCATATAGTTTGCAAGAGTTGGCAATATAAAATCGTAACAAATGTGTCTATGAATTAATGATATTCCTGGCAATGGATAAACCCGAAGGAGGTTGTTAGGATCCCAGCTCTGTTCCATTCCCTGCTGATCATGACCTGGAAGGTCTCCATCTCTGACACCACTGTTTTCTGCAGCGGCTGAAGGAAGATCTGCAGAACCTGAAGGCAGACTTGGATCAGTTTTCGGAGCGGTGCAGCATTTTCCTGCTCAAGTCCCCTACAGGGTCCAGCACTCCGCACCTCCGTTCGGAGCTGAACCTCCTAGTAGAGAAGATGGGCCATGTACACGGGCTTTCCTCCATCTACCTGGACAAGTGAGTGCCCATGGTCCTAAGCTGCATGCAACATATTGGGCAGCTGACCAATACAACCACTGGGTTGGGTTTGGGTTATGCTTGAATCTGTCCTGAATAACAAACCCTGCAACCCAAAAGCATTGGTCAAAATGTCAGGAAATGACATCCCTTCCTGTTGCCTTTTCTTTTGGTTCTGATAGGTTAAAAACGGTAGACATCATCATCCGGAATACCCAGGGGGCTGAGTCCTTGGTCAAGGGCTACGAGGTGAAGCTCAGCCAAGAGGAAGCAGTGCCCACTGACCTAGCGGCCATTTGCTCCCACCAGACCACCTTACAGGTCAGTAGCCATTGCTGTTGTGACAGGAGCTTATACCCTGCCTTTCCTGCAGTAATAGGACTCCAGGTTGTTAAAAAAAATGTTCTTGGGCTTACCATGGAAACACCACACCACGAATAACACGACCAAAATGTTGAGACCCACCACTGTGTGCCTTCTAAAAAGGCCACCCCAAAACCCCTAGGGTCTCGATCCAGTTAGACACTATGAGGCTGTGGCTGAATGCTATGGGATTTTTGGGATTTGTAGTTTGGTGAGGCATCAGCCCTCTTTGACAGAGAAGGCTCAAGACTTTGTCAAACTACAACCTTCATGATTCCATAGCATTGAGCCAAGGCACTTTAAAGTGCATTCATTCTGCAACATAGATGCACCCCAAGGTTTTCTTTTCCTTTGCTGGAAGCTTTGGCTCTCTAATATTTTTGTTTTCAAGGAAGGAATTCTAAGCAGGCAACAACTGTAATGGCCAAACAAAAAAAAAGTGCACTTTGTGCTGCTTTTTGCACATTAAATTCATCAGCAAATACTTTTTTGGGTTTTAGAGTTTTGAAAACGGAGGTGCACATTAGATGCAATGGTGCATGATATTCAATTCAATCCACTAGTCAATTTTTCGATTCAGTAGTTTCTCTGTGTGTGTGTATCTTGTCCTGTTGCAGCAATGGACCAGCGAAGTGAGGGACAAGAAGGCCGTCTTTGCAGCGCTTGAAGAGGACTTGTCCAGAGCCAAAGAGGTAGCAGAGCAACTCTTCCGCCTGAAACAGGAGCGCAGTGTGGACCTGGAGCGCTACCAGGAGAAAGGGGCACAGCTCTGGGAGCGATGGCAACGGGTCGGCCTCCAGGTGGAGACCCGGTCAGTGGCAGTTTATTATATATATATAAATACCTTCTTGTCTGCAAGAAATGCGGCCATCCTTGCTGGTTTGGTTTCCAATTGCATTAGTTTAAATATATATCTTAAATATATATCTAATAATGTATATATCTTGTTTTAAAAACACTTTTTTTTGTAAAAAAAGAAAAAAAAAGATCTCTCCTGGAAATTTTCCACAAAACAGTATATTTTGCACAAAAGCAGTGCAATTAATGGTTTGAGTGAGCAGGTTTTGGACAAATGCAAAAAACAAAGTATTGAGGGGATTGGACTTCTAATCTTGGAAGTTAAGTATGGTCAGACCTGGTTAGTCTTTGGAAGGGAGGCTGCTGATTAATACTAGATGCTGAGAAAGGAACTGGCAAAGCCACCTCTCGGTGTCATTTGTCTACTTATGCCTCATGAAAAATGCCAGGGGTCATCATAAATTGACAGGCAACTTGAAGACACATAGACTTGCAGCTCTTGGCCATTCAGATTAAGAACATTTTATTGAGGCAGAGTACAACAGTGTTAAACCACCGAGATAAAATAAAAGACAATTTAAATACATATAACAAATATACACAGATCAATTTATTTATTTATTTGCGGCATTTATATGCTGCCCTTCTCACCCCAAAGGGGACTCAGAGCGGCTTACAAGATATATTTTCATACAATATATTATATTATTAGGATACTACAATATCAGTATTATATATTACTATATTGCACTATACCATTATATTGTAATATTATTAGTAATATTACATGTAATGTAAATATACAATTATAATTATAATATTGTATTATTATTGTTATAAAATACAGCTTTTGGTTCCCCACTAAATTTTTAGCAGGGAAATACACTGTTTACCTTTTCTATAGTCAATATCTTACTGCAGGAAAGGCCTTGTCCCATATGCTTTCCAGCCATGGTTCTTATTGGGCATCAGGGTGGTATTCCTTCCCCCTTGGTGTCCACTGTGTCTCATCCCTGCATCTCCTTAAATCTCTTGACAGACAATCGGACCTGGAGAGTATCCAAGACGTTCTGGGTGACTACCGGAGTTGCCACGGGGCCCTGATCCGATGGATCGAGGAGACCACTGCCCAGCAGGAAGCCATGAAGCCAGGGCAGGCCGAAGACAGCCGGGTCCTTTCTGAGCAGCTCAGCCAACAGATGGTAAGACCTCCAGGGCCGCAAAGGAGCCAGAAGGCATGGCGGATATGTATACATATATTGGCCGTCAGCTTGGATATCTCCTTTACAAAAGGGGCACTTAGACACATCGGTGGTGAGGAGGACACCTTCATTGCATGGGGCATTAGTGGGCCAATTATACGCAGCTTGTGGGAACAGATTGACAAGTAGACATTCAAATCGGTCTTGGTGCAGTTCCTTCTGTTGAACTAATTGGGATGGAGAATTCAGCTCCATGTTTAGCTCCTACAAAGTTTGGAGCCAAACCTGGAACAGATCCAAGGGGAGCCAGCGGTCACAAAATCCAAATTGGTTTTCAACATAATACATGGCAAAATTCAATGCCTCACATATGTATAGAAATATATCACATATCTAAACCAATAACCTAGGTGACCATTCAGCAGACTCACAGTTATATGTGAGAAACCTGTTCTTGTTGTCTGTTTCCATGATTTTGACAAATGATTTCCTTTCCCATTCCAAGGCCCTTTTCGCTGAAATCGAGGCCAATCAAGCCAAGCTGGACCAATGCCAGAAACTCTCTCAACAATATTCAGCGGCCGTCAAGGTAACACTATAATGGACAATGCAGAAATATTGACACTACTTGTTTCACACCAGGGGGTTTTCAAGTGGAAAGAAAATGAGGGACAGGTGTTTTCAGAAGGAAGCCTGCTCACTGTATCAGGCTTGGTTTTGTCACATTCCAGGTCATTGTGCATTTTAAGTGGAGCAAAAATGAAGTCTCTAGAATTGAACCCACAAATATACAAAGGCAGGTGGTAGGGCTGGCTTGACAGGTTATGGTTTCTTGAAGTCATGAAGTATGGAAACTGCTGGCAAGAAGATTGAAATAGGTAGATAGATAGTGACAGATGTAGATTGGTAAAGTGTGGGGGAGAGATAGGTAGAGAGTTGGTGGAAACTTGGCTTTCCCCCTGTCCTTAAAGAAGGCCTAACTCCACTGTTCCTCCCTTATGGGCTCCTCCCTCACAGATACATTTTTTCCACTACTATCTCATCCAGCGTTTTATCACTTTTATCTTGAGAATTTGGCCTGTCCATTGTGTTATATTTCTTTAATATATTATTTTGCAATTTTAATATTTTAAATTATTTTACAATAATATTTTTAATGTTGTTACTTTATTTTGTTATTTTATTTTGTTACTTTATGTATTTTATTGTGTTGCAATTTTTTGTTGCCTGGTATTTTATTTTGTCATGTTGTATTACTGGGCTTGGCCTAATGTTAGCTGCCCCGAGACCCCTTTGGGGAGATGGTGGCAGGGTATAAATAAAGATTATTATTATTATTATTGAGAGAGAGAGAGAAATAGATAAAGAGAGAGAGAGAGTAGATAGATAGATAGGTAGATGAAGAGATAGGTAGGTAGATAGATGGGTAAGTAAATAAGAAAGGGAGAATGGATAGATAGGTAGTTCGAGAGATAGGTAAATTAAGAGATAGGTAGGAGTAGATGGGTAAGTAAGTAAGAGGGGGAATGAATAGATAGAGAGAGAGATAGGTAGAGAAGGGGGATAGATAGGTAGGTAGATCAAGAGATAAATAGATAGATAGATAGATAGATAGATAGACAGACAGACAGACAGACAGATGAAGGGATAGATGGAGGGATAGATCGGTAGGTAGGGAGAGAGAGAGAGAAAAGAGTAATGCAAGACCTCAAAGCAACATCCTCCTTTGAGGATGTTAAATGCAAAGCAGCGCATAATGAATTTAAAGGTCCTGTTGGAAGTTTCAGAGGCATAGAGCTGTTTAACAAACCCCTGAGACTTCATTCTGTCTCCTCAAAATTTGTGGAGTAAATTGGAATGGTCTCATTCCACAGATTTAATCATCGAAAACGTTTCACGCAATATGAGCGATTAAACCAAGCTGTAATATTGCCAGTGATACGCTCTTTTTGGTGGTGATAGCCAAGAAACCTTGACAGCTTAAAGTAATTTAGGCTTAAATTAAATTAAAGATTTTGATGGAAGCAATTGCTGAAGAGTAAATGAGCACCCAGCTAAACACCATTGATTCTGAATATCTATGTGAGCTGAGATTTAGATTTAATGATTAGATTTAGATCGTTGCCTCTGGAAAATGGTCATAAACACAGATGGCCGAACCATAGAAAAGAGAGGAATTATTTGCAATAAAGGCCTGCTATTCTCTGAGAAAGTGTATTCAGTCAGAACTGAAAGTCATCCTTCTGAATCTACAATCTCATCCAGTTAGTTAGGCAGGTATGGAGATGATATTGCATTATGTTTATATATGCTATTATATATGTACTAGCTATACCTGCCATGCGTTGCTGTGGCCAGCCTTCCCTCTTTCTCTTTTTCTTTCTCTCCTTCCTCTTTTCCTTTTCCTTCTTCTTTCCCTTCTTTTTTCTTTCTTCTCTACCTGTTTCTCTCTTTCAGTGCTTCCCTCCCTCTTTTTCCTTCCTTCTTTCACTTTTTTATTTCTTTCTCTCCTTTCTTCCTTCTCTACCTTTCTTTCTTTCCTTCCTTCTCTCCTTCCTTCCCCCTTTCTGTGTATATGTATTTTGTGTGTGTATATATGCATATATGTGTGTGTATATTTGTGTATATGTGTGTTTACATATATATGTGGTTTTGTGCATGCGTTGTAATGTAATTTTGGGGGATGTTTTGGCTTTTAAGTCTTTTTTTGCTGTGTTTTCCAGTGTTTTTATGAGTGATGGTCACTCGTTGGCCTGATCGATGTCTTGTGTCCAAATTTGGCGGCAATTCGTCCAGTGGTTTTTGAGTTATGTTAATCCCACAAACGAACATTACATTTTTATTTATATAGATTTATGTGTATGTGTGTCTATATAAAATTATATGTGTGTGTGTGTGTGTGTGTGTGTGTGTGTGTATATATATATATATATATATATATATATATTATTGTTGTAGTTATTGTTATTGTTATTAATATTTCTTACCTGTCTCTTCTTGTGGCTCAAGGTGGTGCACAACATAGTTAAAACACTTCATCATAAAACTTTACATAAAATACATATATTAAATCATTTTTCTATGGAATACATATATTAAAATGCACAGAATAAAGATTAAAATACTGTAAACACAGGACATGAGTTTAATAAATAACCTTTGTCTGTCTTTGCATTTCTCAGGATTATGAGCTGCAGCTGATGGCATACCGGGCCTTTGTGGAGTCGCAGCAGAAGTCCCCTGTGAAGCGCCGGCGCATGCTTTCCTCCTCGGACACCATCACCCAAGAGGTGAGGCTCCATGCGCAACCCTTTTAATGGGGCGAGGGGTTGCAGCACTATTTTTGGGGGAAAACGGTGTGCTGCTTCTCCTGGCAAAATGGCATTCTCCTGAAAATATATAACACCATGTAACGTTATAAATGTCATTTCCTAATTGGTTCTGTCACAAAAACATGGAAAAGGTTTATCAAACTTTTTTTTTTTTTGCGGGACATCCTGCAGGACCTTTTGCTACTGTTTTTCAATGAATATTTAATTGAGTCTCAACCAATTCAACCTAGTTTTTGGCAGCCACAAAAACAAGGTTTCTGGAGGTCAACTACTTTCAATATAAGGACCGCACAATTAAACAGGAAATAACACTTTCAAACCAGGAACAGAATATTTTTCAAATTGTGTTGCCTAGTGGTATTGATGAAACTCATTCTCTATACTGCTAAACTACGAAGAACATTCACACCTAGCTCCAACAGAAAAGAGTTCTTTGTCCCACCCTGGTCATGCCATAGATATATAAACCCATTTTCCTAGTTCCACTACCTCTGAGGATGCTTGCCATAGATGCAGGTGAAATGTCAGGAGAAAATGTCTCTATAACATGGCCATATAGCGCGAAAAAACCTACAACAACTCTACGGAGACCTGTTTCTTCTTTTGTCTATATGTATTTGCCAACCCTGGTCTGTATCCTCATGCTCTTTCCCAGACTTTGCGTGGACACACGAGACTGTGGATAAGAGTGAACCCTATTTAAATGCAGAACTTTTGGGCCCAAGAATATCATAGAGTCATGTTGGAGGATGTACAAAATTGTTAAAGAGGATGTCTTTGTGGGACGGAGGCAGCCAGCCAGATACAGCTACGTCGTGTGTTTACATCTAATTTATCTTTATGGAGATTGTAAGCCTGAGGGTAAATTAACATTTTGTAAGCTGCTCAAAATATCTTTGGGGCTGAAAAGGAGAGCAAAATGATGTAAATAAAATAAATATTGTGTTGCATGTAGATAAATGAAACCAAGGATAGCAGTCCCATGAATGCAGGGGTTGAACTGTACTGTACAATTCCATAAATTATCCTTAAAAAGGCATAGCTACTGCAAGTAGCAAATAAATGGAACAGCACATAGACATTCCAATAACATTCAGCTGGGCATAGTCCCTTTGAGCTGCCGGTCTCCAGAGTCCAGCCAGCCTACGAACAAGAAGGTTACAGCCACCTTCCTTACGCTTCTTTGTCTCTCCTTCCTCCTCCTCCTCCTCCTCCTCCTCCTCTTCCTCCTCTTCCTCCTCTTTCCTATCTTAGTTCATGGACCTGCGGACACGCTACACGGCCCTGGTGACGCTGACCACGCAACACGTGAAGTACATCAGTGATGCCCTTCGGCGTTTGGAGGAGGAAGAGGTCAGTCGGGGGCTCACAGAGGGTCCCCCTGTGGAGTCTGCCTTGGATAATTCTTTGGCTTCCAATGGGGTGGGGTCCCAGATCTTCTTGGGATCATAGAATTATTATTATTATTATTATTATTATTATTATTATTATTTACGTAACTTTATCCCGCCCTTTTCAGCCCGAAGGTGACTCAGGGCGGCATACAGACTGGCAACAATTAGATACCGCACATACATACATATATGAATTAAAAAACAATTAAGTCACATCATAAAATCCATATAAAAACCATAGAAGCTATAAAAACTATTTTTAAAAAACAATGTCTTCCAGTCCAATTCCTCATCCATTTACATCATCTTAGCCGTTTCGTGTTTGTATTCACAATCTTGTGTTTATCTGGTCACATTGAGGTTCCAAATGCTTGCTCGAAGAGCCAGGTTTTCACTCTTTTCCGATAGGTCAGGAGAGAGGAGGCTGATCCTAATAATCCTGGGAAGGGAGTTGGAAGAGGCCACATGGGTCATTCCACTGCCATGCAGGGAAAGCACAATCAAAGCACCCATGACAGATGGCCATCCAGCCAAAGAAGGAGAATCCACTAGACTCCGAGGGAGAGAGTTCCACTGTTGAACATTTCTCCTTATGGTCAGGAACTACTTCCTAATGTTCTTTTCTGTCATTTGAACCCATGGCTCCTTTTAGTCCTAGTCTCCAGAGCTGCAGAACACCAGCCTGTTCCCTCTTCCTTATGACATCCTTTCAAATATTTAAATATGGCAATCGTGTCTCCTCTCATCCTTCTCTTCTGAGAAGGCCCTGACTCTCGTCCACACCAGTCGGACCTATGAAGGAGATGGGATCAGGAGCAGGGCCTCCCCAGACGATCTTAACCTCCTAGCTGGCTCATAGAGGGAGATACGTTCAGACAGAAACAATGTCCAGAAACAATGACATCCTACCTAGAAGTAGTGTTTTGGTGGTCACTATAAGTTCCATACAACCCTCTAGGGCCACTCTTTACTTTTGCTATCTGCTTCTTACTAGAAATGGACCACTTTTGCCTCAAGACCCATCTGTACTGTCAGCATCCTTTAGAGTCTCCTCTTGTCCTTGGATTCTGGGCAAATTCAAGGCAGATTAAACACTGTGTCCTTCACACAATCTTCATTGCTCTCATTCAGTTTGAATGTCAATGAATGTTGAATGCTATCATTAACAACTTGACCAAACTCTGGCACCATCTTGGAGATTGGCAGTTTTAAAAGAAATCCTTCTGCATGTGGTGGAAGGACATCCCCCTGCACCACTGTAACCCGTGTTTCATATCATCTCATTGTTCTTCTTTTTACAGAAAGTGGTTGAGGAAGAAAAGGTAGAGCACGTGGACAAAGTGAAAGCGCTCCTGGGCTGGGTCTTGAATTTTAAACAGAGCTCACAATTCAAAAACATCCCATCGGAGAGTAAAGACCTTGGCAACATCGAGAAATCCATTTTGGAGCAGCAGGTACATATCAGGATGGTGGTCCCTCGCTTCTTCTATTTTGGGGAAGGTTTATTTCTTGTTATATATCGGCAGTCTAGATATATCCTTCCAATTACCGACTAATTGGCCTTCTATTGGTAATTGGAAAACTTTATGCAAAATACATTTTTAATTAAGTTGCAAACCTGGCTGGACCATAATAAAATCATCGACCCTGAAAAAAGCTAGATTCTGTAAGGAGAAATCAACTTTGAATCACTGCTTAGTACTTTCGTATTTTGCAAACAAATACTCCACTCATAAAGCCTCCAATCCATTTGTTGCTTTCATCGATCTAAAATGAGTCTTTTAACTCCATAACAAGAAACCTGTTGTGGGACAAGTTGAGGCCTTTGAATGTAAATCCCAGACTTTCGTTTCTAATTAGACAATTGTACACCACTCCTGTTTGGCAAATTACCGTATATATTCAAGTATAAGCTGAGTTTTTCAGCCCTTTTTTAGGCTGAAAAAGCCCTCTTGGCTTATACTTGAGTCAAAGTTATTTATTATTTTGCTCTGTTATTCTTATTATTATTATTATTATTACATCTATTATTTTACTCTATTATTATTATTATTATTACATTTACATTATTTTACTCTATTATTTTATTACACGTATTATTTTACTCTATTTTTATTATTACATTTGTTATTTTACTCTATTACTACATTTATTGTTTTACTTTATTATTGTTGTTATTACATTTATTATTTTACTCTATTATTACTGTTATTATGTTTCCATTATTTTACTCTATTATTATTTTTATTTCTTTTATTATTATACTCTATTTTTATTATTTCATTTGTTATTTTACTCTATTATTACATTTACTATTTTACTTTATTATTGTTATTACATTTATTACTTTACTATTTTATTACTGTTATTATGTTACATTATTTTACTCTATTATTATTTTTATTACATTTATTATTTTACTCTATTATTATTGGAAAGATATGTAAGTACATTTACATTGAAGAAGGTTAGAATAATGGTTTAATTAGAGTTGGACAGTCTTATCTTAAATTACAGTTTTATGTAAATATTAAAAACATTTAACCTACCGATGCCTCAATTAATGTAATTTTATTAGTATCTATTTTTATTTTGAAATTTACCAGTAGTTGCTGCATTTCCCACTCATGGCTTATATTCAAGTCAATACGTTTTCCCAGATTTATTTGTGGTAAAATTAGGTGCCTCTGCTTATATTCTGGTCAGCTTATACTTGAGTATATATTTTTTATTATTATTATTATTATTATTATTATTATTATTATTATTATTATTATTATTTCTGGCATTTCTATCCCGTCCTTCTCAACCCCGAAGAGGGACTCAGGACGGCTTACATTCAGCAACAATTCGATGCCATAAATACAAAGAAAATAACAATATAGCAATAGTTTAAAACAATAGATAAATCATTAGGTTAAAAGCAGTTAAAACATTTATCAACACCATGAAGCCAGTCCAGTTCAGTTCCATAACCAAGTGCTGCTATGTCTGTTGTCCAATAGATACAATATACAATAGATGCTCTGAGAAAGGCCACCTAACTTCCAGAATTAGTGCTACAATTGTGATCAAGCAGGGCTGCATATTAGCCTCTATGTTGTTTAACACATTCCTCAGGCTTTATGGTGATAGCCCCAAACTTCATGCTACCCATGTTTCCTTATTCTTATATGCAGATGATGTTATTGCCCATATCTAGTATTGGCCTTAAACACTTAATACATTGCTTTGCCAATTACTTGAAATAAATAGACTGGAAATTAGCAATGTTAAATCCAAAATTATATTTTTTTTCAAAAAGTGGAGACCCATGTCTTGGTAGATCAGTGTTGTTATTTTGTTGGTATATGCCAATAAAAGCTGTCATTAAGAATATCTCAGCAATCCAAGGCCAAGCCTGGAATACCTGAAACACATCCTTCTTGCTCTTCTAAACATGACTTTTGCTTCCTCCTTTTCAGGTCCTTAATGAGGAACTGGCCACAAAGAAGGAGCAGGTCTCAGAAGCCATCAAAACAGCCCAGATGTTCGTTGCGAGGCACAATAACAAGTGAGTTGGGAAGTGGATCAGGAGGAATGCAAATGTTGGTCTCCCGATAAGGTTTTGGTTGTAGCCAGAGCAATTGGGGGAGTTGAGAACACTCATCCTTTGCTCCTATTCTCAGACTCGAGGCAACATTAAAAAATTCGAACAAAAATGGATTAAAACACATACAGAAACAGATAGCAGTCATTGTTAAAATACAGATAAGCATCTATAGAATTTATTTATTTATTTATTTGTGACATTTATATCCCACCCTACTCAACCCGAAGAGAACTCAGAGTGGCTTACAAGTTATATGTACATGCAATATATTATATTATTAGCATAGCACAATATTAGTATTATATAGTACTATATTTTACTATACCACTATACTGCAATATTATTAGTAATATTACATGTAATATATAATATATAATTGTTATATGATTAATATATTTTGTATTATTAGGATTATATTGTATTACAATATTATGATCAATATTATATGTACATACAATATATTATTAACACAGCACAATATTAGTATTATATATTACTATATTTTACTATACCACTATACTGCAATATTATTAGTAATATTACGTGTAACATATAATATATAATTGTTATACTATTACTGTATATTGTATTATTAGTATTATATTGAATTACAATGTTATGATCAATATTATATGTACATACAATATATTATATTATTAACACAGTACAATATTAGTATTATATATTTCTTTATTTTACTATACCACTATATTGCATTATTATTAGAATTGATCATAATATTGTATTAGAATTACGATACTATGATCAATATTATATAGAATCATGGAATCATAGAATTATAGAGTTGGGAGAGACCTTGTGGGCCATCCAGTCCAACCTCCTGCCAAGAAGCAGGAAAATCGCATTCAAAGCACCCCCGACAGATGGCCATCCATGTGTATGTACATACAAGATATTAGATTATTATTGTATGTACATACAATATATTATATTATTAGCATAGCACAATATGAGTATTATATATTACTATATTTTACTATGCCACTATACGGCAATATTATTTGTAATATTACTTGTAATATAAAATGCATAATTGTTATATTATTACTGTACATGGTATTATTGGTATTATATTGAATTACAATATTATGATCAATATTATATGTACATACAATATATTATATTATTAGCATAGCACAATGTTAGTATTATATAGTTAAAGTGCTTAAAACATCCATTAAAAGCCCATTGCAATTAATTTCTAGACACCTATTGGAACAGGAAAGTTTTGTCTTAACAGTTGTAGGGCATCAATTTTCAATTTCTCTATCCCTCTTAACATATTTTGAGTTGTGGGGTGCATAGCTGGTAGTCCAAGAAAGTAAAGCTGTACATCTAAAGAATAGGTGGTCTTTTAGTACAAAAATTGTATAAAAGGTAACCGTAAAGGTTTTCCCCTGACATTGTCCATTCGTGTCCGACTTTGGGGGTTGGTGCTCATCTCCATTTCTAAGCCGAAGAGCTGGCGTTGTCCATAGACTCCTCCAAGGTCATGTGGCCAGCATGACTGCATGGCACGTCGTTACCTTCCCACCGGAGTGGTACCTATTGATCCACTCATATTTTAATGTTTTCGAACTGTTAGGTTGGCAGAAGCGGGGGCTGACAGCGGGAGGTGACGCCGCTCCCCAGATTCGAAACTGGGACCTTTCGGTCAACAGGTTTAGCAGATGAGCGATTTAACCCACTGCACCACCGGAGGCTCCAAAAACATTGTATACTTTTGTTGAACTATCTCAAGTACTTGTGCTGGGCCACAGAAGGCCCGTTGCTCAATGTCTGGGAAAGTCCCTGCGAGTGCAAACAGTGGGTTTCTTAATCAATGCAATACACCCCTAAACCCAGTGGAGGCTTGACTGTATTGTGCTGCATTGGTCCCTTGATGGCGGTGGTGTTTGCAACCCAGAATTATGACCAATGACTGACCCTCCCTTGTGACCCACAGGCTTTCTGGCCAGGAGAAGGAAGTCATTCTGGCCCAGGTAGATGTCCTGCGGGAGACCTATGACCAGCTTTGCTCTGAGTCCAGCGATCAGCTCCAGCAGCTGCAGAGCCACATGGCCCAGGAAACCGCACACAAGGTAGCCCCCTCCCCTCCCTCTTTCTCCATTTCAGGACCACCCCCCATCTGTCATATTCATTTTCCCTTTGATTGGTTCTGGGAGAGAGAACCAGCTCAGTCATCTGTGCCTTCCTCTGAAAGAGAACCAGCGCGATCATCTGAAAGCCTGAGGGCTTTCAGAGATGTACACAAGCTACTTGACTCCAAACCGGACCTCTCTTCCATCCATTTCCCCTGCTTCATGCCATCTCCCCTTGTGCAGCTTGCCCAAAATGTCTCTGATCATCACCTGTTCTCTGTTTTATTGTTGTTCTGCCGTCCTACCTAAACATATAGCTGTATCATATGTGTGTTTCCGCAAGTTGTTCATGTATCCCATGCAATGTCTCTGTGGAGTTGTGCCTTTTCCTAAATGCTTGCCAGCACTCTGCATTTCAAAGCACTGGACTCAGAGACTGGCTCAACTGGGTTACTGCTGCTATTGCCAGATGTTCCTCTGGATGTAACCATACACCAAAGACCGTGGGGCTCTTTTTAAACGACCAAAGGGTTTGCTGCTTCGGCTGTGTAACCTTTACAATGCTGGGTTGCTGTGAGTTTTCCAGGCTTTATGGCCATGTTCCAGAAGCATTCTCTCCTGACATTTCACCCACATCTGTGGCAGGCATCCTAAGAGGTTGTGAGGTCTGTTGGAAACTAGGACAAGTAAAGTTTATATATCTGTGAGATGTCTCGGGTGGAAGAAAGAACTCTGTCTATGTGAGGCAGGTGTGAATGTTGCAATTGGCCACCTTGATTAGCATTGGTTCAGTTCCATCATTGGTGGAGTTCAGAATGCTCTTTGATTGTAGGTGAACTATAAATTCCACCAACTACAACTCCCAAATGACAAACTCAATCCCCCCCAAACCCTAGCAATGTTTAGATTTGAGTGTATGGGGTATTTATGCCAAATTTGGTCCAGTGAATGAAAATACATCCTGCATGTCAGATATTTACATGAGGATTCATAACAGTAGCAAAATTACAATTATGAAGTAGCAACAAAAATTATTCTATGTTTGGGGGTCACCACAACATGAGGAACTGTGTTAAGGAGTCATGGCATTAGGAAGGTTGCGAACCACTGCAATACTTGAATGTGAACTGCTCTCAACTGGGAATCGCCAATCATGGCCATGCAGCTTCAAGGCTGGCTGCTTCCTGCCTGGGGGAATCCTTTGTTGGGAGGTGTTAACTGCCCTTGATTGTTTCATGTCTGGAATTCCCCATTTTTCTGAGTGTTGTACTTTATTTACTGTCCAGATTTTGGAGTTTTTTTTAATACTGGTAGCTAGATTTTGTTCATTTTCATGGTTTCCTCCTTTCTGTTGAATTGTCCACATGCTTGTGGATTTCAATGGCTTCTCTGTGTAGTCTGACATGGTGGTTGTTAGAGTGATCCAGCAGTTCTGTGTTCTCAAATAATATACTGTGTCCAGTTTGGTTCATCACATGCTCTGCTGTAGCTGACTTCTCTGGTTGACTTAGTCATGTTCCTTGATTCGTGTTTGGGCAACGCTGCTGCGTTTGGTGGTCCCAGTGTAGACTTGTCCACAGCTGCATGGTATATGGTAGACTCCTGCAGAGGTGGGAGGATCCTTCTTTTCCTTTGCTGAGCATTTGTTGGATTTTCTTGGTGGGTCTGTAGATAGTTTGTAGGTTGTGTTTCTTCATCAGCTTCCCTAGGCGGTCAGTGGTTCCCTTGATGTATGGTAAGAACCCTTTTCCTCTGAAAGCCATTGAAATCCACAAGCAGGTGGACAATTTCAACAGAAAGGAGGAAACCATCAAAATGAACAAAATTTGGTTAAAATACTCTAAAAATGAGGGAAGGAAGATAGATGCTTTTGAACTGTGGTGCTGGAGGTGCCTTGGACAGCGAGAAGATCCAACCAGTCCATACTTCAGGAAATAAAGCCCGATTGCTCATTGGAGAGAAGGATATTAGAGACAAAGTTGAAGTACTTTGGCCACATAATGAGAAGAAAGGAAAGCTTAGAGAAGACAATGATGCTTGGGAAAATGGAAGGAAAAAGGAAGAGGGGCTGACCACGGGCAAGATGGATGGATGGCATCCTTGAAGTGACTGGATTGACCTTGAAGGAGCTGGGGGAGGTGATGGCCAACAGGGAGCTCTGGCATGGGCTGGTCCATGAGGTCATGAAGAGTCGGAAACGACTGAACAAATGAACAAAAACTCTAAAATCAGGACAGTAAATAAAGAACAACACTAAAAAAGGGGGAATTCCAGGCAAGAAACAATAAAGCCTAGCTAACACCTAACAAACGAATCCTCCAGGCAGGAAGCAGCCACGCTTTGAAGCTGGAAGGCCATTCAATGCTAATCAAGGTGGCCAATTGTAACATTCACCCCAGCCTCACACAGACCGAGTTCTTTCTCCAGGCAGGAATCAGCCAGGCCTTGAAACGGCAAGGCTTTGCAATGCTAATCAAGGTGATTAATTGCAACATTCACACTTGCGTCCAACAGAGAAGAGTTCTTTCTCTCACCATGAACCATCCACAGATATATAAACCTCCCTTGTCTAGTTTCCAATATGCCTCACAACCTCTGAGGATGCCTGCCATAGATGTGGGCGAAATGTCAGGAGAGAATGTTGCTGGAACTTGGCCAGAAACTCACAGCAACCTAGTGATTCCGGCCATGAAAGTCTTCGACAACATATCTTTACAATGCTATTTTATTCTGCCTTCCCAAAGAAACCACTTTGGGACGAGGGTCCACTGTGTTCAGCTTTGCAAAGATACAGTCAGCTAATGGAAAGAAACAGCTTCTGATGCACCCACAATGATCCATCTTGCATCTTATTTAGAGACAATAGGCCACAATGATGGCATCCCAGCATTGGAGAGGCATTGCAACCGAAGCAGCAATGATTCCTATGCCAAGAATACAGAGTTGAAAATGTATTGGGTTGCCAAGAGAGCGGGGGGGGGGGGGGGGGGGGTTCTCCATGGATTATAATTTAGGCTTGCAACGAAGTTTTCTTTTTTGTTTGGGTGCATCCTTTACGGAGAGAATCTTGATGGAGAGGAAGTATTTCTATTTACACCTGTAATTCTATAGCGAAAGCCTCCAACTCTGGGCTGAGGGTGGTGGCCCATTCAAGGACAATATATGCCCTATAAAAACACAAAGCACAAATGTCAGCGCTGTCCGCCGCATTGAGCATGATGTGTCCCTGTTTGGTTTTTATGTGTCACGTTGAGTTACTGTGTTCAGATTAACTTGCCATCCTTTGCTTACCTTTTCCACCCCTTCCCTTGTCGTCACCTTTGATCACTAACAGCGTGGAGGTTGCACCAAAGAGAATCTCAGGAGATAATGGGGGAAAGCGGGGAGGGATTAGAAGAGTGTATGTTTGTGTGGCGTGTTCTTTCTACTTTTTGTGCAAAACAAACAGTCGCATGCCGGATGCTAACCCCCAGCTTTTACACTGTGCGCGCCTTCTACTACGGCTGAGCTGCGCCATAAAGGCTCTGTCTTTAACTGCTCACGGCAAAAAAAAATCCACCATGCTGGTAAGTAGACAAAACAAAACAAAAGCCTTTTTATGACTCCTGTCCTTGTCTTTTTATATACTCCCTTCCCTTCCTCTTTCTCGCTTGTTTTAACACTTGAATGTTGCATGTTTGGAGTCCTTCACTGTGATACTAGAAGGTTTTGAAGGCTATTCCAATGGAGGCCTTAACCCAGCTTGCTGAGATAAGACTCCTCATTCTGGTTCCATCCACATATAGTTATCTAAAAAAAGCATAAGGTTTTTTTTTTGGGGGGGGGGGGGCTTCTCAAAACTTCATTGTTTCTCAACCTAGGGGTTGGGGGGGGAGTCGCAAGGAGGGGATCAGAGGGGTTGCCAAAGACCATCAGAAAACATACATTTCTGAAGGTCTTAGGAACCCCTTTGGCAGAGAAGGCTGAAAATCTCTCCACCCATCCTTCTCTTCCTTTTTGATGTTGGTGAACTATATCTCCCAGAATTCAAAAACACCAACCCCGCCAGTGTTCAGTGTTGGCCATGTAGGTATTGTGCCAAGTTTGGTGCAGATCCATTGTGGGCTGGGTTCAGAGTGCTCTTTGATTGTAAGTAAATCCCAGCAACTACAAATCCCAAATGTCAAGGTCTATTTTCCCCAAACTCCACTAGTGTTCAAATTTGAGCCTATTGAGTATTCGTGCCAAGTGTGGTCCAGATTCATAATTGTTCTGAGTCCACAATGCTCTCTGGATGTAGATGAACTACAACTTCAAAACTCAAGGTCAATGCCCACCAAACTTTTTCAGTATTTTCTGTTGGTCATGGGAGTTCTGTGTGCCAAGTTTGGTTCAATTCCATCATTGGTGGAGTTCAGAATGCTCTTTGATTGTAGGTGAACTATAAATCCCACCAACTACAACTCCCAAATGACAAACTCAATCCCCCCAACCCTAGCAATATTTAGATTTGGATGTATGGGGTATTTATGCCAAATTTGGTCCAGTGAATGAAAATACATCCTGCATATCAGATATTTACATTACGATTCACAACAGTAGCAAAATTACAGTTATGAAGTAGCAACAAAAATTATTCTATGGTTAGGGGTCACCACAACACGAGGAACTGTGTTAAGGAGTCATGGCTTTAGGAAGGTTGAGAAACACTGCAATACTTGAATGTGAACTGCTCTCAATTGGGAATCGCCAATCATTTCTATTCCCAGAACTGTAATATTAAAAAGTTGGGATCTGTCACCTTTTGTGGTTCAATGGAGAGCACATCTTAATCATCATTCTTCTCTAGCTGTGGATGCAGGTGAAGATTGCCAATGGCTACTAGTATCTCCTTTGAGCCCCCTGTTATATATCTTTTTTATGAAGAACAAGAGGTCACAGAGGTGCCTTAGATCAATTATTGTTATAGACCAGGCCTTGGGCAATGCCTACAAATATTTTAATTAATTAATAATATGTGATCACAGAACACAAACTTTGCAAACATTCAATGCTGTTAAACAGACAGGACAAACAGCAGATATAGGTATTATATTGGCATTTTTCCCAGCTTCGCCATCCTGGAGGTTGTGCTTGATTCCGGCCACAGGGAGTGCTGTTGCTCCATCCTCTATGACGAAGACCCTTTGATCGCCGGCATTTTCTGGTATTTCCTTTATGGAGCCGTGAAATACCTCCTTAATTAAGTGATGCCTATTTTCTCTAGTCACAGCTCACAGCTGTTTTCGAACTGCTTAGGTCAGTGGTTCTCAACCTGTGGGTCTCCAGATGTTTTGGCCTTCAACTCCCAGAAATCCAAACAGCTGGTAAACTGGTTGGGATTTCTGGGAGTTGTAGGCCAAAACACCTGGGGACCCACAGGTTGAGAACTGCTGGCTTAGGTGGACAGTAAGCTGGGCTGAAGATGGGTGCTCACCCTGACCCGGATTTCGAACTGCAAACCTTTGATTGGTAAGTTCTATTGCTGCTGGCGATTAACCAGCCTTGCTAAAGCCCGACCTCTTGTTCTCCTGCTCCCATCAGTCTTAACCAAACCCCCCCCCCCCAAAAAAAACCCAAAAAAACAGTAAGAACAGAGAGCTGTTGTAGTCCAGCAATGTCCTAAGAGCTTCACTTTGAATAACCGTAACATAGATGAATCTGTAGGAAATGTCAGAGGTCCCCGTTGGCTCCAAAGTCTGATGATTTGGCTCTCAAAGACCTTCTATGGAGGACCCAGTCCACTCTGTCTGCATTTAAATGAAACATTTGCTAAGTTCTCCCTTATTCTCGCCTAGTTTTCTGTATGTGTAAATGAACCTGGGCCTCAAAGCCTTCTAGAATGACAACTTCTGGGGTGGAGGGGAAACCGGAAACCCACGTCTAGCATGCTCAGAAACTGCTTGACCGCATGACTGCATCTTCAGCTGTAGACTTGCCATTTTCCCAGCTAGCTTGCCACATCTCTCGCAAGACCTCCAGCAATATTCATCTTAGGGGAAGCTTGTGGTCGAAATGTGTATCTCCTTCCCTCTCGTTCCCTGTGCTTCATGTGGGTGAACCGTGTTGTGGATGTTTTGTGCCCTATGTCTCCTCTCCTTTTGGATATAAATTCGCCAAAGGTGCTCTGGGGAATGCATGGCTGTCGCTCTCCCTGGATGTCTCTCTCTCTGTGTCTGTCTCTCCTTTCTCCCAATCGTTTTTGTGGGGAACTCTGGGGCTAATTGACCACTTTTACTGCTCTCAAGGGGTGTCCAAAATGTCTCAGCAAGGCCACACCTGGCTGCCTGGATTTAGCCCCAGAAGCCCACTAGAAAACAACTCTCAAAATCTTCCTCCATCCAAAATCTGGATGTGTTATTTCACGAGTTATGTGCATTTCCTGCCCATGTGGTATGGGCTTACGGTTGGGAATCTGTCTCAAACCCAACCTTCACCAACCCTTAAAAGCCTGAGACATCCTTGGACCTGGGTATCTCAAAATCATACTTCCCTGCTACTTTCTCTCTTACTGAGTTCTTGTTTCCTTTCTCCTCTATCTTTCTAGGGAACCGAGACTGTGGCTGGAGTGCTGGACCTTGGCACAATGGAAGTCTTTCCCATTTGGGGGGCCATGCAGAAGGGCCTCCTGGACCAAGAAACTGGCCTCCTGCTGCTGGAGGCCCAAGTTGCTTCTGGTGGCCTTGTAGCTCCCGATACCACCGAAAAGATCTCGCTATCTGAAGGCTTGGCGAAAGACATCATTGATGCTAAGACCTATGCAATGCTTCAGGAGCTACAGAGTGGGGTCCAGTTGGTCAACAGCCATGACCTTCAAGGGAAGCCGCTTCTTCCCCTTGCGGCTGCCATGGAGGATGGGACGATCAGCGAAAGGGTTGGTTTGACAATCGCAGAGATGCAACTCCTTGCCGGAGGGCTTCGAGATCCCTCCAGCGATGGGAGGATTGGCCTAGAAGAGGCTCTCCAAGGAGGCATGATTCCCCCTCATCTCCATGAGAAGATAGCCTCTTGCTTGGGTTCTTGCAAGACTTTGATTGACCCCAATTCGGCCACGAAAACGGGCCTGAGTGACCTGCTGCAGCAGTGCATCCCGGACCCAGAGACAGGGCTGAGTTTGCTTCCAGTGCATCAACTGGCAGGAGGGATGGTGAGCCTCACCTCTGGCCAGAAGGTGAACATCTTCCGTGCAGTGCAGGAAGGTCTCATCGAGACACAGGTTGCTGTGCGGCTTCTGGAAGCCCAGCTTTTTGCTGGTGGCATAGTGGACCCTAAAAGCGGCCACCGGCTGACTGTAGAGGAGGCTGCGAGACATAACCTGATTGACCAAGATCTGGCCTGCGCCCTTCTAGTCCGGCAGATGCAAACAGGCGGCATTGTGGATACGGTTACAGGAGAGAGGCTGTCACTGGACGAAGCCATCAGGAAAGGCTTGGTGGAGCCTAGAATGGCTGTGGCCACCTTGGAATCCCTGTGGTCATTTATGGGCCTCCTGCAGCCTGAATCGGGTGAGATCCTCCCAGTTGCAACTGCATTGGATCGAGGAATCTTGTCTCCCGAACTGGCTGATGAGATCTTAAGCAAGAGGCAACACATTGAGGCTGTTTTTATACCAGAAACCCGAGAGATCGTGCCATGGGAGAAGACCATGGATGCTGGGATCTTGAGCCAAGATGCCATCAAGACATTAAAGTCAACGCTCCTTCCTGATGTCATGCCAAATATGCCCTTAGCTGACTCCCCGCCAGGCAGAGTCCAAAAGATCAGCCCAACAGATGACAAAGACCAAAGCAAGGGATGTAAAGAACGAATGTTGTTCTATTTGATGACCCACAGCTATGTTGATACTTGCAGCGGCCAGAAACTGCTTCTCCTGGCAGAGGAGGACTTGAGCACCCTTGCTGACATTGTGGAGCCCACCATAGAGAAAGACCCTCACTCACAGCCCATGGAGGAAAGGCAGCACCAACCCAAAGGCTGGGAGGTTGTGGAGGACAGGATGGTGGCAGCTGTGGAATCTGAGCCCTGCAGTGAATTGGTCTGGAAAGAGCTTGAACTGAACTTATCAGTACCACAGAAAGAGCTGGAGAGGAATCTGATGGTAGGCGTTTGTCCTCCGACCTATAAGAATGGAAGGGAAGCTGGAGATCTTCCAGGGAAAGAGGTGGAAAGAGATGTGAATGTGAAGGAGGAGAAGGAGGTGGATTCTTTAGGAGGTTTTGGAAGTGAAACAGATGGCTCTAAAGGAGAACCAGAACAGATGTCAATTCAGAACATGAGTGAAACAGATCTATTAATATGTGAATCTATAGAAGAATCCAGCGCTGGGAAAGAATCGATAGACATACAGATAACATTGGACAATGTTAAGTTTGACAGACAACTGGAAGAACAGGAGATTATGTATTCTGAAGAGCAGAAGAGATTTTCTGAAGTTGAAAGAAGCTGCACTGAAAAAGAATCCAGAATGGTTACTGGCAAATGGGAAAAGAAAGACTCGCAAAGCTTGAAGGAGAATGTATTGGGAAAGGCGATACTTGCAGCAACAAGTGATGGTTCTGAAGCTAATTTGTTAAATGTGGGGAAAGTGGAAAACGGGTCAATGGAAAGCCTTCTTTGTCAAGATGAAGGAAAGATTAGTGATGAGCCTATTAAGGAAGAAGGAAAGCTGGCTGGAGAAGGGAGAGTGGGTCATTCTGACCAGACAGAAAGTGTTGCATTTCCAAAACTGTCCACAGAAGAAGATGGCGACACACTGCATACACTGATAACACAACTCTGTGGTGGTGGCATAATTAATGAACAGACAGGGGAAAGGATGCTCTTGGATGAGTCGGTGTCCTGTGGCATTCTCCCTGGTCACACAGCCATCAAACTGATGGGCGAGTTGAAACTGTTTGGTGGATTCTTTGATGCTGAGTCCCGTGAAGCGTTAACCACTGAAGAAGTTATCCATGAAGGACTGATGGATGAGACCCTTCTCCATAAGGTGCTGGACTCTGATAAAGCCATCAGTGGAGTGGTGGACCCAAGGAGCAAAGCCATTTACTCTGTCATGGACGCAGCAGAGGTCGGCCTCTTGGACAAAGAGACGGCTGCGAGAATCCTGGAAGGGCAAGTGATTACTGGAGGAATTGCGGATGTCAAGCGTGGCAAGAAGGTGTCGGTCACGTTGGCCTCTAAGCTCGGCTTGGTAGAGCGGCCCACTCAAGAGGAGCTGAAGAAACTTGAAAAGGCATCTAAGGGGAAAGGCATTGATAGCACAACCAAAGAGAAACTTATTTCTTTGCAAGCAGAAATAGGTGGCATCGTAGACCCTAAAACCAAAGAACCTTTAACCATCCCCCAAGCTGTAGAAAAAGGACTGCTGTCTAAGGAGAAAGCCTCTGAGGTCTTGATGAAGCAGATAGTTGATGGAGGGATCCTTCACCACAAAACAGGCATGAGACTTTCTGTTGAAGATGCTTTGGTGCATAAATTGGTTGACCAAGGGTCATATGATGTTCTCAGAAAGGCAGAAAATGTGTGTTTACATCAGTACATTCATCCAGAAACAAAAGAGCTCATCTCCTTACCCCAAGCTGTGGCCCTTGGACTGATCAGCTCAGACTTTCAAAGCAAGGTTCAAGGACTGCAAGCCTCGACTGGAAGCATGTTTGATCCTGTTTCTCACCAGAAAATCCCACTGACCAAAGCAGTGAAGGAAGGACTTTTGCCCAAGGCACTTATGGAAAAAGCCGTAACCTCCTCTGACTTGAAGCAAGCCATCCTTTGTCCCGAGAGCTGCAGGCTGGTTCCCTACTCCGAATTGATCAGGAAGAGTAAAATTGACATTGAGTCAGGGCAGAGGTATTTGGAGGTGGTCCCCTTCCAAGGCCTCAAGGATGAAAGGACTGGGAATGTGCTTCTGTATCCCCAGGCAGTGACACTTGGGAAAGTGGAGCCTGCACTTGTGTTGAGGTTGTTGAAGGCGCAAGCGGAGTCCGGCGGCATTGTTGAACCTGCTACGGGCCAAAGACTGTCCCTGGCAGATGCTTTGGAACAAGGAACAGTGGATGAAGACATGGCCAAAGCTATTGCAGTCAGTCAACTCTCGACTGGAGGCATTGTTGGAACTGAGAGAGGACAAAGGCTAACATTAATGGAAGCAGTTGAGATGGGGCTTGTCAGCAAGAAATTAGCCAGTGTGATCCAGGAAAGTGCTCTAGTGATCAGTGATGATGTGGAAGGACATGAAGATAGTCAGCCACAACTGTTGCTTCAAAATGGTACCTCTAAAACTGATGTGCCGTCCATTGGTGAATATTCCACTGAGAGTAATGAGGAGAAGCAGTCAGTTCTCTTTGAAGGAACAGACTCCAAGATGTCTGAAGAGGCCCCTGTTGGTTCTCTTAAAGGCATTCAGGAGATGGTAGAAGAGATGGGTGACTCCGTGCCACCTTCCCTTCCACTTCCTTCTGGTCCACTTTTAGGAGAAGGCAAGATGGAGTCAGAGCTGGCCTTGATGTTAGATCCAGTTGGAGCCCTGCAACTGAAGGCCCAGAAGAAAGACATGAAGAGGAAGAGCCGGTTGCGGAGAGAAGAGCTCCGGAAAGGAGAGGTAGAAAAGCCAGGAGCAAGTGACCAAGTAATAGAGAAGGAATGGCAAAATATAGTGAGGAATGAGAGAATTAATGGGGAGCAGGAGCAAAACCAGAGAGTGTTTGCTCAAGAAGAGAGTGACAGGACAGATCTTGCTTCCGAAGCAGCCCAAAGGACTATCTGTTTACATTCTCTGGAAACCTCAAATGATCTGAGAGAGAATGAAAAAGCTGGCCTTGGTTCTGAAGAACCTACAGCAATTGAGTCTCAGATGCTAACCTCGGAAAAAGCTTTGTTTGGAGACACCAAGATTGAACAGTCAGGAATGACGCCTGAATTAAAAAGCCAGGATCCCAAAGCTTCAGAAAGTACTGGCATAGAGGCCCCCAAAAAGATGAAGAAGAAGACCAAAAGGAATAGAAAGCAGGCTGCTGCCACAATAGACCCAGCTCAGTTGCCTGAGTCTTCCCAGCTGAGGCCATCTGAGATTCCTGTCCTGGTTTCCAAAGAAGTTTTGATGCAAAGGACTTCTTCTGTTCAAGAATCCTCTCTTGATAATATCTCTGGCAAGAAGGTGAGGAGTCTTCTCAAACCAGAAAAGGCTGAAGGTAAGAGAGAGGATCGGGCAGCATCTGGAAATGAGAAGAAAGGAGTTAAAGAGAACATCACAGATGACCAGAAAGTAAGCACTGTACCAACAACAGATGCTTTTGGAGACAGAACTGACCAAGATATTAGAACTAACCAAGATTTTCCATTACGGCTGGATGCAGTAGAAATAAAGATGGTGGATGTGCTGGAAGAAAAAGTATTTCAAGAAAAAGCCCAAGAGCCATGTCTTTCAAATGATAAAGTCCCCAATCTAGTTGCCATAGATGACACCCAAACCTTTGTGTCTTTTGAGACAGAGGCTGTGCAAACTAGGACAATACTAGAAGGAGAAACAGGCCGTTCTGTTTCCACTCCTTCGCTCTCTCAAGACAAAACCATCCAGGAAGTGACCAGAGAAGATGGCAGCATCGTTGCTAAAGGGCTGACAATGGATGAGGAACCAAAAGAGACCATTGACTCTTTGAGTAGCAAAATACATTCCCCAGAGGAGTGCACACTGCAAAGGAGTGGGTTTCCAGAATGCGAGAGCGACCCTTCTGCTGGAACGTCTCCCAAGACTCAAGACTCAGGCCTAAAATTGGCCAGAGAAAAGGAGAAGGCGGATGAACTCTCCAGCACAGTCGAAGGCAGGGAAGAGAGACAGCCAGATGCCCCTACACTAACCAAGGTAGGTATGGCCTTATTCAGGTACAGGCAGTCCCCAAGTTACGAACAAGGTAGGGTCTGTAGGTTTGTTCTTAAGTTGAATTTGTTTGTGAGTTGGGACAGGTACTTTTTGAAGTGTAATTTCATATATATATATATATATGAAATTACACTTTAAATAGTACCTGTCCCAACTCACAAACAAATTCAACTTAAGAACAAACCTATTCTTCAATGCATATGATATCTATATACAGGCAGTCCCTGAGTTACAAACATATATATATATATATATATATATATATATATATATATATATATATGAGAGAGAGAGAGACCCTTGGTGGCACAGCAGGTTAAACCACTGAGCTGCTGAACTACTTGTGGACCAAAAGGTTCAAATCTGGGCAGCGGGGTGAGTCGCTGTTGGCCCAGCTTCTGCCAGCCTAGCAGTTCGAAAACATGCCATAGTGAGTAAATCAATAGGTGCCGCCTTGGTGGGAAGGTAAAGGCGCTCCATGCAGTCATGCTAGCCACATGACCTTGGAGGTGCCTACGGACAAGCTCTTCAGCTTAGTAATGGAGATGAGCACCACCCCCCAAAGTCAGACATGACTAGACTTATGATTAGATTTAATGTCAAGGGGAAACCTTTACCTATACATACACACACATGCTTTGGATCGCATAGGAAAGGGTGAGCACCTCTCTGGTGTTTCCTTTGCTGTCTGTGCCCCTGTTCAGAAGATTTCCCACACTTTTGTCCCTGTGATCATTGGATTTTGGAAAACGTAGCTTGCTGTGGAAACAAGATTGGGGAGAAAGCTTCCATTGAGATGCCTTTGCCTGAGGATAATAACTCTTTCAGTAGTGGATTTCCTTTATGAGGGGTAGATTTTTCTCACTTCCTGTGGTCTCAGCCCGTTCTTAATTAGGGTACTTTGTAATGTGGATGTTTGTAACTCGGGGACTGCCTGTATATAGATATCATATGCATTGAGGAATAGGATAGGAGATAGTTGGGTAGCCAGAGTGAGAGGGTTTACCCTTCTGAAGTCAAGGTAAAAGCCACAAAAATGGTATGCCGTTTGCCATGTTTGAAAATGGCCATTAACGTATTACCGCTTTCATGTTCCTTCACTTATTGAGAGGTTGAGGAAGGTGGAAGGTCAACTCCATAAAATATCCTCCCCGCCTGAGGAGGAAGTTACGGGCCCAGCATGTGGTCCAATGGATGTGCAACCTTTGCTAATTTATCAATAAATATGTGGCTTAAAGGGATAATGCCTGAAGGCCTAGGATGGTCTCATCGTAGGAAGTCTGTTGTAATGTTGTTGTTATATTTTCCTTAGTTACCTTCCTTTCCTGCCTCTTGGTCTAAATGACAAGGCAGAAGGTAGTACACAAAATGTAAAGGTATCACAATGAAGTTGTAATAAAGTCAGCACCGACCCACATGATAAATTTGGGAAAGACTAGCAAATGCCAGTCAAATGGCTTCCCTAAAATATTTTAACTGGGTATTGGAGAGGGAACGATGTAAAGAGATCTGGGGAAAAGTAAATATACAGGATCCCCGATGGAGAGGTTTAGGAAATCTATACATGTATAAAAATTATGTCTGGAGAGAAAGACTCTTAGAAGCGGTGAGCATTGGTTGAAGAAATCAAAAGTGTAGCCAAGCAAAGAGAAAGACGTAGAAAATGGTTCTGCTTGACTTATCTCCCCATATATCTGAGCTGCATATTTTATGTTTCTCCTCTCTCTGACTGCCATAGACGCCTCTCAGCAAGCAGCTCTGCCTTGAGCATGATGAGAAGCTGGTTGCGCTACTGTCCAGGGTGCGCGATGTGGAAATGCGCATTCAGCGAGTTCCGCTTCTGGAGCAGGACTCAGCCGCACTGCAGGACTTGCTCCACCAAGCAGAAGTAAGTGGATCAAATGAACGAACTAAATAATTTTATTACAGTTGTAGATTGGAAGTTTGAAGTGTTGAAATATAGAAACAGAGGTTTTAGAAACATTAAAACCAGAAATTTGAACACATAGACTGATAGGTCTATAACGCTATGTAGCACGATTTTTCTTCCTGGGTTATAAATGTCATTATTTCTTAATTGGTTCTATCATAAAAACATTGGACAAGTTTATTAAACTGCAAACACTTTTTTGTTTTTGTGGGAGGGACATCCTGAAGCATATTTTGTTCTAGATTTTTAATTAATATCTCTTCAAGCCTCCACCAATTCAACATAGTTTGTGGCAGTCACAATAACAAAGTTTCTGGAATAGAGCAACTACTTTCAAAGTAAGAACCACATAATTAAACAGGAAATAACACTTTCCAACCAGGAACAGATTTTTTTTTTCAAATTCTGTTAAATGGCGTTGTTGATGCCCACTCCAATGCTTATTGCAAGGTTAATGCTAGATATATCTAAAAAGAAATAATAATAATAATAATTATTATTATTATTAAAGGGTAAAGGTTTCCCCTGACATTCAGTCTAGTTTTGACCGACTCTGGGGTTTGGTGCTCATCTCCATTTCTAAGCCGAAGAGCCGGCATTGTCTGTAGACGCCTCCAAGATCATGTGGCTGGCATGACTGCATGGAGTGCCATTACCTTCCTGCAGACCTATTGATCTACTCACATTTGCATGTTTTTGAACTGCTAAGTCAGCAGAAACTGGGCCTAACAGCAGGAGCTTACCCTGCTCCCCGGATTAAACTGCCAACCTTTCAGTCAGCAAGTTCAGCAGCTCAGTGGTTTAATCTGCTGCACCACCAGGGGGCCTATTATTATTATTATTATTATTATTATTATTATTGTATTTTTAGTAATAAAGTTCTGTTTTGCGGATAGCATTAGCGCAGTGTTTCTCAACCTGGGGGTCGGGACCCCTGAGGGGGTCATGAGGGGGTGTCAAAGGGGTCGCCAAAGACTATCAGAAAGCATAGTATTTTCTGTTGGTCATTGGAATTCTGTGTGGGAAGTTTGACCCGATTCTATTGTTGGTCGAGTTCAGAATGCTCTTTGATTGTAGGTGAACTATAAATCCCAGCAACTACAACTCTCAAATGTCAAGGTCTATTTTCCCCAGACTCCACCAGTGTTCACATTTGGGCATATTGAGTATTCGTGCCAAGTTTGGTCTAGATCCAACATTGCATGAATCCACAGCACTCCTCTGGATATAGGTGAACTACAACTCCCAATCTCAAGGTCAATACCCACAAAACCCTTCCAGTGTTTCTAATAATCATGGGAGTTCTGTGTTCCAAGTTCGGTTTAAATCCATTGCTGGTGGAGTTCAGAATGCTCTTTGATTATAGGTGAACTATAAATCCCAGCAACTACAACTCCCAAATTACAAAATCAATCCTCCCCAACCCCACTACCATTCACATTTGGGCATATTTGGTATTTGTGCTCAATTTAGTCCAGTGAATGAAAATACATCCTGCATATCGGATATTTACATTACACTTTATAAAGTAGTAAAATGACAGGTATCAAGTAGCAACGAAAACAATATTATGGTTGGTGGTCACCACAACATATGGAACTGCATTAAGGGGTCACGGCATTAGCAAGGTTGAGAACCACTGCATTAGTGGGAGGAATAAAGAGCAGACGGAGGAAGGGAGGGAGGGTGAGACAGGCATCTGTTGCTGATGTTTTGGCTTATAGCCACTACTTTTTCCTTGATCCACAGGCCTTGGATGCAGAGCTACAGGGCCTCTCCTCCCCAGTGAGTCAGGGGCTGGAAGTCGCCCAAAGGCTCCTGGCCAGCCCTCCCCTTCGGGTCCCTGAGCAGCTGCTGAAGGCTTTGGAGAAGGACGCCAAGAACCTCCAGAAGTCCTTTGGCTCTGTGAGCGAAGCCTTAGCTTCATGGCTGACGAACCTTCAAGCTGCTGCCAAGGAAGAAGAAAAGGTACTACTTCCCCTGCAGCCAAGAAGCTTCTGGGATCCTCCCTCATTTAAGTAGACAACAGTGTTGACTCAAATAGGCTTCCGTTTACAGAATGAGAACAATGTGTATCACCTCTGACTATTTTCTAATGTAGCTCCAGAGTATTAGTATTAATAATAATAATAATAATAATAATAATAATTTACCTGCTTCTTCTCATGGTTCGAGGCAACTTAAAACATAGTTAAAACACATACCGTATATACTCGAGTATAAGCCGACCCGAATATAAGCTGAGGCACCTAATTTTATCACAAAAAACTGGGAAAACGTATTGACTCGAGTATAAGTCGAGGGTGGGAAATGCATCCACTATGGGTCAATTTCAAAATAAATATCGATACCAATAACATTACATTAATTGAGGCATCAATAGGCTAAATGTTTCTGAATATTTACATAAAACTGTAATTTAAGATAAAACTGTCCAACTCTTACTAAACCATTACTCTAACCTCCTTCAATGTAAACGTACTTATTATTAAAATAATAAATATAATAAACATAATAGAGTAAAATAATGAAAATGCAATAAAAACAGTAATAATAGAGTAAAATAATAAAAAATAATAAATTTAGTAATAATAGGGTAAAATACTGTAAATGTAATAATAATAATAATAATAATAATAATAATAATAATAATAATAATAATAATAGTAACTAGCCATCTCTTGCCACGCATTGCTATGGCCCACATGGGGGTTCCGTGTGGGAGGTTTGGCCCGATTCTGTTGTTGGTATGCTCTGTGATTGTAGGTGAACTATAAATCCCAGCAACTACAACTCCCAAATGTCAAGATTCTATTTTCCCCAAACTCCACCAGTGTTCACATTTGGGCATATTGAGTATTCCTGTAGAGTTTGGTCCAGATCTATCCTTGTTTGAGTCCAGAGTGCTCTCTGGATGTAAGCGAACTACAACTCCGAAACCAAAGGGCACTGCTCATCAAACCCTTTCAGTATTTTCTGTTGGTCATGGGAGAACTGTGTGCCAAGTTTGGTTCAATTCCATCGTTGGTGGGGTTCAGAATGCTCTTTGATTGTAGGTGAACTATAAATCCCAGCAACTACAACTCCCAAATGACAAATTCAGTTTTTTTGAGTGAAGGACATACATTGAGTTGTTAGGTGTCTTGTGTCCAAATTTGGTGTCGATTCGTCCAGTGGTTTTTGCGTTCCGTTAATCCCACAAATGAACATTACATTTTTATTTATATAGATAATAAATAGATTAAAATAATAAACGTAATAATAATAATAGGGTAAAATAATAAATGGGAGGAGAGCAATGTCCAATCTCGATAAAATAGTAAAGAGTAGAGACATCACACTGGCAACGAATATCCACGTAGTCAAAGCCATGGTATTCCCTGTAGTAACCTACGGATGTGAGAGCTGGAACTTAGGGAAGGCGGAGCGAAGGAAGATAGATGCTTTTTAACTGTGGTGTTGGAGAAAAGTTCTGAGAGTGCCTTGGACTGCAAGAAGATCCAACCAGTCCGTCCTCCAGGAAATAAAGCCCGACTGCTCATTGGAGGGAAGGATACTAGAGACAAAGTTGGAAGTACTTTGGCCACATCATGAGGAGACAGGAAAGCCTAGAGAAGACAATTATGCTGGGGAAAGTGGAAGGCAAAAGGAAGAGGGGCCGACCAAGGGCAAGATGGATGGATAGCATCCTTGAAGTGACTGGACTGACCTTGAAGGAGCTGGGGGTGGTGACGGCCGACAGGGAGCTCTGGCGTGGGCTGGTCCATGAGGTCACGAAGAGTCGGAGACGACTGAACGAATGAACAAAAAAATAATAAATAGAATAATAATAGAGCAAAATAATGTAAATATAATAATAATAGAGCAAAATAATAAATGTAATAAAATAATACTAATAACAGAGTAAAAGAATTAATAACCTTGACTCGAGCATAAGCCGAGGGGAGCTTTTTCAGCCTAAAAAAGGAGCTGAAAAACTAGGCTTATACTCGAGTATATACAGTAATCATTGTAAACATTCTATAAAATACACATATTAAAATGCATTTCTACAAAATACATATTAAAATACAAAGAACAAAGAATGCAAATTAACTTCATTGAAGAAGATTATATGGCAGTGTAGACTTATATAATCCAGTACAGTGCAATTCAGTCTACATTACATGAGTCTGCACTGACCATATACGTAGTCCAGTTTGAATTGTATTACGTGGCGGTGTAGATAGGTCCATAGCCATCCCGCCACATTGACAGTTTTGACTTTGTGAGTTTGATGATTATGCACAGATTTGATTAACAATTTTTCCCTAGAGGAATCTTTTGGTTCTTCAGTGCATCCCTATGGCTATACTGGAAGTTGACCATCAATTCATGCTGGAGGGCCTAGAGATCATCTCACTATATTTATCCCAAACATTTAAAAAAATAGCAGTGTATTTCTTTTCATTTTCCCTCTTTCATGGGGTCCCGTGCCCCTTGACCTCAGCGAATGTCATCTTACTTCCCTCTCCTTTTTTCCTTTGCAGACTAAAGTCCGAACCCGGCATGAGGAACTGCAGACAAAGCTGCAAGGGCTGCTGACCTGGGTCTCGGACATGACACAGTCTCTCAATGGCCTCGATTCCATCGGGGCCAAAACAGCAGAGGACCCTGGCACCTTGCATTCCTGCCTACAGAGCTACAAGGTAGTCAGGGCCACGTTCCTGCTGAGCCTGGCTCTTCCGTACTGCACAGTTATAGCAGTTTTACCCCACTTTAACTGCCAAGGCCGCATCCTGTGCAACTCTTGGTTTTGCCATTTCAGGAGGGAGGAGTGTTTGGGATGCTCTTCCAAAGAGGTCTAATGCCTTGCCAAACTAAAAAGCCAAGAAAAGAAGCTTAGTCCCTCACCAAACTACAAATCCCAGGAAATGAGCTTAATCCCTCACTAAACTATAAATTCCAGGAAAGAAACTTAGTCCCTCACCAAACTAAAAAATCCCAAGAAATAAACAGTCCTTCACCAAACTACAAATCCCAGGAAAGAAGCTTGGTCCCTTGCCAAACTACAAATCCCAAGAAAGAAGCTTAATACCTTGCCAAACTACAAATCCCAAGAAAGAAGATTAGTCCTTCGCCAAACTACAAATCCCTGGAAAGAAGCTTAGTCCCTCTCCAAACTACACATCCCAAGAAAGAAGATTAGTCCTTCACCAAACTATAAATCCTTGGAAAGAAGCTTAGTCCCTCACCAAACCACAAATACTAGGAAATAAGCTTAGTCCCTCATCAAACCACAAATCCTAAGAAATAAGCTTAGTCCCTTGCTAAACTACAAATCCCAAGAAATAGGCTTGGTCCCTCACCAAACCACAAATCCCAAGAAATAAACTTAGTCCCTTGCCAAACTACAAATCCCAGGAAAGAAGCTTAGTACCTTTCCAAACTACAAATCCCAGAATTCCAAAGAATGCAGCCCTGGCAGTTCAAGTGGAACCGTAGTGCTATAGTCACTTAAGGTTTCTTTTATATTGCATATTTTACAATGCACAGTCATATAACATCATAGATTGTCTTGTGTCTTTTATGATGTACAGTTTTAGCACTTTGATACCTCTTTGTCTGCCCAACTGCCTCTCTTTGTATTAAACAGAAAAGACACAAATAAGGAAAACAACCACGCCTATAAATATGTCAGCATAGACATACTTGAGCAACAGTTCCTAACATTTACACAACTAACTACATAGTTACTTTTAGCACTGTTGTTTCTCTGCCCTAACTAAACATAACATAAATCTGAAATATATATACATTAGTTTGAGAAGAGGATTTTAGAGACACACTGAGGTTCTCTGGCAGAGAATTCTATATGCCACACGAAACTACAGATCCCATGATTCCATCAGGTGCAGCCATGTTAAAATGAGGTCAAATGTGCTGTAACTGTGTAATAGAAGGAAAACTGAGTTCCCCTAATTGCCTGTTTTCTCACTTCTCTCAAATTACTGCATTACACAAAGTTGTGTTCTTATATATATGTATATCGATACATGTATTGTTTTGTTGTTTTATTGTTTTGCTTTAATGCTTTTGATCTTGCTTTTGGTTGTATTTGCTATGCTATTGTTTGTTGAGGTCTTGGCCTTTGTAAGCTGCATCGAGTCCTTTGGGAGATGCTAGCGGGGTACAAATAAAGTTAATAATAATAAATAATAATAATATGTATATCAGTACGTATATTTTAGAGCCCCTGGTGGCACAGTGGGTTAAAGCGCTGAGCTGCTGAACTTGCTTACTGAAAGGTCGGCGATTTGAATCTGGGGAGCAGCATGAGCTCCCACTTAGCCCCAGCTTCTGCCACCTAGCAGTTTGAAAACATGCAAATGTGAGTAGATCAATAGATACCGCTACGGCGGGAAGGCAGTGGTGCTCCTTGCAGTCATGCAGGCCACATGATCTTGGAGGTATCTACTGACAACGCCAGCTGTTTGGCTTAGAAATGGAGATGAGCACCAACCCCCAGAGTTGGGCACGACTGGACTTAATGTCAGGGGAAAACCTTTACCTTTACCTCAGGCATGTAGCCGGGGAGGGGGGGCTCTTGAGTGGCTTCAGCCTCCCTCCCCCCCAAAAAATCTCAGGGTGGTCTGCAAGAAGGCCTTACTGGTACATTATTTAAACTGTTATGTTTATCCATATCATATGCATGGGGGTATTGGGATGATGACACAAAAGGTTTGCTAAGGTAGATTCTCAGTCCCCGTCCCCCCCGTCCCCCCGAATCAAAATCCTGGCTACGGGCCTGCTTTACTTATATATTAGAGCCAGTGTGGTGTAATAGTTTGAGCATTGCATTATGATTCTGGAAATCAGAGCTCAAATCCTGACTCAGTCATGACCGTGGGCAAGCCACACTCTCTCAGCCTCATCAGGGTGGCACTGAACAAGGAAAAGAGACCTATTGCCGCCTCATTCTCTTTCTTTCCTTCCCTTCCTTTCCCCTTCCCTCCATCTTCCCATCTTTCCATGTTGATTCCTTGCCCCAAGTGGACTCCTTTTCTCCTTTTCTTCCCTGCTGCTTCTGTGTAAGTCCAAGTAGGGCTAAAAAATTGATTTATCATGGCTAGTCGCCATTGGCAGGCCGATTGGCTGTATATTTGAACTCCGAAATGGTCTTTTGTGCCAGCAGACATCATAAGAGTCTTAGGCAGGCGAGTCATAACCATACATGGGCATGAAGTCTTTAGAGACATTGCTTGAAAAAGTATTTCCTCCTGTTTTCCTTTGGAATTTGGAGTGATATGATTGAGTGTGTTATTAGTTCCTCCTAACATATGTAGGAAGCCTTCAAGAGTGGGGGCCATTGTTTCGGAGAGATGATAAACCCTTGAATGAAATACTATTAGGTATTAAGTAATGAAAGGCCCATGGGAGAACAGACATTGCAGGACTTTGTTTCCTTGGAATAAGAGAAAGCCCTGCAGAAAGGGTTTGTTTTATTTCCAAAGGAATAAGGGGAGCGTTTAGGAAGAGAACTGAAGAGGAGGCCTTTGAAATCCTCAGGCTTCAAAGCCCTTGGCAGCTACTTCAAGGGAGCCAAAGTGGCAACTGCTGAAAATGCTAATGTAGAAGGAATTAGAAGGGAAAAAATCCCTGGGTAAACATTGACATCTGGCGCCCCTTGGACGAAGGTTTGTAATACTAGAGACCTCTCTGAGTTGATGTCTGTCCCCATCTTTGTCGTAGGAAAATGATAAATATGTCCCACTCTTTCCTTAAACAAATAAAGGATTTCTTCTTGATGAGTGTGATCAGTTTCTCCATCTCAGGCTGGGTCTACACTGCCATATAATCCAGTTCAAAGAAGTTAAACTGCATTATAAAACTGTATTATATTGTAGACTAGATCTAACCTCAGCTAATCCACACATCTTCATCAGATTTTCCTCTTCCTCCTTCCTTGCTTTTTATCTCCTCCTTCTTCCTTGTTGTTGTTGTTCTTAATCTCCTTCTCATTCCTCCTCCTCCTTTTTCTTTTCCTTCCTCCTTCCTCCTTTCTCCTTCTTGTTGTTGTTGCTTTTCATCTCCTTCCCCTTGTTGTTGTTCTTCTTCATCTCCTTCTTCTCCCTTCTTTTTATTCTCCTTACTCCTTCTTGTTGTTCCTCTTCATCTCCTCCTCCTTCTTCCTCCTTCTTTTCTTCTCCTTCCTCCTCCTTATTGTTGTTGTTCTTAATCTTATCCCCTTTGTTGTTTTTCCTCTCCTTCTCCTCCTCCTCCTTCTTTCTCCTTCCTCTTTCTTCTTTTTCTTCTTCCTCCTTCTTTTCATCTCCTCCTTGTTGTTGTTCTTCCTCTATCTGTTCTTCATTTCCTCCTCCTCCTTTTCTTCATCCTCCTCCTCCTCCTCTTCTTCTTTATATCACACTTTTCTCTCTCTCAAAGGAAACATCACATTCTTGTACCAGGATAGCTCATTCTTTCTATTACTGGGCATAGATTATCCTCGCTGTAGTAATCATATATAGTAATATATAGCAATTACCTCTCATGTTCCTTCCTTGGCTTTTGCATTGATTCCGTTGTTCTCTCCTTCCTCCCTCTTGATGGCCAGGATCTGAAGGAGCCCCTCGCCGGCACCAAAGCACAGCTGGATGCGGCTGCCCTGGACATCCAGTTCTTCATTTCGGAGAATGCGCAAGACCTGAGCCCAGAGCAAAGCCGGCATCTCTTTCAGCTACTGAACGAACTGCAGGGCTCCTTCCAGGAGCTTTCAGGGAGAGTGTCAGCCCGGACGGAGGTCCTGCGGGTCTGCCTCCTGCGAGTGGAGCAGACCAACCAGGTGACGGACGTGGGCCAGGGACTCCTGCTTTGCATCCTATTTAACTGGCAGCAGAACCTGGGCACCCCATCGTCTTTAACAACACCCAGGGCCTGCTGTAGTTTGTGCCATTCTCAGCATGCACTCCCTATATGATACATTACTCAGATGCACATGAGAGGAAGTGTATTAATGTCATCATAGGAGGTGAAGGAGCATTTTTTAAGGAGAGATCTCCCCTTGCCATAAAGCTAGTGCAGGAAGAGTTCAATCTCTCCTTTCCATGTGTTATGAACTTGGCTCCTCTCCATCACCTCCTTTCAGGTAGTAATAATTTTTAAAAGGCTGGATGTGTTTCTGAGTTCAGCATCATGGCTTGGAAAACACCATTCGGGGGTTGTTCTAATTTGGGAGTTGAGAACCTGGGCTGAAAGATGGGTATTTTATTGCCAAGGCATTGGAACTCCTAGTCAGGTAATTTTAGGATGCCCAAAGAAGAAGGACCCATTAATTGATATACATGCATACAGTTCCCAAGTTATAAACAAGATCATATAATCATAGAGTTGGAAGAGACCTCGTGGGCCATCTAGTCCAGCCCCCTGCCAAGAAGCAGGAAAATTGCATTCAAAGCACCCCCAACAGATGGCCATCCAGCCTCTGTTTAAAATAATAATAATAATAATAATAATAATAATAATAATAATAACAACACTTTATTTTTATCCCACTACCATCTCCCCAAGGGACTCAGTGCGGCTTACATGAGACCGAGGCCGAATACAACAATACAAACAGTAATAACAACAATACAAGCAATTAAAAATAAACATGGACAATACAATAATGCAACATTAACAATAAGACAACACGCAATTAAAAACAGTGGGAAGGCCAAATGTAAAGTTAAAATGGAAATAATGCTGGGACATGGACGAAAGGTGATAGTGGCGTTTGTGGAAGGGCATACGAGCAGATCTAAAAAGTGTAAAGTGCTTTGGAGGACAAAGTGCTATGGGATAATTATTCCGGGAAAGCACACTGGAACAACCACGTCTTCAAGCTCCTCCTAAAGGTTGGGGCCTGTCTGATGTCTTTAGAGAGTGAGTTCTAGAGTTGAGGGGCCACCACCGAAAAGGCCCTCTCTCTCGTCCCCACCAACCGCACCTGCGATGCTGGTGGGATCGAGAGCAGGGCCTCCCCGGATGATCGAAGGGATCGTGTGGGTTCATATACAGAGATGCGGTCACGCAGGTAGGCGGGTCCCAAACCGTTCAGGGCTTTGTAGGTAAGAACCTGCACCTTGAATTGGGTCCGGTAAATGAATGGCAGCCAGTGGAGCTCCTTGAACAGGAGGGCTGACCGCTCCCTGTAAGGCGCCCCAGTTAGCAACCTGGCCGCCGCCCGTTGGATCATCTGAAAAAGCCTCCAAAGAAGGATAAAATTTATAAGTTTGTTCATAAGTGGATTTTGTTTGTAAAATGCATCAGAACAGATGCATTTTAAAGGGTAACTCCAGACATACATACATACATATAGGCTTTAGATACTATAGGGAAGAGTTAACACCCCTGCGGTCTTTGTTTGGCTGTAAGTACCCCTGTTCAGATGTCACCTCAGGGTCAGAAGCATTCTCTCCTGACATGCTGAATGCGTCTCGCCTCAGAAGCATTCTCTCTTGACATTTCGCCCACATCTATGCCAGGCATCCTCAGAAGTTGAGGGGTCTGTTGGAAACTAGGCAAGTGAGGTTTATATATCTGTGAAGGTCCAGGGTGGGAGAAAGAACTCTTGTCTGCTTGAGGCAAGTGTGAATGTTGCAATTGGTCACCTTGATTATCATTGAATGGCCTTGCAACTTCAAAGTCTGACTGGTTGCTGCTGGGGGGAATCTTTTGTTGGGAGGTGTTAGGTGACCTTGATTTATTCTTGTCTGGAATTCCCTTGCTTTTTGAGTGTTGCTCTTTATTTACTGTCCTGATTTTAGAGGTTTTTTTAAAAGTACTGATTTATTTATTTGTCGTGTCAGGGCAACCAGTCAATTATATTACATTTCTAATAGAACAAAGCAAACAAACAAACAAAATACAAAATTTGTGAGTTTGGTAGTTGATTAAATGTCCTTTGACCAGTATCTGGCCACTTGGAGTGCTTCTGGTGTGGCAAGAAGGCCCTCCATTGTGCATGTGGCAGGGCTCAGGTTGCTTTGCAGCAGGTGGTCAGTGGTTTGCTCCTCTCCACACTCGTACGTCGAGGATTCCACTTGGTAGCCCCAATTCTGAAGGTTGGCTCTGCATCTTGTGGTGCCAGAGCGCAGTCTGTTCAGCGCCTTCCAAGTCGCCCAGTCCTCTGTGTGCTCAGGGGGGAGTCTCTCATTTGGTATCAGCCATTGGTTGAGATTCTGGGTTTGAGCCTGCCACTTTTGGACTCTCGCTGAGGTGTTCCAGCGAGTGTCTCTGTAGATCTTAGAAAACTATTTCTAGATTTAAGTCGTTGTCGTGCTGGCTGATACCCAAACAGGGGATGAGCTGGGGAAGTCTCTGCCTGATTCCAGATTTTGTTTATTTTTATGATTTCTTCTTCTCTGTTGAAATTGTCCACATGCTTGTGGATTTAAATGGCTTCTCTGTGTAGTCTGACATGGTGGTTGTTAGAGTGGTCTAGCATTTCTGTGTTCTCAAATAATATGCTGTGTCCAGATCGGTTCATCACATGCTCTGCTGTGGCTGACTTCTCTGGTTGATTAGTCTGCAGTGCCTTTCATGTTCCTTGATTCGTGTCTAGGCAATTCTGCTGCATTTGGGGGTCCTTATGTCGACTTATCCACAGCTGCATGGTATGTGATAGACTCCTGCAGAGGTGGGAGGATCCCTCTCATCCTTTGCTGAACATAGTATTTGTTGGATTTTCTTAGTGGGTCTGTAGTGGGCCAGCTAATCACCTCCCAACAAATGATTCTCCCAGGCAGGAAGCAGCCAAGCCTTGAATATTTATTTATAGTATTTATATTCCACCCTTCCCATCCTGCAGGAGACTCAGGGCAGATTGCAGTGCATATATGCATGGCAAACATTCAATGCCATTTGGACACACAACATATATAGACAGCCACAGAGGCAATTTAACATCCCAGCTTTCATGAGGGTATTCTCGATTCCGGCCACAGGGGGAGCTGCCACTTTACCATCCACTTGTGACACCGAATCCTTTAATGGAGTACTTCCTCATTCTTCTGCACGCTGCTGGAAGGTATTATGACATCATAAATTAGTTAAATTAGCCTCCCTGAATAAAACGGTACAAGATCCAACTGTCTTTCAGTCTGCATAGGTCAACAGCAAGCTAGACTATTAATGGTCGGGACTTACTCTGACCTGGGCTAGTTTCGAACTCATGACCTCTCGGTCAGTAGTGATTTAATACAGCTGGCTACTAACTAGCTGCGCCACAGTCTGGTCTATTCAATGCTAATCAAGGTGATCAGTTGCAACATTCATATTTGCCTAAAACAGACAAGAGTTCTTTCTCCCACCTTGGACATTCCACAGATGTATAAACCTCACTTGCCTAGTTCCCAACAGACCTCACAACCTCTGAGGATGCCTGGCATAAATGTGGGTGAAATGTCAGGAGAGAATGCTTCTGGAACATAGCCATACAGCCTGGAAAACTCATAGCAACCCAGTGATTCCGGCCATGAAAGCCTTCAACAACACAGTGTCACCTCACTTTCTATCACCTCCTTTCAGATGGTAATAATTTCTAAAAAGCTGGACATATTTCTGAGTCTAGCATCACACCTTGAAAAGGACCCATTGGGGGTCCTTTGTGCACCATTGCTCTCTTTGCGCCCACCACTGCATGCCCTCCTATTTCTCCCACGCTCAGGCGCTATTAATCCATGTTTTGTTTCACTGTTGTCCTTCTGCAATGTATGCCTGGTCTGCCTCTTTTTCTCTCTGTGTGTGTATATTAACCAGTTTGCTTTGCCTTTTCAGATTCAGTGTGTGCACTCCCATCCTTAAGGCCAGAGGATCTCATTCTGCTGCCGAAGAGGGCTTTAGTTAAAAGAGTGTGTGCTCTCTTCATCTCTCTCTTTTCCGCCAGCTCTTATGGGTTATTTTTGGCTGAAACGACTCAGAGAAAAGCCCTGCTTCCCGTTTGGCTTGAGTTTGTGTGTTTTGATCATTGGGACACCAAAAGGAAAGGGAAATGGTCCAGGGCGACACATCATGCTCAATGACTCCAGGGATGACGCGCTAGGACTTTGGTGCAGCCTCCAAAAGCATCCTTCTCTCCCTCTTTCCAGAAAGTCCTTTTCTGAGGTTGCAACACTCTGCAAGGTCTTTCTGTTATTCCTGCAAAGTATTTTTTTCAGACTGGAAATTTGTCCTCAATCGAAAACTGTGTTAATTGCTTTCCAGTCCCAAAAAGCATACATTGCAGTGTGCAAATCATTTATGTCTGGAGCAGAAGAAAGGAAAATAAAACTGTTATTTTGGAAGGCAAAACCAATTTGGAGTTTGCAGGAAAAAGGCTGGATTCTGGATGCATGGATGAAAGAGAGAAAGTTAAATTCAATGGAGGAATGGCCCATTTCTAAATGATTTGCATGCTTCTGTTCCAGCCAATGGAACAAAATACTTGCCTTGAGCAGAATTCAAGGTGAGAGGGACAGAGGGAGAGAAAATGCAAGTTGTGGCCCACTGACACACTCTGTTTCCTGTTTTGTGACTTGCTTGCCTGCATATGCGCTTGCAGTGCTTTCCTTGATAGGTAATGACCAAGGTCCCGGCCTTGTTTTTCAACCCCCTTTCACTTGAACAGACCCTCCAAGAGCAGCAAGTCATCCGCAACCGGAATCTGGAGGAATTGTGTGCCTGGATGAACCAAGCCGAGGCCCGACTGCAGGACCCCCAGGGAGCCATACACAAAGGGGAGCTGTCTCTGCTGGAGCAGAAGCAGAGTGACATCAAGGTATGTGCAGCATTTGTTAGGGGTCATGTTGGGGATTAGATGGATGCCAAGGACAGGTCTCTGTGTTGAGCATTGCTTGAGATGGAAAGGTGGGACCTCAGTCTTGCAAATGAGTCTCTTCTGTCCATGTTCCAGTGGTTGTACTTCTATCTGTTGGAATTCAACGTTAACCTGCCCAAGTCTCAAGTCTTCAATGAGGAGCAGTTAGCTATAAGCCAGTGATTCCCAACATTTTTTTGACCAGGGCCCACTTTGACGAGGCCTAATTGGTTTTGTTCTTTAAACAGGAGATGATTGGAAAGCTCATTTTTTGAGTGGAAAGTTAAGAAATCAAGATGGGGGTGGCTGAAGTTCATGGTGTTTCCTCTCTACCCTCAGGATCTGCAGCGGAACATGCACAGCCGCTCCGCTTCGTTTGCCGGCATCTTGAAGGCAACAGAGGAGTTTATGGAGGACAACCAGGCGAAGCTGGACCCCCAGGAGCTGGCCTCTCTCCGAGCCAAACATGGCCAGGCCAAGGAGCAGCTCCAGTCCCTGCAGGAGAGAGTGGAGGCTGCCCACAAGGAACTGGAGAGCGCAGTCAGCACTGTGGTCCAGCAGCAGACCCAGAAGGTCAGGGGCTGCCCAGCCAGCCGGCCAGTCATCCAGCCCACCCACCTTCCTGTGTTCCTTACATAGCTTCCTTCCTTCCTTCCTTCCCTCCCTCCCTCCCTCTCCTTCCTTCCTTCCTTCCTTCCTTCCTTCCTTCCTTCCTTCCTTCCTTCCTTCCTTCCTTCCTTCCTTCCTTCCTTCCTTCCTTCCATGATATTTCTGTAGAAGCCATTAAGCTGTATTTCACCTGTCAAATCTCTTTGCTTCCTTAAAATCCTCTACCTTTCTTTTGTTTTCAGGTCAAAGCTGTCAAAGACTTTGAGGAAAACCACAGCAAGATTGAATCCCTCCTGCACTGGATGTCTTCACTGGAGAAGTCCAGGGAGACACCCAAAAGTAGATCCCTCTTATTGAGCCAAGAAGCAGGAGATCAGGGAGACAGTCCTGATGGCCAACTGACAGAGGCCGATGGAGTCGAGGAAGGCCTCGATTTGCACTTCCAGAGCTTGAAGGTGAGTGGGATCTGGTGGGCAGAAGGTACGGTGAAAAACCAAAGTTCAAATCCCACCCATAAACCTTTTTTATTTGCCTGCTTTGAGAGATGGCATAAAGGTAAAGCCATTCAGCCAATGGGAAGGAGCAAACACAGCTGGGAAAAAGGCAGAGTTATGGGAAGTGACTTTTGCTGAAAGTAGGGGAGGCTTTCCATCCTGGAAAGAAGGGCCTGGAGTCTAGATTGAATCATAGAATCATAAAATTACAGACCTCAAGGGCCATCTAGTCCAGCCCATTCTGCCGGGCAGAAATGCCAAATCAAAGCCCTCTCGACAGATGGTCATCCAGCCTCTGTTGGGTCATAGAATACTTGACTTGGACAAGACGCTAAGGGCCATCCAGTCAAGCCCCCTTCTGTCAAGCAGGAACACCTCCCTACAGATGGCCATCCAGCCTTTGCTTTGAATCCTCCAAAGGAGTCAGGAAGTTCTTTCAAATGTTTTGATGGAATCTCTTTTCCTGCCATTTGAATCTATTCCTCCATGTCTTTGTGTCTAACTAAAACCAAGCTTCCCCCCCTCCTTAAAGGGACATTCTTTCAGATATTTAAACGTGGCTTGCAGAAGAGAAGGTTGAGAGGAGACATGATAGCCATGTATAAATATGTGAAAGGATGTCATAAGGAAGAGGAGCAGGCTTGCTTTTTACCGCTCTGGAGACTAGAATTCAATGGAGGAATGGGTTCAAATGATGGAGTTGCCACCTGAACGTCAGGAAAAACTTCCTGGCCATAAGAAAAACTGTTCAGCAGTGGAACTCTCTGCCTCAGAGTCCGGTGGAGGCTCCTTCTTTGGAAGCTTGTAAACAGAAGCTGGGTGGTCATCTGTTGGAGGTAATTTGAATGTGCTTTTCCTGTCTGGCAGAGGAGTTGGACTAAATGGCCCGTGCGGTTTCTTCCAACTCTATGATTCTATGTCTCCTTCTCTCAGTCTACTTTTCTCCAAGCTAAACATATGTTGCTCCTCATTGCTCCGGGTGGGATTTGTCATCCCTTCCAGGCCCACCACCAGGAGCTGCTTTCCCAGCAGCAGGAGGTCCTCCTGTCGACGCAGTCAGCCCAAGCCTTCCTAGAGAAGAGAGGGCACAATCTCTCGTCCGCAGAGACACAGCAGCTGCAAGGGAAGCTGGAGGAGCTGAAGGGCCAGTACGCTTCCAAGTTGTCACAGTCGGAGGCACAGCTCAAGCAGGTCCAATCCTTAAGGGATGAGCTGCAGAAGTTCCTGAGGGACCACCTAGAGTTTGAGGCCTGGCTGCTGCAAGCCGAGCAGGAGCTGGAGCGGATGCATCATGGGGACCGCAGCCTCGAAGCCCTGCGGCCGATGCTCCGCCGACAGAGCAGCTTCTCAGAGGACGTCATCTCCCACAAAGGGGATCTTCGCTTCGTGACCATGTCAGGACAGAAGGTGCTGGATGCGGAGAAGGCCACGGCCGGGCCAGAGGTTTCAGCCACCGGTGCCTTGGTGAAGAGCAAGTTGGAGGACGCCACCAAGAGATACGGCACTCTACACTCCAAGGTACCAGGGATCTGTATTCGGAGAGGGAAAAGTGACCTCTTGCAGAATTGTCTTAATCTGGTTTCGTGTTATTATTACACTATGTAACATGATTTTTGTTCCTGGGTTAGAAATGTCATTTCCTAATTGGCTCTATCATAAAAACATGGAAAAAGTTTATTACAGTGTTCCCTCATTTATCGCGGGGGTTCCGTTCCAGGACCACCCGTGATAAGTGAAAATCCGCAAAGTAGGGATGCCATATTAATTTTAATATTTATACATTATTTTATATATATTATATGTTATTTTCTTACCTGCACTTCCTTATCCGCCTCCCGACCCATTGCAAGGGCACCTGCCGACCTCTGCAGAGCCTCCGGAGCCACACAGGCATCAGCAGGCCAGGGAGGCAGGCCTTCCCCGCCGTGCCTCAGGCCACCACACTTCTGGGGTCCCTGGCCTCCACTGGACATAAATATTTAATATTTTATCATTTTTATTAATATTTTCAAAAACCCACAAAACTGAGTCCGCTAAAAGCAAACCGCGAAGAAGCGAGGGAACACTGTAAATGGCAAAAACTTTGGGGTGCTGTGTGGTTTCTGGGCTAAATAATAATAACAATAATAATAATAATAATAATAGCAACAACAGCAACGATAACAACAGCAACAACTTTATTCTTGTACCCTGCTTCCATCTCCCTGAAGGGACTCAGAACAGCTTACAATTGGCACAAAGTGCCTAAAACAAAACATAAATTATTGCATTGTTATTGTTGTTGTTTGTAATGGGAGGAAGGCAATGAGACTCTACAGCAGGTGTAGGCAAACTTTGGCCCCCCAGGTGTTTTGGACTTCAACTCCCACAATTCCTAACAGCCATGCCTGCTCTACAGTTTGTCCATGCCTGCTCTACAGTGACCAAGGTATCCAATGCCAAGGATTGATGACTTCTTAATTTCATGTTGTTCCCTTGCTTTTGTGACCTTTGGGCACCAAAGTGTGTGTCGGCCAGAGTTTTGAGCCCAGTCATCAAAAGCTGTCCACCTTCTTGTATCATAAAGGCTTTCGGGGTTTCTTTGTTGTTCTCATGTACGAATGAGGCTGGCATGTACAACCTCCTCTCCAAACCCATTTCTTCTGATCTGGCCATTTTGCAGAAGTAATTGGCCAGTGCCAAGGTAGGAAAGTCATGCTCTCGGTGTGTCCCTCTTGTTGCTATCATGCACGGTTTGGATGGACCCAGGAAGCATCTGCTTCACACTTAACCTCTCCTTCCCATTGCAGTGTGCGGCCCTTGGATCCCACCTGAACCTGCTTCTGGACCGCTCTCAGCAATTCCAAGACATTGCGAACTCCCTCCAAAAGTGGCTCCAGGAGAGCGAGGCCGCTGTGTCCAACCTTCTCTCCGAACCTATTTCTTCCGATCCGGCCATTTTGCAGAAGCAGTTGGCCAGCGCCAAGGTAGGCAAGCCATGCTCTCGGTGTGTCCTCTTTGGGCCTAATCTGGATCTCATTGTCTCCTAGTAATTCTGGAGTCTCCCAAATGAAAGACTAGCTGATACAATGAAGTATTTGTACTTTGGTGTGGTAATTTTCTTATCTATAGTACTGTATTTACTCACCTTTTTTGGCTAAGTTACCTTCCCAAAATTAGGGTGCGCATTAGATTCACGTCTCACAGTCATCTTAGTGTTGAGTCAAAGCAAAAGGGGAACCTGCTTCAGGAGAAGCTCCTATCATAGTAGATGGTGCGAATAGAGACACTGCCCCTTTAAGGCTAGGGAATTGTGGGAGTTGTAGTTTGGTGGCTTTGAAGGCTTTGTCAAACTACAACGCCCAAGCATCTATAGCAGGCATGGGCAAACTTCGGCCCTTCAGGTGTTTTGGACTTCAACTCCCACAATTCTTGGCCTCAGATCTGTTCCTTTTTCCCCTCAGCCACTTAGCTGGGTGTTGTAGTTATAATAATAATCATAGAGTCTGTCTCTGCTCCGACATCTCTGATGGTTCTTCTCACTTGCTTGCTGCAGCGTCTGCAGGAGGACCTTGCGGAGCATCAGGTGCCGGTGGAGAAGCTGGAGAAGGCGTCCCGCTCCCTTCTAGAGATACACCAAGCCCCCGTTCCTGACCACAAGAGCATTCAGGAAACCACAGGTACTCATGAAACCTTGTTGCAGAGTGATAGAGTTGAAAGGAAACCCCAAAGGTACTGCAGTCCAACCCCCTGCCATGCGGGAAGACACCATCAAAGCCCTCCCAACAGATGGCCATCCAGCTCCTGATTAGAAACCTACTACAGACTCCCAAGACAGTTTATAGTGGGATTAGTCCAACCCAGTTATGCAGGAAGACACAATCAGAGCCCTCTTGACAGATGGGCATCCAACCTCTGTCTATAAACCTCCAGAGAAGGAGACTCCAGCAGACTCCCAAATCTATATTCCATTATAGTTGGAAGGGAACCCCAAAGGTCATCTAGTCCGACCTAGTTATGACGGAAAACACCATCAATCCCTCCCAACTGATGGCCATCCAGCGTCTGCTCAGAAACCTTCAACAGATTCCCAAGACAGTCTGTATTCTGCTATAGTTGGAATACTCTAACCCGGTTAGGTTGGAAGTCACAATCAAAGCGCTCCTGACAGATGAGTATCCAACCTCTGCTTAGAAATCTCCAGAGAAAGAGACTCCAATAAACTCCCAAATCTATATTCCATTATAGTTGGAAGGGAACCCCAACGGTTATCTAGTCCAACCCAGTTATGACAGAAGACACCATCAAAGCCCTCCCAACAGATGACCATCAGCCTCTGCTTAGAAACTCCCAGAGAAGAAGAATGCACTGGACTCCTAGGCAGCATATTCCACTTCCGAACAGCTCAGGAAGTTCCTCCTAATGTTTAGGTGGAATGTATTTTCCTGCATTTTGGATCCATTCTGTTGAGCAGCGAAAAACAAGCTTTGTTCCCCCTCCTTCTTCTCAATGCGACTTCCTTTCAGATATTTGAACACGGCTCTCATGAGTCTCCCCTTCTCTCAGCCTTCTTTTTTCCAAGCTAAACACTCCCAGCATTTCAGGTGTAAACCGACAAGTAAGAACAAAGTTATGTTACTGAACTAATGAACTGTTTCTATATGTTATTTAAATAAAGTATCCTTAACCTAAGAGTAACATCAGCTGCGAGAAAATAGCCACTTTGGAACCTGTATGGAGGCTATAAATATAATTCAGTAAATAAATCTGTAAGGCATTTTGAGAGAGATTTAAATGGTATTTTCCACATTTTATGTCAGTCTTCCCTGCTTAAGTTCTTCTGCGAAACAGTAGTGTAAAGTACAGGCAGTCGACAAGTTATGAACAAGAGAGGTTCTGTAAGTTTGTTAAGTTGAATTTGTAAGTCAGAACAGGAGCTTTTAAAAGTGTAACTCCAGCCACACACACACACACACACACACACACACTGTTTCCCTGAAAATAAGACAGGATCTTGTATTAACTTTTGTTCTGAAAGATCCATTATGGCCTACGTATAGCTGCCTGTACACTATTTATGTAACTAGGGCTTATTTTTTGAAGTAGGGCTTATATTTTGCGCATCCTCAAAAATCCTGAAAAAATATGCTAGGGCTTATTTTCAGGGTAGGTCTTATTTTCAGGGAAACAGGATGTGTGTGTGTGTCTATAAACACACACACACACACACACACACATATGCAAGTTTTGAATAGCATTTCCCCCTGATATTTAGTCCAGTTGTGTCCGACTCTGGGGGTTGGTGCTCATCTCCATTTCTAAACCGAAGAGCCGGCGTTCTCCATAGAAGCCTCCAAGGTCATGTGGCCGGCATGACTGCATGGAGCACAATTTAGCCCCTGTGACATTTGTTTTGCTGTTTATAACCCTGTTTCTGTTTCATTGGATTTTGAAAAAATTGGCTTGTTATGGAAACAAGGATTGATGATAAAGCTTAATTGGATACCCCTTTCCCCCATGAAACAACTCTTCCAGGAGTTAATTTCCCTTCCGAGGGGAAGACTCCTCTTACTTCCTATTGTCTCAGCTCTGTTCTTAACTAGGAGTCGTTTGTAAGTCGGATGGTTGTAATTTGGGGACTGCCTGTAATAGAAAAGTAGCTTCTGGTGCAGGAAGAACAGGAAATTAGATACCATATTCTAATTAATGAGTAAGGGCAGTTGGTTCCTTTCCCAACACTGTTTAGTAGAAACACATCAACTTTTCAAAGTAATTTGCATGCCGTATCTTCCACAGCTTGAGAGCTCACGGAGTCTGCCTGTATTGATGAGTGGCATCTTGCGTTGACCAGCGTTTCTTCCTTTTTCTGCCATTCCTTTCGCTCTCCCACAGAGTCCGTTGTGAGCCGCTTCCAGGACCTCTGGGGCCGCATGGCGGAGCGCTCCGACCTCTTGCAGAAGGCGATTGCCCAGTCGCAGAGTGTCCAGGAGGGGCTGGAGGGCCTGGCCCGGTCCATGGCCCACATCGAGGAGAGCCTCCAGCACAAGGAAGGGACCCCCTTCTCCGCTGTTGCCGTCCAGGAGGCCCTCGCCAACAACACCGTGAGCCACTCCTTACTCTCAGGGGGCCATTGCTATGATGGTTGCTAATAATAATAATAATAATAATATAAACTTTATTTATACTCCGCCACCATCTCCCCCAACGGGGACTCAGGATGGCTTACATGAGGCCAAATACCACTAATACTGTCCTAATACCACTAATACTGCTAGGCATTTTATAATAACACTATGTAACAAAATTTCTAAGCCGAAGAGTCGGCGTTGTCCGTAGACACCTCAAAGGTCATGTGGCCTGCATGACTGCATGGAGCGCCATTACCTTCCCGCCAAGGCGCTACCTATTGATCTCACATTTGCATGTTTTTGAAATGCTAGGTTGGCAGAAGCTGGGCTTAACAGCGGGAGCTCATCCCGCTCCCCGGATTCGAACCGCTGACCTTTCAGTCAGCAGGTCCAGCAGCTTGGCACTTTAACCCACTGCGCCATGTATAAATACGTGAATCCGGAGGTTCGAATCCAGGGATGAGTTCCATCTGTCAGCTCCAGCTTCCCATGCGGGGACATGAGAAAAGCCTCCCACAAGGATGGTAAAACATCAAAACATCTTTTGGGCAACATCCTTGGACTACGTCCTTGCAGACGGCAAGTTCTCTCAAACCAGTTTCTCAAGTAGCTCCTGACATGAAAAAAAAGTGAAACAATGTCATAAGGAAGAAGCAGAGGGCTGGCAGAAGCGGGGGCTAACAGCGGGAGCTCACCCTGCTCTCCAGATTTGAACGTCTGACCTTTTGGTCAGAAAGTTCAGCGGCTCAGCACTTTAACCCACTGCGCCATGTATAAATATGTGCATCCAGAGGTTTGAATCTGGGGAGAGTGCGGATGAGCTTCCTCCATTAGCTCCAGCTCCTCGTGCAGGGACTTGAGAAAAGCTTCCCACAAGGATGGTAAAACATCAAAACATCTGGGTGTCTCCTGGGCAACGTCCTTGCAGACAGCCAGTTCTCTCACACCAGTTTCTCAAGTCATTCCTGACATGAAAAAAGTGAAACAATGTCATAAGGAAGAGAGAGTGGGTTGGCAGAAGCTGGGGCTAACAGCGGGAGCTCACCTTGCTCTCCAGGTTCGAACTGCTGACCTTTTGCTCAGCAAATTCAGCAGCCCAGCAGTTTAACTCACTGTGCCACCAGGGTCAGTTAGGACCTAGCTATCTATCTCTCTCGAAACACCATGTCTATTTCCATGCCCAGTTAGAGAAGAACAAAATGGAGAACTCTGGGGCTTGCTATATGGCTACATATTTTTGAATGAAAAGAGATGTGTCTCTAAGAAGTATCAGTCAACAGAGAAAGGCAGGCAAAGAGAGCAATGGGGAAAGCTTACTCTGCAAGCTAAGCCATCTTCCTATGCGTTTTCCTTGAAGAGGACTACGAACTTGTGCAGGCTGTGGTCGAGTTTTGGGCGCATGACTTCAGCGTAGTGGGGTTTTGGGTGTGTAAGGGACACAGCGGATGTCCTCCTTGGTCCTGACCCCCTTTCCTCGCCTTCCTTCTTCTCTGCAGAAGTTGAAGCAGGACTTGGATCGGCAGAGGAGCCTCCTGGAGGCCACCCAGGGCATGGTGGCACGCTTTGCGGAGGCAGCCGAGAGTGGGGCGGCAGCAGCAGCCCTGCGGAGCCAGCTGGACGGCCTGACGGAGCGCTTTGGGAGCCTGTGCCAGCGGCGGCAGGAGGAGGAGGAGGCCCTCAAGGAGCTCCTGCCCAAAGTGGAGCAGCACGAGCAGCTCTCCCAGGCCCTGGAGCAGTTCACCGAGAGCCGGGGCCGGATGCTGGCCGCGGGGAACCAGCCCCATCATGACATTGGCCATTTCTCCCAACAGATCCAGGTAAGGCTTCGGGGGCTACATCTGCACTGCAGGCTCAAGCGAGGGAATCCTGGGAGTAATAGTTTCATTAAGGATGCATCTACACAGGGCTCAAGGCAAGGGAATCCTGGGAGTTGTAGTTTCACTAAGAGTGCAGCTTCACAGGGCTCAAGATGAAGTAATCCTGGGAGTTGCAGTTTCACTAAGAGTGCGGCTACACAGGACTCAAGGCAAGGGAATCCTGGGAGTTGTAGTTTCACTAAGAGAGCAGCTACACAGACCTCAAAGCAAGGGAATCCTGGGAGTTGTAGTTTCACTAAGAGTGCAGCTACACAGGGCTCAAGGCGAAGTAATCCTGGGAGTTGCAGTTTCACTAAGAGTACAGCTACACAGGGATCAAGGCAAGGGAATCCTGGAAGTTGTAGTTTCACTAAGAGTACAGCTACACAGGGCTCAAGGCAAGAGAATCCTGGGAGTTGTAGTTTCATTGAGAGTGCAGCTACACAGGGCTACACCTTCAGTCTCAGCCAAAGTGGCATTTTTACACCTCCAAGGTTGCATCTACACTGTAGACTTAATTTAGTTTGACACCTCTTTAAGTGCTATGGCTCAAGGCTATCGAATCCTGAGAGTTATAGTTTTAGAGGTCTGTGCCAAGGTGACAACTCTCAGGATTCCATAGCATTGAGCCATGGCACTTAAAGGGGTGTCAAACTGAATTAACCCTACAGTGTGGATCCAGCCTTGGAGGTGTTTAAATGCCACTTTTCCTGAGGCTGAAGGTGTCGCAGGGAGCCAGCTTTGAGGCATGGCTGTCATTCACACCCATATTCTCCCCTACCGTGTCCCTCCAGGAGCTCAATTCGGAGATGAAGCAGCGGCACGAAGACTTGGAAATGTTGGAAAGCCTGACCGCAGAGCTCAGCGCCTGTGGATTTGCACCAGCGGGGTCCTCCTCGCACCAGGAGAAAGTGCGCAGTTTGAGGAAGGACTTTGCACAGCTGCAGAAGACAGCGAGGGAGAGGTAAGACAACGACTGGGGACAGTGGTGACTGACGCTAGCTTTGGTGGCCACTGGAGGACAGGGCCAGATGGAATACCCACGGCCAAGCTGGCCAGAATACTACCATTTGCATCCCCGAAACATTGGGCATTTTATTCTGCCCAGATTACTGGAGAGAATGGAAATTTACTGAGAAAGCCCATGAAAGGTTAAGCCAAATGGAAGGGGGGACTGGAGGGACTTGAAAGAAGGATGAAACCCACCCCTTGTTTGTCAACACAACAGAACAGCAGGGTTTTTTTGAAAAGAAATGGGAGACGCAGAGAAGAGTGAATGAGATGAAAAAGCTTGCACACGCATGTTTAGAAACTTTAGATGGAGTATCTGTAGAAACTTTAGATGCAGTAACTATAAAATGGCTGAGTTACATCTCAGTCGTATGGCACTATTTTGCTGTTGCACACTCAATAGCTGTGTCTGGCCAGAATAAATCTGTTGCATTTGATCTCCTCACCTCTGGTGTCTAATTTAGAAAAAGAGATATTAGGGGTTTGGGGCAGCACCAAGCTTCAACAGTAGGAAGCTGGGATGTTGTGTGGTTTCCAGGCTGTATGGCCATGTTCTAGCAGCATTTTCTCCTGACATTTTGCCTGCATCTGTGGCTGACATCTTCAGAGGATCTGATTGTAGTTAAGCAAGTGGAGTATATATACCTGTGGAATGCCCAGGGTGGGAGAAAGAACCATTATCTGTTAAACTAGTGTAAAGGGTACAGTTAGCAAGCTAGATTTGTATGTGTTGAGTGGGAACCACCTATTTGCATGTTAGTAGTACATCTGCATGGAAGTAGCCTGGTCTTTGTTCCCTTTGAATTGTTTACTGCTTAGAACAGACATGGGCAAACTTCGGCCCTCCAGGCCTAAAAAGGAAGACACTAAAAAATTTTTTTGGTTGGGCTGTGTTATTATCCATGGATTTTGTTAACGCTTGTGTAAGAAAAAGAAGGGGAGGGGGCTGAAGTTGAAAAAAAAACAGAGCACAAGACTCAAGAAACTGTCCCTAATAGCTTTATTTATTATTATTATTATTATTATTATTATTATTATTATTAATAATAATAATAATAATAATAATAATAATAATAATACTCTTGGGGACTAAACAGGGTCTTACAAAGGGCTGCTTTCCCATTACAACTGATGTGTGGCAATGGGAGCTAAATAATAATAATAATAATAATAATAATAATAATAATAATAATTATTATTATTATTATTATTATTATTATTATTATTATTATTATCTGTTGCAAGATAATTGCACAGACAGACTACAAACAGAGACACAACTCTGTGGCCCAAATGATTCACTGGAGCTTATGTCCCAAGTACCACCTCCCAGTAGTAAATAACTGGTGGGATCATAAACCTGCAAAGGTAGTGGAAAATGAACACGCAAAAATACTGTGGGACTTTCGAATCCAGACTGGCAAAGTTTTGGAACACAATACACCACACATCATGATTGTGGAAAAGAAAAAAGTTTGGATTATTGATGTTGCCATTCTGGGTGACAGTCGCATTGAGAAAAAACAACAGGAAAAACTCAGCTGTTATCAGGACCTCAAAATCAAACTGCAGTGGCTCTGGCATAAACCAGTACAGGTGGTCCCAGTGGTCATCGGCACACTGGGTGCCGTGCCAAAAGCTCTCAGCCAGCATTTGGAAACAATAAACATCGACAAATTCACGATCTGTCAATTGCAAAAGGCCACCTTACTTGGATCTGCGCGCATCATTCAGGAATACATCACACAGTCCTAGACATTTTGGAAGTGTTCGACTTGTGATTTTGTGATACGAAATCCAGCATATAGATCTCATTTGCTATGACATACTGTGTTTTTGTGTCAGTAAAATAATAATAATAACTACAGCTACTACTACTATTACTACTTTGGGGGACTCTCCTTCTCTCTCTCTCTCTCATTTCCTCGCCCATGCTGCCGCATGAATCTTCTCTGCCGTGGCCTGGGAAGCCTCCCAAGGCTGAAAAAGTGCTGACAAGTGCAACTGCCTTCTTTCCTTCCTTCTCTCCCTCTTCTTCTCTCTCTCACCCCCTCATGCATGCCGCCGGGTGAGTCTTCTCCACCGGCTGAGAAAATGCTGACGAGGGTGAGGGCAACACACTGGTGTCTCCTTCCTTCCTTCTCTCCCTCTCATGGACCTTATTTTAAGTTTCACGGCCTACCTATGGGCTGAGGCCCACGGGTTGAAAACCACTGCTCTATATGAACATCTTTCTAAATGGAGGGGTGTGTCTTAGAATCAAAGGTGTATCTTCGGTATTTTTGTTTGTGGCGATGGTACTGATGTTTGGGAGCACCTTACAATCTGTGGCATCTTACAAACTGAAGAAATATGGAAACCAACAAAAAATGAGACATGGTCACAGTTCTACGTATTTTAAAAATGGTGTCATTCCTCCCCAGGGAGAAAGGCGCCTCATCCTGCCAGGAGCAGCTGGATGAATTCCGGAAACTGGTGGGCTCCATGCGGCACTGGATGCAGGAGACAGAGGCCCACATCCCACCCACGGAGACCTCTCTGGGGACCCACGAGTTGGAGAAGCGGATGCAGCAGATTGAGGTGGGCACCTGGCCGCAGCCTCAGAGTCGCTGAGCAAATGGGCTTTGGAGTCCTGGGATGTTTACCCTTTCTGATTCCCACCTATGTCTTTCCTCAGGTTTTGTTGGAGGAATGGGCCGGAAAAGGTGTCCTTGTGGAGGAGATCGGCCGGAGAGGGACGACCTTGGAAAGTCTCATTGTTGAGATCACTGCTCCTGATGCCCAATCCAAGACAGGTAATAATAATAATAATAATAATAATAATAATAATAATCCTTTATTTGTACCCCTCTACCATCTCCCGAAGGACTTGGTGCGGCTTATAAGAGGCTGAAACCAAATACAACAATAAAAACAGCAGCAACAACAACACAATAACTCAAAAAACAAAGCAATAATATTAACAACACCCAATGACGCAATTAAAAACAATGGCCGGGCCAAATGTATTAATTAAAATTAAAAGTGCTGGGCATGACAAGGTGGGGTGTTTGGAGGGGGATGGGCATGCAGATATCCTGGATCTCTGATAAAGTGCGTTGGGACATAATGCTAGGAGTTTCCTTAGTCTGGAAAGGCACACTGGAACAACCACGTTTTCAAACTCATCCTAAAGATTGCTAGGTAGGAAGAAGCCATGGGCATCTTTTCCACATGCACTGTATTTCTTCGAGTTTTATGGGCCATCGAATGTAATGCACACCTCAGTTTTCGAAACTGCTGAATGTAATGTGCAGTGGCAAAAGGTGCATGCTTCATATTTTGCCCAAAAAATTACTCATTAAAATTGCTGGATGCTTAAGATTCCTTCTTTCAAAACAAAAGTGTTAGAACGCCAAAGATTTCAGCAATGGAAAAGAAAACCTTGGGGTGCATCTGTAGAACAAATCCATTTTAATTGCATTGATTCAATGTTATGGCATCATAGAGCTGTAGTTTTACAAGGTCTTGAGCCTTCGCTGCCAAAGAAGGCTGATGCCTCATCAAGCCACAAATCCCAGGATTGCCTAGCATTGAGCCGTAGCCATTAAATTTGAGATAATATCCCCCAAATAGGAGCCCCAGGTGCTTCTGAAACAGCTTCCCCTTTTGCTTTGGCTCAGCACTAAGATTACCATATTATGTGAATCTGATGCACCCTTATTTAGGAAAAAAGGAGCATTAGATTTGATAAATAGGATATATCTCTGTCCTGCTTGAGGGTGACAGGTGAAACTTTGAGAAGGAAATATTTCTGGGGGATATTTTTTTTCACAATCCCCTTCCCCTAAGGAAATACAACAAAACATTGAGGAAATGCAGAAGGGCTTTCTGGGAGACTAGAGTTCAAACCATTATCTGACACACCAAGTTCCCACTTACTCCTTTCCTTCCTTCCTTGAATCATAAAGTTGGAAGAGACCTGGTGGGCCATCCAGTCCAACCTCCTGCCAAGAAGCAGGAAAATCGCATTCAAAGCACCCCCCGACAGATGGCCATCCAGCCTCTGCTTAAAAACCTCCAAAGAAGGAGTCTCCACCACACTCCAGGGCAGAGAATTCAATGTCAGTGTCAACCCCCGTCATTCACACCTAATCTGCTCCGAGTCGCCTCTGGGCTGAGAGGGGCGGTATATAAATGTGGCAAATAAATAAATAAATAAACAAACAAATAATCAATCCTTTGGATGCCCTAAAAGGCTTGGGAATCATAGAATTAGAAGGGATTACAATGACCATCCAGTTCAGCCCCCTGCCATGCAGGGAAAGAACAATCAAAGCACCCCTGACAGATGGCCATCCAGCCTCTGTTTTAAAGCCTCCAAGAAATGAGCTTCCTCTAGACTCTGAGGCAGAGAGTTCCACTGCTGAACGGCCCTTCTCATGGTCAGGAAGTTCTTCCTAATGTTCAAGTGGCGTCTCCTTCCCTGTCATTTGTCTCCATTGAGTCCATTGAGTCTCCAGGGCAACAGAAAACATGACTTTTATTTACTTCTTTTATATACTGGTTTTGTCACTCGGGGGGGGGGGGGGAATCAAAGTGGTTTCCAACATGTTCACGGCAAAATTCAATGCGTAACATACATACGAGAAACCTAACATGAAACAACAATAACATATAACTATCAATTACATTATAAAGCATAAAGGTTAAAACATGAGGTTAAAAACATATTAATATAAACATTAAAAATCACATAATCCAAAAATCACAGTCCAAGGCCATTCCAGTATCAAATATCAATTGCACATTTCATGTATTGAAACATGATGATTATTTCCTCTCAACCTTCTCTTCTGGAGGCTAAACAGACCCAGCTCTTTGAGGAATTATTCATGGTCTCCAGACCTTTGACCCTTTTATTGGCCCTCTTCCTCTGGACCCCTTCCAGCTTAGAGTCAGTGCCCCTCTTGAATTGCTTTGCCCAGGAAAGGGAACTTGGCACAGATTTTGTGTTCAATGGACCACTAACCCATTCTGTTGCTGTCGTTCTGTCCATCTCAGGGTCTGTGCTGCCATCCGGGGGAAGTGTGGCAGGCAGCAGCGTGAATGGATACCACACCTGCAAAGGTGAGCAACCCAGAATCAAGGCAAAGGTGGAAAATGCATGCAAAGATGTTTGGTGCATCAAAAGAACCGCTTGTAATTCTCGCTCACTCCAGAAGAGATCCTTCTCCATCTATATGTGCAATTAATGCTGTTAAGTCTGGCCATGGGGAGGTTGCGATAAAAAGTGGTCATCTTGACCCTTTGTGGCTACAAACATAGCCTGTGGCTTCTTTTTCCATCCCCTGCTTTATGCCACTCTCTTCCAAATCCCAAATAGTCATTATAAAACAAGCAGTAGTAAGAGTTACTTTTTAAACATTCCAATGAGAAATAATGAACTGAACAAAACAAGGATCAGATGGAGTTACTTTTTCAATGTTCAAATAAGAAACAAAACAGAACTGAACAAAACTAGGAATCACTTTAATGAGAAACAAAATAGAGGGTGCACCTGAGCTGTAGAGTAGATGCCGTTTGACCCGACTCGACCTGCCATGGCTGAAGACTATTAAGTCAAGGGAGTTGTAGTTTTACAAGGTCTTGAACCTTTGCTGCCAAAGAGGGCTGGTGTCCCACCAAACTTCAAATCACTCCATAGTCTTGAGCCATGGCAGTTTAAAATGGTGTCAAATTGTATTAGTTCTACAGCATAGGTGCTTCTCTAAGTGTGTTGGACGTACTGTACTACTATTACTACTACCACTACTACTATTATTATTAGATACATAACAAGATTAGTACATAGCAAACAAGATCACTGTGCTGGCTTTTGTATTAGATCACACATCGGACACTTCCCAAGTGTCCAGACTGTGTGATGTATTGGTGAATAATTCATGCATATCCAAGTAGGGTGGCCTTTTGCAGTTGACAGATGGTAATTTTGTCAGCACCCATTGTTTTTAAGTGCAGGCCAAGGTCTTTAGGCACTGAACTCAGTATGCCAATCAACCATTATTATTATTATTATTATTATTATTATTATTATTATTATTATTACACTATGACATTAATAACCCAGGAACAAAATTCATGTTACATAGTCTTATCATCATCATTATCATCAGATTGCCTTTTCACCCATTCTGATATTTTTAATACAGCTGTTGATGTAATTGTTTTTATCAAACCACAGTTTAGATCTTATTTGAATTGTGTTTTGATTGTACTTGCAATGACAGATGTCTTAGGTCCCTTGATCGTAGGACAGGCATGGGCAAACATCGTCCCTCCAGGTGTTTTGGACTTCAACTCCCACAATTCCTAACAGCCGGTAGGCTGTTAGGAATTGTGGGCGTTGAAATCCAAAACACCTGGAGGGATGAAGTTTGCCCATGTCTGTCCTACGATCATGGGACTTAAGAGTGTCAATGCAAGTGGGCAAACTTTGACCCTCAAGATATTTTGGACTTCAAATCCCACAATTCCTACTGGCTGTTAGGAATCGTGGGAGTTGAAGTCCAAAGCACCTGGAGGGCTGAAGTTTGCCCATGCCTGTCTTAGGAAGATGAGACATTCAGTAATGCATTTGGCCATGTTCTCCCTTAAGAGAATGCAGAAAACATATGCTTATATGTAAAGTGTGTGTATGTGTGTGTAGATTGCACTGACATAAAAATACTTCGTAGTGAACAATATGCCAATATGCTTAGTGTGTTATGGCAACACCCACCTTAACCTCTCCATTTTGAATATGGAAACCGATTTCTTTCCCCTTTCCTTGCTGCAGACTTGACGGAGATCCAGTGTGATGTCTCGGATGTGAACCTAGGATACGAGGGCCTCGGGGGAAACTTGCGCGGGCGCAAAGAGCAATTTGCGGCCATTTTGGCCAAGATGCAGGAGGCCAAGGAGGAGGTGGGCTCGGCCCTGGCCTGGCTGGAATCCCAGGAGCGGGCCCTGGACGCCCTCGAAGCCTCCGCCTCGCCCTCCAAGCCGGAGAGCGTCCGAGCCCAGGCCGAGCACAACAAGGTCTGCACAAATGTACACACAAGTTTAATATAGATAGATAGAATTACAGAGTTGGAATAGACCCCAAGTTCCATCCAGTCCAACCCCCTTTTGCCAGGAAGGCACGATCCGATCTCTCCTGACAGATGGCCATCCAGCCTGTCATACAATAATAGAATTTTAGTATCCTAAAGCTTGAAGACACCCAGGGGCCATCCAGTCCAACCCCCTTCTGCCAGGAAGGTACTATCCAATCTTTCCCAACAGATGGCCATCCAGCCTGTCATACAATAATAGAATGTTAGTATCCTAGAGCTTGAAGATACACCAAGTACCATCCAGTCCAACCCCCTTCTGCCAGGAAGGCACTATCTGATCCCTTCCGACAGATGGCCATCCAGCCTGTCATACAATAATAGAATTTTAGTATGCTAAAGCTTGAAGATACACCAAGTACCATCCAGTCCAACCCCCTTCTGCCAGGAAGGCACTATCCGATCTCTCCCGACAGATGGCCATCTAGCCTGTCATAGAATAATAGAATCTCAGTATCCTAGAGCTTGAAGAGACCCCAAGTACCAACCAGTCCAACCCCCTTCTGCCAGGAAGGCACTATCTGATCCCTCCCGACAGATGGCCATCCAGCCTGTCATACAATAATAGAATTTTAGTATGCTAGAGCTTGAAAATACACCAGGTACCATCCAGTCTAACCCCCTTCTGCCAGGAAGGCACTATTTGATCCTTCCCGACAGGTGGCCATCCAGCCTGTCATACAATAATAGAATTTTAGTATCCTAGAGCTGGAAGATACACCAAGTACCATCCAGTCCAACCCCCTTCTGCCAGGAAGGCACTATCTGATCCCTCCCGACAAATGGCCATCCAGCCTGTCATGCAATAATAGAATTTTAGTATCCTAGAGCTTGAAGAGACCCCAAGTACCATCCAGTCCAACCCCCTTCTGCCAGGAAGGCACTATCCGATCTCTCCCGACAGATGGCCATCTAGCCTGTCATAGAATAATAGAATCTCAGTATCCTAGAGCATGAAGACACCCCAAGTGCCATCCAGTACGAACCCATTTTACCATGCAGGAAAAGTACAATCCATCCCTCCTGACAGTTGGCCATCCAGTCTCTGCTTGAATGACTCCAAAGAAGGAGCCTCTACCAGACTCTGAAGCAGAAAGTTCCACCGTTGAACAGTTCAGGATGTTCTTCTTTCCTGCAGTTTGAACCCATGGTTCCATTGGGAACCCGCCTGTAGAACAGCTCCCTTTTCCTTAGGACATCCTTTCAGATACTGAAACATGGCTCTCATGGTATTCAAAGCTGTCCAACATCACATAGGAGGAGGAGGAGGAGGAAAGGGGCTTATATAACGTATCCTTCAAATTCGTTCTCCTTGGAATTGACAGTTCTTTCTCGATTTGGCTCCCTGTGGGGTTGATGCAGCTCTCCATATGTGCTTCGTCTGAATATCTTACATTTTATAAAGTTTTAAAATCCTCTTTTTGGGGTATTATGCAAATTAGGATGAATATGTTCCATCTGACTTACTCATTTTTTAGGAATTTTTAAATCTGGGTGAATAGGATTGATCATGTTATCATCCCGGGGGATTTTGAGTGCGTTCTCCTTTTGAAAGACAGTACAATTGTTATTATTATTGTATTGTCAAAGGATTTCATGGCCGGAATCACTAGAGCGTTGTGTGGTTTCCAGGCTGCATGGCCATGTTCTAGCAGCACTTTCTCCTGACGTTTCGCCTTCATCTGTGGCTGTCATCTTCAGAGGATCAGGCAGTAAACAATTCAAAGGGAACAAAGGCCAGGCTATTTTCATGCAGATGTATTACTCACATGCTAATAGGTGGATCCCACTCAACAAATCTAGCGTGCTAATTGCGCTCTTTACACTTGTTTAACAGACAATGGTTCTTTCTCCCACCCTGGATATTCCACAGGTATATATACTCCACTTGCTTGACTACCATCAGATCCTCTGAAGATGCTAGCCACAGAGGCAGGTGAAACATCAGGAGAAAATGCTGCTAGAACACGGCCATAAAGCCTGGAAACCACACAACACCCCAGTTATTAATAAATTATTATTATTATTATTATTATTATTATTATTATTATTATTATTATTTTATTGACACAAAAACACAGTATGTCACAGCAAACAAGATACATATGCTGGATTTCGTATCACAAAATCACAAGTCGAACATTTCTCAAGTGTCTAGGACTGTGTGATGTATTATTATTATTATTATTATTATTATTATTATTATTATTATTTGAAACACAACAAGATGAGTCCACAGCAGGCACTCTGCTGGCTATTGAATTGGATCACACGTCGGACACTTCCCAAGTGTCTAGGACTGTGTGATGTATCGGCAAATAATGCATGCAGATCCCAGTAAGGTGGCCTTCTGCAGGTGGCAGATGGTGTATTATGATTATGATTATGATTATTATTATTATTATTATTATTTGTATTTATATCCCACTTCCTCTCTCCCTAAGGAGATTGAAAGAGGTTAACACTAAAAATATCATACAATATGTAAATTAAAACCCAAAGTGTGCAAACATTACAATAGAACCCAGGACTTCTTAAAAATGCATAGGTAAAACCAATAAAAACATTTTAAAATGGTTAAAACTGCATAAAACACAACAATCCTGGCTCAATCTTTAAAATTGTACTAACTCTATAGTACTTTATACATCCTGTCCTTGCTTGGGACATGTAGTGCTCATTATCTTGAGGAGCCCCTGGTGGCGCAATGGGTTACAACACTGTTACGACAGGACTGCTGACCGAAAAATCAGCGATTCAAATACGGAGAGCGGGTGAGCTCCCATCTGTCAGCTCCAGCTTCTGATGCAGGGACATAAGAGAAGCCTCTCACAGGATAGTAATACATCTGGGCATCCGCTGGGCAACACCCTTGCATATGGCTAATTTTCTCACACCAGAAGCAACTTGCAGTTTCTCAAGTCGCTCCTGACACACACAAAAATATTACTGAGGATGACGCTGGAGAATAGTTTTCCCCATTCCCATAGGATATAATTTGTAGTGAAGGAAAATAAACTAAAGGAGAATGGCATCTTTGGAGATGGAAGAAAGCGGCAAATTAAAATCAAAAATCATCAGTTGCCGTTATTGTTCCTCCCTTTTGTTTCCCCATAATTTCCTTGTGTGGATGAGGGCTGCAAATGCATCATTCAACATGCCCAATGTCACGTTCTCTCTTTCTTATTTGACTTTTGTCTTCCCCCCTTCCTTTTCTGCAGGTCTTTCTGGCTGAATTGGAGCAGAATTCCGTGAAGGTCCAGAAAGCAAAAGAATCGCTTTCTGGACTCTTGCAGAAATACCCTGAATCGCCCGAAGCAGGGAATTGGAAGAGGACCTTGGAGGACTTAGGTATGTGGCCTTTGGGGCCCCTCAGAAACTGTGCAAGATATGAAAACAAAGGGAAATGGAGAGCCGCTTTGTTTATATAGGGCAAGATTGAAGGGGAAAGAGTGGGAGGCATGAAATAAGAGACAGAATCCACCAGGAAGTTTTCTGTCACAAGCCAGGGGGTCCTTTAAGGTGTCTACTTTGCTTGGGAATGGGCATATTGAAGTCCACCCTCCATATTCAATGTGGTTTGGGGCACAGGACCCCCCCACAAAAGTAAAATAATCTCCCTAGAAATCTCTAGGTTGCTATGAGTTTTCTGGGCTGTATGACCACATTCCAGAAGCACTTTCTCCTGACATTTCACCCACATCTATGGCAGGCATCTTCAAAGGTTGCCTTACAACCCCGGAGGATGCCTGTCATAGATGTGGGTGAAACGTCAGGAGAGAATGCTTCTGGAAAACGGCCATACAGCTGGAAAACTCACAGCAACCCAGTGATTCTGGCCATGAAAGCCTTCGACAACACAATCTCTAGGTCTTTTAATATCACCCTGTGGTCAACCTTTACTGATAGTTGGCCACAGAATCATATTGAAGGACATACCGTATTGACTCACCAAACTACAAATCCCAGTATCTCATAGCATTGAGCCATGGCCATTAAGTTAGAGATGAGGTTCTTCAGAGAGGAGATCCTGGAACAGCTTCCCCTTTTGCTTTGACTCAGCATTAAGAGGACCGTATGACGCAAATCTAATGCGCACCCAATTTTTGGCAAGATAATTTATTCCAAAAGGGTGAGCATTAGATGTGTGTAAATATTGTAATAGAGAGTTAGGTTCACAGGACTCCTGCAAAAGTGGGGAAACTGTGAATTTAAAGGGGCACTTCTTCTGAACCTGTGAAAACACCCCTCTTGGGATCTCTAGTCCTCCAGTGGGATTCAGTGGTCCACTTCTGCCAGCAGCAACCGCACTGGAGGATTTCCAGATTTATATTAAAGAAGCTCTCTAAGTCCTGCAGCATGACTCCACTTTTACTAGAAGTTGAGCACACAGTGCATTCATTGGAGGGCAAAGAGAGACGAGGTTTCAATCCACATTCATTAACCTGCCAACATGGAAGGGTGACGATATTCACAATTAATTCATCAATCCACTTGACATGATTTCTGCTTCCTGGGGACACTCTTATCTTGCACCTGTTGCAGATAGGGATACAATTTCAACACAGTTATATAGGTTTCCTGAACCCAACATATGCAAGGTCTGAACTAGGCCCTCTAGCTTTTGCGCCTCCAACTCCCAGAAGCCATTATTACCATCTTGTCCAGTGATCAGGAATTCTGGGAGCTGTAGTCCAAAGCACCTGGAGGGCCACAGTTCCCTAAGGTCAGTGAGGAGCATGGGAAGCAGCCCTGGGAGACATGATGAGTATAGCGATTAGATGTTGCCTCCAATGCTTGTGTCCCTGCCTCACAGATTCCCGTTGGGAGCGTGCCAACCAGGTGACGGCGGAGCGGCAGCAGAAGCTGGAGAAATCAGCCCGCGAGCTGGCAAGCTTCCAGGTGGCAGAGGGGCAGTTGAGGCCCTGGCTGATGGAGAAGGAGCTCATGATGAGTGTCCTGGGGCCTCTCTCCATCGACCCCAACATGCTGAGCGCCCAGAAGCAGCAGGTTCAGGTGAGAAGGCCGCTCAGGCGGAGGCTCTTTGGCTTGGGAGGCCCATAACCAGTGGAGGAGCTGGTGGAGTGTTTGCTCAAGGAGGCTTGCCTTCCCTCCATCTTGGATTTGCATTAATTGGATTCATTCCCATTTTCCATGATGGGTGAATACTCCAGCGATGAAGATATTACGCTGCAGAAAAGGTTAAACCACTGAGCTGTTGAACTTGCTGACCAAACTATGTGTTGCAGCAAAGTCATGTCGACTGCCATGTGTCAGTGTGTTACGCAAACATAATAAATGATGCAAACTAAGCACTAAATCATATATTTTGCAAATATAAATGAAAGGTTTCCATGAAATATGTTGTGTCTCTATACATCTCATTCCTACAGTGTCTATATCTCTTCTTATAAGGCAGGGGTCCTCAAGCTAAGGCCCGCGGGCCGAATATGGCCCTCCAAGGTCCTTTACCTGGCATTCGTTCAGGGTCAACCTAAGTCTGAATTGACTTGAAAGCACACAACAATAACAATCCTATCTCATCAGCCAAAAGAGGCCCACAGTTTTCATTGAAATACTAATATAATGGTATAGTGCAATATAGTAATATATAATACTGATATTGTACTATGCTAATAATATAATATATTGTATGAAAATATATCTTGTAAGCCGCTCTGAGTCCCCTTCGGGGTGAGAAGGGCGGCATATAAATGCCATAAATAAATAAATAATACATTTATATTTCTTAAAATTGTTCTTCATTTTAATTATTGTATTGTTTTAAAGTGGTTTTTTTGCATTACAAATAAGATATGTGCAGGGTGCATAGGAATTCATTCATTTTTTTCCAATTATAATCTGACGCTCCAACAGTTTGAAGGGACTGTGACCTGGCCTCTGTTATAAGGGGTTGGTTTAACCTCCAGTTTGCTAGTATGGAGCCCCCAGTGCCATAGCTATGAAAGCCTTCAACAATACATCCTGCAGCATGTATTGTGATAGTTTTTCGATAACTATCTCATCGAATCTCAACCAATTCAACCTAGTTTGTGGCAGCCACAAAAATGAAGTTTCTGGAGTATAACAACTCCTTTCAAAGTAAAGACCACACAATTTCAAACCAGGAACAGAAATGTTTTAAAATGTTGTTACATTGTTATATTCCCCCACCCCATCTTTTTGAGGATTATGACTGTGGTCATTGGGGGGGGGGGGGAGATCTCCCAGCCAATGCGGCTGACTCTCCTCCAGCCGTTGGTTTATGCCTTTAGAAGCAGCCACAGGACAAATCAGACAGAGGCCTGGGATGCCTTTCCTGTGTCGTCATGGGCTCCTGCATTTTTTGAAATCCTGTTTAGAATGCTGTCTTTGCAGTTCGTTTGCAGGCCTTCCAGAAACTCTCCTCGCTGCCAAATGTCCCTCGAGCGATATGGTCAGCCAACTTAATACTTCTTTTTTTTCTCTCAGCCTTGTGACTGAGCTGTTTGGCTTTGAACTGATTCGTCGGTTTGTATTACGCAGGCTTTGGACTCATTAAAAGTCCCTTTTTGAATGGAGGTCTTGAAATGTTTGCCGTGCCTTTCAAAGGCCGGACGTTTTCCTAAGGATCAAGGCGGTCCCTTGGGATCTTACTGAGTTTTTTCCCAGCGAGAAGAGAGACTGGCTACGCTTCTGACCTTCTTTCTTGAGTGCCAGCTCTCAGTGCAACATTGGGTTTATGCAAGGAGTAGGAGCATCAATAACACTATGTAACACTTTTTTTTGTTCCTCGGTTGTAAATGTCATTTCCTAATTGGTTCTATCATAGAAACATGGGAAACGTTCACTAAACTGCAAAAACTTTCTTTGTGCGGGAGGGACATCCTGCAGCACATTTCATCTATTTTTTTCAGTTACTATCTCATCATAGAGTCTCAACCCATTCAACTTAATAATAATAATTTTATTGATTAGCCCTTGGGCCAGTGGTTTTCATCCTGTGGGTCCCCAGATATTTTGGCCTTCAACTCCCAGAAATCCTAACAGCTGGTAAACTGGCTGGGATTTCTGGGAGTTGTAGGCCAAAACACCTGGGAACCCACAGGTTGAGAATGACTGCCTTAAGCCATATCACAATACCAGACCAAACAACAAGGCTTATAGCCATATAGCCCAAAAAAACTACAACAACGCAGTGATTCTGGCCATGAAAGCCTTCGACAATACAATGAACAAGGCTTAACTTACTACTACTCTATGTAGCAAGTTAAAATAAGACATTTATAACAATACAATAAATAAATCCACCTTGAGTCTCTTTGGGGAGATAGAGCGGAATATAAATAAAGTATTATTATTATATTATTATTAAATATGGAACCACCGGTGGTGCAGTGGGTTAAACCCCTATGCTGGCAAGACTGAAGACCGACAGATCACAGGTTCAAATCCGGGGAGAGTGCGGATGAGCTCTCTCTATCAGCTCCAGCTCCTCATGTGGGGACATAAGAGAAGCCTCCCACAAGGATGGTAAAACATCAAAAGAACATCCGGGCGTCCCCTGGGCAAGATGCGCACAGACGGCCAGTTCTCTCACACCATAAGCAACTTGAAGTTTCTCAAGTCACTCCTGACATTACAAAAAAATTATTAAATATGATAAAACTGAGTATATACATCATATTTCCTTATCACCCCTACAATTTGCCCTGATCAGCTCCACATATGTGGTTCTCAAATGTCTTGTTTTGCTTAAACACAGAGCTGTTTTATGTTATTTTTGTTTTGTTTTGTTTTTTTGTCATGTCAGGAGTGACTTGAGAAACTGCAAGTCACTTCTGGTGTGAGAGAATTGCAAGGACATTGCCCAGGGGACGCCTGGATGATTTGATGTTTTTTATCATCCTTGTGGGAGGCTTCTCTCATGTCCCCGCATGAGGAGCTGGAATTGATAGAGGGAGCTCATCCGCCTCTCCCCGGATTCGAACCTGCGACCTGTTGCTCTTCAGTCCTGCTGGCATAGGGGTTTAACCCACTGCGCCACCAGGGGCTCCATTTTTGGGTCTTAGCTACACATAAAATATGTTGTTCTGTTGTTTGCCTGTATGTATATTTTGGGGCCCTTGGTAGCACAGCAAATGAAACCGCTGAGTTGCTGAACTTGCTGACTGAAAGGTTGGCGGTTCGAATCCAGGGAGCAGGATGAGCTCCCTCTGTTAGCCCCAGCTTCTGCCAACCTAGCAGTTTGAAAACATGCAAATTTGAGTAGATAGATAGGTACTGATTCTGCAGAAAGGTAATGCTGCTTCATGCAGTCATGCTGGCCACATGACCTTGGAGGCATCTACGGACCACGCCGGCTCTTCAGCTTAGAAATGGAGATGAGCACCACCACCCAGAGTCAGACACGACTAGACTTACTGTCAGGGGAAACCTTTACCTTTACCTTATGTATTTTTTAGCGTGTTGTAATCCACCCTGAGTCCCCTTGGGGAGATAGGGTGGAATATAAATAAAATTATTATTATTATCATTATCATTATTATTATTATTACTCAAGGCAGCTAACCATCCCACACTTAGTCAGGTTTAAAAAGCACATTATGTGGACACTATTTTCATGTTTCAATGATGACCTTGGTGGTTTTATTTTAACTAACATTCATTGATGCGCACACTGATTCGGGGCGCATGCCTGATATAAATAAGCTTGGCTTCACCACCGTGTCTCTCTGTTGCAGTTCATGCTCAAGGAGTTCGAGGCCCGGAAGCCACAGTTCGACCAGCTGAACGCAGCGGCACAAGGGATGCTGACCGGCCCCGAGGCCTCTCCATCTGCCGGCCGCATGCAGGATGATCTCCAGGCCATTAACCAGAAATGGACAGCACTGATGGATCGGCTCGACTCCCGCTCAGGACAGATTGACCAGGCCATGGTCAAGAGCACCCAGTTCCAGGCACTGCTCCAGAGCCTGTCGGAGAAGGTCAAGGCGGCTGGCCAGCGGCTGAGCCCCCAGCTGGCGGCCAGCACTCAGCCCGAGGCCGTCAAGCGGCAGCTGGAGGAGGCCAGCGAAGTCCGATCGGACCTGGAGCAGCTGGAGAGCAACATGGCCGAGGCCCAGGCCCTTTGTGAGGAGCTCTCCATTCTCATCGGCGAGCAGTATCTCAAGGACGAGCTCAAGAAGCGCATGGAGGCCGTCGCCCTGCCCCTTAGGGGCCTGCAGGATCTGGCAGGTAGGAGAAGCGCAACTGCAAACAGATTAATAAACTGATAAAACTAATTAAATGTAGGACTATGTGCAATTCAAGAAGCATAAACAGGGGTTTATGCAAATAGATACAAGTCAAGTTTCAGCCTGAGTCTAATACAGAAAATTGTGTACCTTTTACCACTGAGCCTGTTGGGTCTTGGGTTGTAATAAAGTTTGATTGATTGATGAATTGAGGTAGGAGAAGTGGGCCCCCTTCACTCCAAAACTGGGGAGGGGGTGCCTGTAGAAATGCTGCAAAGAAGGGGAGCCCATCACTTTCCAAGGCCTCAAACATCTCCTGGGTGTTCCTCATGTTTAGCTAGAACCTCTCTTCTTGCAACCTGAATGCATGAGATTTTCACCAGGTCTCTGGAGCAGACCATCCTTCATCACTACATGGTTACACCAGGTATGGGCAAACTTCGACCCTCCCTCCAAGTGTTTTGGACTTCAACAGCTGATAGGCTGTTAGGAATTGTGGGAGTTGAAGTCCAAAACACTTGGAGAGAGGGTCGAAGTTTGCCAGTGCCTTACCTACACTGTAGAATTATTGCAGTTTGGTGCCATTTTAATAGAATTTTATTGTCATTGCACATCATACAACAGAACTAGGTGCCACCCCAGTACACATTATATATGTAGAATTACAAAAACAAAACACCCAGCCTTCCCCATTCTAATCACTATTGCACAATCTCTAATGCCACATCCGTTTGAAACCATAGAGTTCAGTATAGTCAGAGCTCTAGGATAAAAGCTCTCTCTCAGCTTATTTGTCCGGTTCAACGCCATGATATCATGGGAGTTGTAGTTTCTCATGGTCTTTCATCTTTTCTGCCACAGGGCACTGATGTCCCACCAAACTGCAGATCACAACACTCCACTGCCATTAAAATGGTGTCAAACTGCATTAATTCTGCAGTGTAGGTGCACTCTGGGCCTCAGCATTTTTATATAAGGGGGTCTTTTACCTTCTCTGCCAAAGAAGGCTGGAGATTGTGGCATCATGTAAAATAAACCACGTGTAGTTCACATTTGATCAGCCCACACACTGCCTTGCCAGAGAAAGAAAATATGCCACGCAGATGAACAATAAAGAACATGTAGTTTACTCTTCGTAAATCCAGAACAACATATGTAAAATGTGATCAGCTGCACCAGCTCACATAATGTCCTTTTATGAAGCAAGAGCACACTTCAAAACTCTATCTCAGGGGTCCTCAAACTAAGGCCCGGAGGCCGGATACGGCCCTCCAAGGTCATTTACCCGGCCCTTGCTCAGGGTCAACCTAAGTCTGAAATGTCTTGAAAGCACACAACAACAACAACAATAACAATAACAATCTTATCTCATCAGCCAAAAGCAGGCCCACACTTCCCATTAAAATACTAATAAGTTTATATTTGTTTAAAGTGTTTTTTGCACTACAAATAAGATATGTGCAGTGTGCATAAGAATTCATTCATGTTGTTTTCACATTATAACCTGGCCCTCTGTTTAAAAGGTTTGAAGACATCTGCTCTATCTCTTTCTCCTTTACTCTTCTTCTCTCTCTGCATCTGCATAGCTAAAGCCTGGACAAAAATGTAACAGTATCCAAAAGTCCCAGGCTCAGCCATCTCCCCGGGTGTAGCCCGACCAATCGGTTTCATTCATCTCATTTTACAGCTGGCACACTGTCCTTGCATGCTCCAACAGGGGTCCCACCAAGTTGCAGCTCCTAAGATTCCATGGCATTGAGACAAAGAAGTGAAAGTAGTATCAAACTGTATTATATTGACAGTGTAGATGCACCTCAAAGAGGAATGGCGGAGCTGAAAGTCATTCTTGGAGGAGATCGGGTCTTCAGAAACAGTTTGAAGCTGTATGTGGCCCAGAGGTTACATACTTTTGTCTGCCCCATTCTCTAATGCAGTGGTTTTCAACCTGTGGGTCCCCAGATGTTTTGGCCTTCAACTCCCAGAAATCCTAACAGCTACTAAACTGGCTGGGATTTCTGGGAGTTGTGGGCCAAAACACCTGAGGACCCACAAGTTGAGAACCTGCTCTAACTCGTGGGATATCCAGAGAACAGGAGACAATCTCAAATAATCGTTTGGAAAAAGGCACCATGTAAGAGTTTAATAGCCAGTGGCAGACAACTGCAGGAAGACGAGGCCAGATTCTGGTTGGAATAAAGTCGGAGGTGGTCCTCCAGATGCAATTCCCAGCGTAGCTCATAGTGAAGGAACATGGGGATTGCAGTCCAGTCACATCCGGTGGGCCCATGTGTTCCTCTGCCCTCAAACCAAAGCCATCATTTCAAGGCTGATTCATGCAGCAGCAAACTCTGGGATGTTTCCATGGATACATTCAACAGGGAGCCGCTGCTCCATCCGCCTCCCACATGGAGGAAGCCAGAGGAGTGTAGGCACATTCAGGCTTTCAAGGCTTATTTCCGAGCCATGCAACGTGTGGAGGGGCCTCCAGACTGAGGCCAAAGGGGATCTTCTCCTTGTAAAGCATAAACTGTCCTTAACTTGGTATTTGTACACACAAGTAAGCTTCTCAGTGGAGCCAGTTTGGCCTCTGGATGCTGTCAGTGTAAGAATGGAATTTTAAACCAAATTAAAGGGGGGATGCATGGAATAAACCTGCTTTCTGAAGACTTCCCTTGCATCTAGATTGCAGTGGACTATCACTACTATTGCTGCTATGTTTTGAATAATTTTCTGCCAAATGTGCAATCAGAGGCTAAGACATGACACCCTAATATGACTTCTTCTCCATCCCAAAGTGTCTAAAAATGCAGCAAAAAAGGCTTTGCATCTTTCAGTTTTCCCTTTACGCAGTTCCCAGAGGGGAGGAAAGGCAACAAAACATGCCACCTTACCGTTTCAATGATTCATGGTACATTGTACCCATATATGTTTTCTTAATTGGGAAAGGTAGGCCACATTTCCTTTCCAGTGAATGGCATTCGTTTCTAATAAGTGGAATATTAATTTTCATAACAAGTGACCATGGTCTTGGCTAAAACAATGGAGGAGACCAGGTCTTCAAAACAGATTGGGACTGTATGTGACCCAGTGGTTATATTTTGTTCAAAGGTGGAACTCACTGCCTCAGAGTCCATTGGAGGCTCCATCTTTGAAGGCTTTTAAATAAAGGCTGGATGGCCATCTGTCGGGAGGGCTTTGGTTGTGCCTTCCCTTATGGCAGAAGGGGGTTGGGCAGATGTCCTTGGGGTCTCTTCCAACTCTAGGAGTCTTTGATTCTATAGCTCTATTTCTCCATGGACCCGCTAATGTCTATGAGGCTGGGTTGCCATCTGTTGGGAGAGATTTGATTGTGCTTTTCCTGCCTGGCTGAAGGATGGCCTTTGGGGGTCTCTTCCAAGTGTAGAATTCTATGACTTTGCCAATTTTTTTCATGTTTTTATGATAGAACTGATTAGGAAATGGTATGTTTAACTAGGAACAAAATGTGTGTTACATAGTGTTATCGACAATGCATATTAAAACGTATGGGCTTGCCTTGTTTAACCATGTGTCCCCCGTCTCTTCCGATTTCCAGCTGATCGCATGAACCGGCTGCAGACAGCCCTGGCCAGCTCCCAGCAGTTCCAGCAGATGTTTGATGAGCTCCAGGCTTGGCTGGATGAGAAGGTGAGATGTCAGGCCCAGGGCGGCCCCGTCTCGGCCAAACTGGAGCGGCTGCAGTCCCAGATCCAGGAGCAGGAAGAGCTGCAGAAGAGCCTCAACCAGCACAGTGGCTCCTATGAAATGATCGTGGCTGAAGGGGAGTCCCTGCTGGTCTCGGCCCGTGCTGGTGAGGAGAAGGCCCGCCTGCAAGGCCAGCTGACCAACCTGAAGGCTCGCTGGGAAGAGCTGAGCAAGCAGGCTGCAGACCGCCACACCAAGCTAAAGGACTGCCTGCAAAAGGCCCAGAAGTATCAGCGCCACGTGGAGGACCTATTCCCATGGGTTGAGGACTGCAAATCCAAGGTGATGGAGCTGGAAGTCACTTTGGACCCGGTGCAACTAGAAGCCACACTCCTGCGGTCAAAGGCCATGCTGAGCGATGTGGAGAAGCGGCGCTCCCTCCTCGAGATGCTGAACAGTGCTGCCGATGTTCTCATCAATGCTTCAGAGACGGACGAAGATGACATCCGGGACGAGAAAGCTGGTATCAACCAGAAGATGGATGCCATTACGGAGGAGCTCCAAGCGAAGGCGGGGTCCCTTGAAGAGATGTCGCAGCGGCTGAAGGAGTTCCAAGAGAGCCTCCGGAACATCGAGAAGAAGCTGGAAGGGACGAAGCACCAGCTGGAGATCTACGACACCCTGGGCCCTCAGGCCTGCAGCAATAAGAACCTGGAGAAGCTAAGGTCGCAGCAAGAGGCCCTTCGAGCGTTGGCTCCCCAGGTTGACTACTTGAAGAACTTCACCCGGGGTTTGGTGGAGGATGCTCCAGATGGCTCGGACTCCTCCCATCTCCTTCACCAAGCAGAGACGGCCCAGCGGGAGTTCGAGGAGGTCGGCCGAAAAGTGAGCGAGTGTTGCACACTCATGGAAAGCAAGCTGGAAGGCATTGGGCAGTTCAGCAACCATGTCCGAGAGATGTTCTCTCAACTGGCAGACTTCGACGATGAGTTGGATGGCATGAGCCCTGTTGGCAGGGACCTGGACAGTCTCCAGTCCCAAGCCGAAGACATGCATGACTTCCTGGGCAAGCTCCAGCGGCTAAAGCAGGACATCCAGGTGTCCGAGGAGAAGTGTCGGGAGATGCTAGATGATGAGGGGAGCCCCGACCTTGTGGGACTGAGGCGCGAGCTGGAAACCATCCACAAGCAGTGTGGCAAGCTGGCCGACCGAGGCAGGAGCCGCCTAGAGCAAGTGGAGGCGGCTCTGTCCCGCCTGAGGGACTTCTATGGCAAACTGAGGGAGCTGACTGCCATGGCTGCTGCAGCAGAGGAGAGCGAGGCCCTGCAGTGGGTGGTGGGCACCGAGGTGGAGGCCATCAACCAGCAGCTGGCTGACTTCAAGGTAAGGAGAGCCTGGTGCTGATCCAAGTATTTTATAAATGTCCTCTGTGTACTTTTTCATTTCTATACATCTTTATTGTGTGAGTGCTGCCAACATAAGCCAAGCAGGACATTGGAAGGTCGTATGGCTAGGGATGAGTTTGCATCTCTGTCCTTTGTTTTCAGTGAAAGTTGATGTTCAGTGACATTCTCCGTGTGATGGGATATTGGGAGCTCTTTGCTCATTGCATTTTTAATATATATCCCAAATAGCAGAAGTTTGATCTTTAGTGCAGAGCTTTCCAAACATTTCATGTTGGTGAAACGTCTTTTGAGATAGGTATACTTTTGTGACATAGTAATTCGATTTTACTAGCAAGTAAAGGTAAAGATTTCCCCTTAACATGAAGTATAGTCATGTCTGACTCTGCGGGTTGATGTTCATCTCCATTTCTAAGCTAAAGAGCCGGTGTTGTCCATAGACACCTCTAAGGTCACGTGGCCAGCATGACTGCACGGAGCACCATTACTTTCCCGCAGAAGCTGTACCTATTGATCTATTCACATTTGCAGGTTTTTTAACTGCTAGGTTGGCAGGAGCTGGGCCTAACAGTGGGAGCTCACCCTGCTCCCCAGATTCGAACCACCGACCTTTTAGTCAGCAAGTTCAGCAGCTCAGCAGTTTAACCTGCTGCACTACTGGGGGCTCCAAACTAGCAAACTAGCTCCAAACTAAACCAACCCCTTATAAGAAGAGATGTGGACGCTATAAAAATGATATGTATGGAGGCACAACATTTCTCATGAAAACCTTTCATTTCTATTTGCAAAATATATGATTTAGTGCTTATTTTGCACCATTTCTTATGTTTGTGTGACAAACCAACACGAATGTGCCGCGACACACAGTTTGAAAAGCTCTGCCGTAGTGTTTAAAACCATGCATTTGCTACAGGTATGTTCCCTCCCAGTTGTTACTTGCATCCATACTATTTAGGACACATTGTATTCAGTATTTAACATGCCTTTGATGTAGCTGTTTTCCATGGGTATTCTGTTATAGAAGGATTCTAGACAAATAACAAAGACAAATGTTTACATTCCCATTTGTGGCAAAGTCATACCATTTTACCATCATTTTTTCTGCCTGTGAAAACGGTCCCGCTGGCAGAAAAGTTTTTTTTCAAAACCAGTGCTGCAAGGAAGCAAACCTTTATATTTTCGGGGGAAGATGCTGCTCTTCCTTTCAGGCTGGCAACACTCTGCAGCGTGGGAGGAATGTTCTCGAGTAGAGCTTGGCGTAGACATCGTTGCCGAACTCCATTTATAATGGAAACCTGTCTGGTGTTACAGTGTTTTTGAGGTTTTGGAAATGGGCAGTCAGTCCCTGATCCTGGGAAATCGCTGGGCCTTGACTTTGTATCTTGTATGGCATTACAATATCCTTACATTCCTTGTGGAAATAGAAAAGCATAGATGTTAGCAAACCCTATTGAAATGAATGACCTCTGCTAGAAGTTACCATAAAGTCATCCTGGAGGATCCTGTTTAGGCAGTTGCTAGGTCCTCCAGGGTGATTCTGCAGCCAACTTCCAGTGGAAGCATACCATAGAATTCCCAAAAAATTCCTGTAGTGGACATATTTTGTCAATTGTGGGTAGGTAAAATAGCACATGTTGGTCTTACAAGTATATGGGCCGTGAATCGTAATCTGATACGCAGGATGTATTTTCATTCACTGGACCAATTTTGGCACAAATACCTGATACGCTCAAATTTGAATACTGGTGGGGTTGGGGGGGTTGATTTTGTCATTTGGGAGTTGTGGTTGCTGGGATTTAGAGTTCATGTAGAATCAAAGAGCATTATGAACCCCACCAATGATAGAATTGGGCCAAACTCCCCACACAGAACCCTCATGGCCAACTGAAAATACTGTGCTTTCTGATAGTCTTTGGTGACCCTTCTGACACCCTCTCGTTACCCCCCAGGGGTCCCAACTCCCAGGTTGAGAAATGCTCATATAGAGCATTGCAGATTTCAGAATTTATTTATTTATTTACAGTATTTATATTCTGCCCTCCTCGCACCGCAGGGGACTGAGGGCGGATTACAATGTACACATATATGGCAAACATTCAATGCCAAAGACACACAACAGATATAGACAAACAGTCAGAGGCTATTTAACTTTTTTGGCCGCTTTCATCGTCCATCTGCGACACTGATGAAGTACTTCCGCATTCCCCGCATGCTTTTGCGGGAGTGCTTTGCTGGAGTCTCTTTTTTATGGCCTTGTAAATTAGTTAAATTAGCCTCCCCACACTTAGGTGGTACCTAATTTTCCTACTTGACAAATGCAACTGTCTTTTGGGTTGCAAAGGTCGACAACAAGCTACACAATTGATCAGAAGCTCACTCCGACCTGGGCTGGCTTCGAACTCGTGACCTTATGGTCAGAAGTGATCTTAATGCAGCTGACACTCAGACAGCTGTGCCACAGTCCCGGTGGACTGTTTCCTAACAGGGGAATCCCTACTTCCTAACAGGGGAGCCACCAACACACAATGAGACTCCTCTCTATGTTTTTAATTGCATTCTTTGAAAGGTTGCATGCCACTTTAGGTGTACTTCCAGAGAAAAAATGGAGTAAACAACAAAAATAACAATATATACATACATACATACACACACACACACACAATATATATATATACTAGCCGTCCTGAGTCCCCCTTCGGGGGTTGAGAAGGACAGGATAGAAATGCGAGAAATATATAACAACTACAACAACAAGAATATAAAATAACAACAATATAACCGCAACAACAGCACGTATTATGCTCCTCTATCAGATGCAGCTGAGTGGCAAATCCCAGACTCTGCTTAAAATGTAGTTTCTTTCCCACAATCTTCAATTTAAGGCTCTGGAAAAACTTAAAATACTGGGCAGGTGGACAGTTCCTGTCTGGCTCTGCATCTCCTCTACTGAGGAATAAGATGGACAGAATTTCCAACAAAACTTTGAAGACCTGCCCTTGGAGAGCGCCAATGCTGCAGTCCTGGCCGCCTTCCCATTTTGAAGGCCTTTCCAGGCGCAAATCCTGCCTTGCTTTCTCATCAAAGGCATTCAGACTCGGAGGAGACCACGTCCTTCTGCTTCTGACTGAGTCAGTGCAAAGGAGGCAATGGGATCCTTTAACCAAGTGAGTCAGCTCTGCCCAAATGCCTGTCCGTCTCTTGGCGGTTGGTGGAAAAATCAACACCAACAGCAAGAACTGGACAATCAACTGAGAGCCAATGAACAGGGAGACCTTTTCCAATCAAAACTCTCCAATATCTCATAACCTGCAAGCTTTATTTATGAAGAAGGCAATGTCTGGAAAGAGGGCAAGCGCTTAGCTACGCTTCTCCATGGATTCAAACTCAGGGCACAACTCCTATGGAGAAACAACAGCCAGCCTCCTCTCAGATTTTGGATGCCTCTGTAGCACCTCTGAACTGGGAGCAACCCATAGCGAGGACATGGCAGAAGCTCCTGCCACCATTCATTATAACACAATGTAACACAATTTTTGTTCCAGGTCATAAATGTCATGTTCCAATTGGTGCTGTCATAAAAACATAGGGAAAGTGTATTAAACTGCAGAAGGGGAGCCAAAGACCATCAGAAAACACATATTTCTGATGGTCTTAGGAACCCCTTCGGCAGAGAAGGCTGCAGATTTTTCAGCTTGTCCTTCTCTTCCTTTTTGGAAAGAGACAGCGAATCTTCCCACCAAAAGCCCTCCTCTGCTGTGATTAGCTGGCCTCTCAGCCAAGGGGAGGGCTGTTTCTGAGACTCCAAGCATGGAGGGGAGAGCAAGTGTGCTCGGCGCATGGTAGCATGGTGCGCATGTGTGGGCGAGGGAGAGCGTGTGAGGCTGGAGGGAGCCTCGCGCCAGCAAGTCCTTTCAAGGTAGGGGGGTTCTGTGTGGGAAGTTTGGCTCAGTTCTTTCATTGGTGGGGTTTAGAATGCTCTTTGATTGTAGGTGAACTATAAATCCCAGTAACTACAACTCCCAAATGTCAAGGTCTATTTTCCTCAAACTCTTCCAGTGTTCACATTTAGGCATATTGAGTATTCATGCTAAGTTTGGTCCAGATCCATAATTTCTGAGTCCACAGTGCTCTCTGGATGTAGGTGAACTACAACTCCAAAACTCAAGGTCAGTGCCCACCAAACCCTTCCAGTATTTTCTGTTAGCCAAGGGAGTTCTGCGTGCCAAGTAGCAAAATTACAGTTATGAAGTAGCAACGAAAATAATGTTATGGTTGGGGGTCACCACAACATGAGGAACTATATAAAAGGGTCACAGTATTTGGAAGGTTGAGAACCATTGCGCTCTCTCTCTCTTTCTCTTTCTCTATATATATACAAACACAAACACACACATAGCAGCTTTCGGTTTTCAAGGAATACTAGGAGAAGGAAGAGTATGTACTTCTCAGGATGTCTAGTCCGCCAACGTGAAATGTTCTAACATTGGGTCCATTTTAGTCCACCAAAGACTCCCCAAAAATGGCCATTTATATGTCCTTCAGCTGCCTTTCCCTGTCTTCTTGGCCAGGCTGCGTTTGAAAAGGTTCCCTGTTGCCATAAGGACTAGAAACCTCATTTGTGGCAGCAGAGGAAAGCAACACAGATGATGTGTCAGTCTGGCAATTGCATGGATAAATGTGGTTCCTGAAATCCTGTTCGAAAACAAGGGAGCGCAGGAAGGCGGTGGAGTGACTCAGTGGTTCCGGTTTGCTCACTCCTCCTTTGGAAAAGGGGCTTTTAGTCATGTTGCTCTGCTCCCATTTTTAAGGCTCATGTTGTCATTCCTCATTGAAGATGGCAGCGTGCAAAAAGCACACCACGCAGTCATTAACACATAGTATTATTAGTGATTCTACCTCCCTAAACTGCAAGTGTTGGTGTGTTGCTGTGGCAGCTAAAGCATTTCAATAGTGTGCCTTAGGGCCCTTCCACACAGCCAT